CAAAGTCTGAAGGCACGCAGGAGTAATGGTGGCGTTGCAATTTACTGTCGCACGTTTCTCGAACTCGGGTGTGAATCTAGCTGCAGAAATAGCTGTGATAGGTGAGCGTCCACGAAGAGGTCCGTTGAATCTTTGTATCTGATATCAGAACGATGCATGCAAAGAAGATCAACCTAGTTTGACTTACGAAGTTGTCGGATGGACAACCTTCACATGAGCTTGAAGATCACTGGGAATGGAGTACGCCAAAGTCCTCACGGAAGTCTGTCCAGATTCTGTATGGTTGAAGATGCTGAATTCTGCTTGAAGAAGTTGGTTAGCAGTGCTAACAGGTATGTCGAACTTGATCCAGTCTCCTGCGGGTGTGATAGGAGTTGACGTGATATTGAATGAGGTCAACCATTCGGTCACGGCCTGCACAGTCTCGACAGTGGGTGCAGCGAAGGATTCGACCTATGTTCAATTTGCGAGCACGCGTGATGTTCAGTTAAACATTCTATGTGCCCAGACTGGCTCGAGTTATAACTAACCTGTTCCTTGGTGAGCCATTCTCTGAAAGTAGGACTGGTGGGTGAGCTGGCTTCCTGTAACGCAGCCTCCAATCCTGCTTGGTTCCCCATAGCAAGATTGATTCGCAAGCTTAATATTTGATCGTCAGGAGCTGAACCGAGATGTGCGAAGCCAGTGGGAGCAGAATCCCGCTTCTCGTGCACTATGTGTGTCGACGCCCATACAGCGGAGGAAAGGAGGGATGTGGTAAGAACCCATCTCGTGAAGGAAAGGGAGACCATCATCATCATCGACTCGACAGTGTGAGAGCCTGGTAGAAGAAGTGAACTATCGCAGTGAATGGTTTTATAACATCCTCATATCGAAAAGAAGCATAGTAACTTCACATGATTAGTGGAACGGTGTGATGATAAGTATGCCTTTCCACATGGAATTAGCTGCGTTGATTGCGAGGCGTATAGTCTGGTCGAGGCGACCTGGTCGAGCATATGCACCTCGAGACACCATGATGTAGATTAATCATGATTCAGTGAACATTCGAGGTTAGTTCCTGGAAGGGGCTTGTGTAGCCGTGTGAAGGTCAAAGCTGTCTGGGGAAAGAACGTTCAAAGATACATGGACCCGGGCGTGCGCGAAAGAGCGAAAGAGTTATTCCATATGACAAATGTCCTACGAAGCCCCATAATTGCCCCATAGGCCTTCCGAGCTGCTTCCGGGTATAGAATACGATGTGATGGACATAACAGATCGAAACTGTCCAATACATTAGTCATAGGATCAGATGTGATCGCTCCAGAAATACTTGGATCATGTCGCCCTTATCCAGGTGGTTTTGAGATATCAAGTGTTATTTTAATCATCGACTTTTACCACTCGAGGCTCGAGGTGGTTAAAGGTGGTCAAAGTCGATGAAGCACTTTCGTAATTTGAATCTTTGACTCTAGTTTGAAGTCAAAGCACCATGGCCACATGAACATTGAAGCTACGCACCCTATCTCAACAATTTCTAATTTGGCAAGCCACAGGAAAGAGTTGGAGTGTCGCCTCATCGTACCGGCAATCCCGGAAAAAGAGGCAGGAATTGCATTTTGTTGTTGAGCTACTCAGCCAAAGAGTAAAGGAAGACAAAAAAGGCAGAGAAGCCTTGAAGTCCAGAAACATATGTACATTAACCTCCTTGTCCTGGTTACATTCACCATATGAGAAAGCTATAGGGTGGAAAATTTCCCCTATGTAGTAAGTGCCTTGTCACGTGACCACTGATATGATTAACAGAGGACCAGGATATATATGGCTTATCGACGGTCACATGAAGTATCCAATTTCGCTGCTCGGGTGTTTCAAGCAAAAATAGTGCCCAAAGCACTGAGAGTAAAATTTTCGACTTGCTCTGGGTACCTTGACTGTTGGGAAGTGCTCTCAGTAATCAAAAATACAGGCTTTGCAGATTTGAATGTCTTCAGAATTTGGTGAAGAGCCTCGAACTCTTGGCTGGCCGGGCCCGGCTGCTCCACCTGACTCTTTGCAATAACCATGCTTGACCGGGGCGCCAGCAGTGCATACTTACTAGTAGTACTCCGCCCTTCCCAGTTGCAGGATCCATGCACAAGATTGGCCTAAAGCACATGCAGGCTTCGGAAGGGTGTATCTGGAATCCAGCTTTCGAAGTCAAAGAAAAATGACGCGTAGCCTATAGACACAGAGTCTATGCAGGCTCCGAAGGGCGAATGGGGTTACAGCTACACAGACCCGATGACATAACTTTCTAGACTTCGCCAAGTGACAACTGGCGTAATATCGAACTAGAAATGATAATCAATAACGAAAGCTCTAATTGCGACGAGTCGAGGATTTGGAGCAGAGAAAATGCAAGATTTCTTGCGCATTGATTAGCCCAAGTAGGCCCAAGTTTTCTTCAAGTCGACTGGAATCGTCATACAAAGCGAAGCTCTAAATTTATATCCTATCCTATCCAAGGTTTCATCTCCGGAGGCTAGTGGTTTGGCCACCAAACTACCTTCAAATGCTAGTGAGAATACTATTGTCGACGGACCCATAAACATCGAAAGTTATGCATCCGAAAGATACGGTGAGCGGATGCCGTCTTGCATTTGCACATCATAAGTGATCAAGTTGAGGAAGCCTTGTACTATAGTGTATGCCAATTAAACCACTTACACAATGAATGTTCCGAATCGGTATAGCGAACGATACTGCTAGTACGTGAAATTTCTTCTTTACTTTGGACACTGGTGTTGTTGACTTATCCTATTATTAATCCTTATGGAATGCACGGTTTAAGTCCTTAATCTGTCTATTTGCCTTCTGCTTATCCGCTCTACATCGGACCACAAGTGGCGACACGTTACTTGATACCTCAGTCAGTAATACCATACTAGGATTTTCGTGAAGCACATGCATCCATGCCGGTTTTAAGATCGCAAGCACGCCCCAATAGGCCTCAATGGACAAATATAATAGAGAGTATCCGGAAAGATGTATGAAGCCGGCGTACGTAGTAGAATTCGAAGTTGTCTGCTCTAAGACCTTCCATCAGTTGCTCCCTTGTCACTTGCCATGCAATTTGACTGCAAAATCGAAAAACTGCCCCCCCTGTATAGAGGCCAACAGAGGCTAGAGCATTTCTCTTTTTTTTCGTCTCCTTTGGAATATACTTGCCTTGGACACTCCAGAATAGATTCGTGAACGATCGGAGTCTTATGGTGACTTGGAAGTTGGAGCAAGCTCTCTTTTGAGATTAATATCTTTGCAGCTTCCTCCTTCGCGATAACTCCGCGCAGTGGTCAACCGATATGCCTCGGACGGAAGTCCATATTGGCGTCAGGCGAGAGCTATTTTATTGACTCATTTGTGTTGATATTCAACGTCAATTACTTGCCCTTATAAGTCTTCATTGGGTCTCGCTGACACGGTCCAAACGGTAACAACTCGATTATCGAACCCCAGCTTCAGATAAATCTACACTGTAGCAATTCGCCTTCGACATCTCTGGTCGAGTGACAAGCAAAATCAGTACAGCAAGTACATTCCATCAGGACTGCCAATCTTCACGGTTGGATCGATTTCACGACTACCAGGACTCATACCAAAAAAGGATACAGCAAAGTACACACATTGTACCCGCTTCGATATTTTACGATTCTACTAAATATGCTAGATGTAGTGTAACAAATAATAAGTATAACAAAGAAGCACATTCAATACTTGAGCGTACAACGTACATGCGTGAAATTTAACGACATGATCTACAGATACGTACTTGAGATGAGAAGGTATACAGATGACCGTATTGATCTAACTCAGGAATAATTTACACAGAGGGAGGTCCGAGTCGAAAATGAAGTTGAGAACAAGACAAAAAAGGACGCGAAATGGACTGCAAGAAGCGATTGGGGACCTAAAACTTCACTTATACGCGAAGGTTTGGAAAGGAGTTTCAATGATAAAACCCGTGAACGTCTTCAACAAAATGAGCAGGGCATCCATCAGACTCAGCATGTCCAAGGACGGGGGTTGCAGATGTACCCCCAGCATATTCCAGATAACCTGATCCATTGTGTACAACGCCGTTATTGCCAGACACGTGAGTAGTGTTCCTCTGATATGCGGTCATCATCGAGGTCGGATCGACGGGTGTAGCGGGAGCATTGAAGCTGAAATGATCCATGTCACTGACGCCAACGACATGATAAAAGTTGTCGTCATTTTTATATGAGTTGGGGATAGTTGTTATATTGGTGGTAAACACTGGAGATCCTTGGGTGCTGAGTGGAGTCCCATTGCTTGAAGATGAGGTACCAGGCGGTGTATACGACGGCCATCCGTTGGCTCCGCTACCGTCAGCAGTGCAGGCAGTGACAGGAGCAGAGTTGGGAGCGCTATGTGTCGGCGACGTCAATGACAAAGGAGACAGCCCGTTCTGTTGCCCATGAATCATATAAGACGATGAGATCTGTTGATGATGTGGCTGGTATCTAAGCTCTAGCTCAGGAAGCGAAGGAATATTGTGATGTCCAACCACTGCATTAAAATGTTGCTGGTCCTGCCGTTGTTTCTTCAGTTTGTTGTCCTCCCAAATTATACGAATTGCCTCTTCGCGCTCTTCAGATTTGGAAAAAGCCCATTGCATTTCCGCAATTGCCGCAAGACATATCCGCGTTCCCTCATCTGCATCAAGGATCGGTAAAAGCCCTGGTCGGACGATGTCCACTCCACCACCACTTCCAAAGCTATTACTTGAGCGCTCGGAGGGTTCCTGTTTGAAACGTCTGAACTGGTGCACAGGGGGTTCATACGTTGCATAGTCAATAAGTTGCTCACTGTCCACACTAGCAGACAAGAACGCCGCGAAAAAGCATCCATCGCGGACAAGCCCAGTGTCCCATTTGAACAAGCCTGTAGGATCGACACTCTCGTAAGTGAGAGTGAGGTGATGCTTAATGATGCTCAGAACGCAAGGAAGGAGCCGGAAACATTTCCTTGAAGCGATATCGTGAAGTTGACGTGGTGACACAAATGGTGAAGGAGAACGGGCGGGGGAACGGTTGGCCGGTGTATTGGGAGAAGATCCATATTGTTTGAGCGATTCACGAATGACATTGTCTGGCAGAACCCAAGCCAAATGAGTCTCATATGGACTACGTGAGCGGCGCAACACTTACGACACTCGAATATGAATATCTGTGACAAGCAACAGAAGAACATTAATCAGTGCGAACGAAAATCAAATTGACATTGATCTAACCTGCCAGCAGCTGACAAACCTCTCAGTCCGAATGTCCACATCCCCGAGCATGGAACCTCCAGCACTGGTGCTAATTCCTCGTCGGAGGGCTTCGAATTCATCCCAGCAACTATCGAGGCCTTCCCAGACCTCCCGCATCCCTTCGGCGTCGACTCCTCCACCTAACTCTGCCGTACGGGACGCCTTTGCACCAGTAAGAACTGCATGAATCTTACGGCAAACTGAGCTTAAGTGCAGAGGAATCGAAAATAGATGCGTCACTGAGAGGTAGGGGTGTGCACCTGAGTGTGGCGAGCCGCCTCGAAGAGAGTTTGATGACATGCCAGATGGAAAAGTGGGAGAGTTCGGAGAAGGTAGGCCAACTCCTGACGCATAAGCTACTCCCCTTAGGCCATGGGGAGAGGTTGTTTGGAATGGCGGTACCGTGCTCTGGAATACATCCAAATCGTCTTCGCTTCTGTATGAAAATGGTCACCTGAGATCAGTAAAATGCAACGCGAAGGGATGAAAAGACACAGAAGAGGCAAGGGATTTCTGCCAACTCACAATACAAGACGACCACCTCTCATTCCAGTCGTTATGCCTTCTTGCATGTGGGCGTACCAGAATATTCGTGCGCGCATGAGGGCTTCGTCGGGAGATTCCGAAGAACCCGAAGAAATGGAAGGCATCGATGAAGGAGGCCCAGAAAGGAGAGTGCAAAGTGAGTGAGCTTGTGAGAGGCTTGCCTCGTGCATCGTTAATCTGTCCAAAGGATGTTCATCTGGGACATAAAGCGCGGTCAGTGAAATTACCAAAAAATGGTTTCGACTAAAGGCAGAGCTGAACAGTCAATTCCGCGGAGAGTGCGTATATAAAGACGGGTGGCATAAAAAGAAGCATTTGAGAGACTCGAGGGGTGAAGAAGGACAAAATCAAATAAAAATGTAATGAATTCATGAAGGATCCTCACCTTCAAGAAGAGGCAAGATAAGCATTAAAACTTTGACGCCATCCCAGGTGGGCCGTCGCATGATCGCATGGATATCGACTAGCTCAAGGACCTCTCTAAGCATGGCTTCGGATCTCTCTTTCCTTACTCGACGAACATTTATCTCATCTACCGCAGATGGGTCAGGTTCGTTGGGCTTCGATCTAACGGTGGGAATCATATCCATTCCTCCCTTTCGGTTGTTCGACCTCAAAGAATCAGAGTCGCATTGGCCGGAAGATTCATCGGAGGGGATACCACGTTCGTCGAGACCAAATGAAGCGGCCCAGACGACCAATACCATTGCAAGAAGACTACCCTCGTAGCCTAAAGAATCTGCTCCTTTTGCGTGGGCACAGAAACGCGCCGAGAACTCGGCACCATCGAGAATCGGACCTAGGAAAGAAATTTAATAATGGAACCCGATGACATTTAGAAACATACGTTGTAGGCTGAACCATTGCCAAAATGAAGAGTCAAAAAAATCTGAATGCAAAGGAGGAATGGTGCTGGGTATACGTGTAGGAAGGCCAAGATACGAGGAGCTGGATGAGTTTTGGTTCGCTTCTTTCCCGTAGATTGCTCTTTACAGCGTATTTAGCTTTTCACGAGTGATTATAAGCTGAAACATCATACATACTCGACTTGCTGTAGGCGTCTGCCACGGCGAAGAAGCTTGACAGCTTTGACGTCCGCAAATTCGTCACTGGAGCGGGTAAGAGAGTGTCAAGTTTTGAGTTATTGCGGCCACGTACACGCATTTCAGACCTCGTTCCTTGCAATTCGAGCAAGCAGGATGCGGGCCAGTTACTGGTATAGAGATGTCCTTCAAATCACAACGTACTCTGGTAACCTAAATTTAGATGAGATCAGATAGAGGGAACCAGCGTTTACCTCCTCATTCTACATGCTCCACAAGCAGAAAACTGCTGGCGTGAAGATTTAGGCTGGCCAGAAGGACGTCGGGCATAAGGCTGAGAAGTACTTCTGGTTGTTGCTGGATTTGAGTGCGCTCTGGGCGACATGGCAGCGGATGAAGCAGAGTGTGCAAAGAGTTATTATTTGAGGCATCTTATATCGTCAGATACGAATAAAGCGGAGATTCATGAAGTAAGTTGAAGTTTCGAGGCGAGGTTCTTGTACAAGATCCAATCTCGATTTGGCTTCGACAACTTCCCACGGTCTTATTTCCAAATTTTCTTTGACCCACTGTCACCCACTGTTCCCAGTACAATCCTGCCACCTTTCAATCTTTTTTCGTTCCTCACGTCTCTGTCCCCTTTCCTATTATCACTAATAATGCTAAGCTTCTTTGCCGCAAAAAGTCATCGTGTATGCTCATAGACACGGCTGATCCTCAAACATTCCTTCAACCTTCCTCGTCCTTCCATCGTTACGCCACCGGCAAGTATTTTTTCATTATCATTATTACAATACCTTACTTTGTCCGATTTAAGTATGCGTCTCCCAAAAAAACGGTGACGCTTCATCAATCCCCGCTCAGATCTTGAACCTAATCATCGCTCCATCTCAATTATACAGTTCTTCAAATCATCGCACACAACTGATACATGCATACATAACTTGTATAGCATTTCCCGATTTTGCACGCCGCCTCGATGTCAAAGTTTCGGTGACGGTTAGTGAGTCGGTACTTACCATTCAATGCCCGGAAGAACAGACAGAAATATTCTCCATCTTGTCGGTAGTAAGTACCACACGTAGTATTATTATTCACGCTAGTTTTTTGATACCGACACTAAGGTAAGTAAACATGCGCAAAACTACTTACGAACCCTAGTAGCAGAACTCACATGTCTCTCTCTCAGGGATTCGAATTCCGACATCTGTTATGAGCTCAATATTTCCATCGTAAGCTTCTCCGGAAAGAAACTGCGAACGTGACGGAGCCTTTACATCGTGTGCAATCGTAACATGTGTGTGTATATTATGATGCCCATCCAAGTACTGATTGCAAACACTGTACTTATACCAAGACTGATGTACATGAGAATGCACCCTCTCAGACATCAAATTCTGCAAAGGTTGCAGTCGAGGAGTCTCGATCTACTGCTCATCAAACCATTAGTCTAGCGTGTCGTACAATGTGGCCACCTCTCCTGGCAGTAAGTGCCTCCGACTCGTCCGTGCGACTCTTTAAAGTCACCTACAAATGAAAACATTTTCTTTTAGCTACAGTACGTGTAGGACGGGCTTACACACTCCGATCAAACCTTTCACAGAATACCTACATACGAGACTAGCAAGTAGACAAGTGCATTTGAGTACATGGTTCCTTTCAATAGTTTCCAGAAAATCATAATCAGAACCGGCTTTCAGCAAAAGTATGATTCACCAACAGGACGCGCTACATCCCCTGGACCACTGTCATGCAAATCAGAGTAACTAAACCCGCTCCGGTGCTGTAGAACGAGGTGTACATAATGAAGGACGAGGTTATGTACACCGACTTTCTGAATTTCTGACTCTCTGACCTGACAGCACCCCCAAACTGAGAAATGCCGTAGTAGCAAAATCCAGAAAGCATATTTGTTACATTCAACCGGAAGCACCCTCCACACCCCGCACCGATGATTAGCTTTACTGTGCATTTTTCTTCCAGAGGGGAGGAGTGGTCGGTCGATCACAAGATCGATTTATTAGCAAGAATAATACAAACAGTACTTGATAGTACGATGCGGATATGGATATTGTAGTGTTCATGGGGAAGATCGCTACGGTGCCACTACGATCCCTGCTCTCTTGAGAGCCCGCCTTAACTCTCCAGCGGTCCGCTGCGCAGTATTGAGTTTTCTGTCTCTCGCCATCGCCTCCACGTCGCCTTTGTGCCTCTCCATTAAACGTTGGAGATATGCAAGCTCCCGCTCGGAGGTATGTCGAACACCTACACCCGTGAGGGACGCAGAAAGCGTCGTACACCCTTTCAACTCAGTTATTGACGCTAGAGTCGATAGAGTTTCCAGTTCTGTAAATATACTCTGGTTAGCATGAATGTTGTAAGACAAAGATAGCGAAAGAAAAAGAACGGAAGGACGGGGAAGTGAAATCGGAAAGAGAAGACCCCAAATGTGAAGCTGGGAACAAAACGAGTCATAAAACGGTAATTGTAAACCTCCGCTAAGAGCTGGATTTGAAGATCCACTGTCGCCGGCCCCATGTACAGACAAGCTGAAGTCCGGTAGAGTGATGCGTATATATGAGAAGCCGGTGAGGAACAAGGTGGAATATCACCTCGATGGCCAACGATGATGCACAAGTATAAAGAACCCCGTATGAACCGCGCGAAACCTTTGTCCGAAGAAGGGCTGTGAGGTCCCAAGGGGAGCAGCCCAAAAAAGGAATAGAGAAGGACAGGAACTGATCAACATGATTGACTGCCCAGCAGTGTACATATGCACACAAAAATAGACAAAATCCAAGACTAAAATCATTCTCCGTGGCGAATCCGGAAAGATTGCGATGAAAGAAGTACGGCCGACATCGATTCCACCGTCCAAAATGTTCTCAGGAAATATGATTCCTGCCAGAAATACGTCGCAAAAGAGGTAATTTGGATCAAAATAGAAGAATAAGAGGTCATGAGGATTAATCGAAAAAGGAAAGAGCTATGGACGTCATGCATGTCCGAGCCATAAAGGACGTCCGAAGAAACTGCAATTCTCAGAAGAAACGAAGCAGCAAGACAAAAGAACACGGATATTGAGCAGCACTTCCATGGCCCCATGGTCAGTCAGATGCAGGTCCTGTCAGGTCCGACATTGCTTGACTGAAGGTTCAACGTTCAACGTTCACCTACCAATTAGGAGACTGAACGATAAAATCCGAGACAGCCGTGCAAAGAGAAAGGACATTAATACAGATACAGTAAGGTCAAGGAACGAGGAAGAAAGGTAGATGGGCGGGAAAGCATAGGGTTCGACGGATACATGACCGATACGCTTCAAAGGCACAAAAAAGAAGACTTTCGACGTGCGCGCGCGGATAGGGCGAACCAGTGCTATCATCAGGAAACGTTTCTTGAGCATCGGGAATACCCGCCACACAAGCATTTCCATCCGCACTAATGAGTGTACCGGCATGCTAAACCTGAACAGGTATCAAAGGTAAAGATCTGATGCTGCAGCGGGAGGCGTCGCAGCAAATTTGACTTGACCTTCTCGCGATGAGCGTTGACCTAACAGAGGAGAATTGCAGAAAAATGAATCAAGAGCGTGAGCTAAGTGAAATGATTCTTCTCTTCGTTCATTCGAAGACTCTCTTAGCAAATCAAGCTAGGATTTCATTCCAACCCAAACCCTTGACACAATAGATCCAGTACGAAGACTAACACTACTGCCTGTGCATGCAGTGTCATCCTTGGATGCCGTTTTTACGCTTGGCGTGACAAGAGCAATGACCACCAACAGAGAGAGGATCACATCGACGACTGAGGGAAGCCCAGCATAGTGTCGTCCCAAGAATGAGATACAAGTGCATATCCGTCAAGTAGGGTTGAAAATGCTTCACTGCATCTTTATGACTGGGAAAGATACATTCGAAAGCGATGTATCTTGTTTGAAAAAGAGGAATGATACAAGTTGAAACCAGCAAACAAATCCTTCTTAATGGTTGACATGAAAGCACGAGGGAACTCTGGGAGATGAAACAAAGCATATGATGCACATACCTTTCACGACAGTCGTATTCCTGTTGGTTGACAAGCGTGTTTTTAGACCGCCTAAGTCAGAAATCCATGTCTGGCGTATGTTTTCGTCCAACCGGGGCTCTAACTGTTCCATGTCTATGTCTCTGTCTCCAGGAAGATCTTCTACCTCAAATTCCTCGTCGGGGAGCTCAACGCGCATGACGTTTCCTGCATCGTCCCGAATAATCCTTCCGTGGCCCTTCGGTATAAAGGACTTCGTAGCTGCACTGTTGGTAGCACCTGCGGATGCATGAGATAATGGCAGCCCCGGATCCGCTGAAGAAGGGGGGTTCGCAGATGTCGATAGGTCCGTCAAGTCAATAGAGGATTCGGGAGCGCTGCCAGAAGTAGTGCGTTTGTCCAATTTGATAATCTCGGCACCACCTGATTCAGAAGGGTTTAAATCGTGAACGAGCCCAAGAGCAGCATAGCTAGAAGAGTAGGAAAAGAGCCGTCAGTGTCTAACCCTTCATTGTAGAAGGGATCAGAAAGAGAAAAGTCTGTTAAGTTTGTTTTGTCGTAAAAGAGAAATGTTGGAGTAGAGAAATTAAACCGATATGCGTAATGGCACAAGAAATGCACCATTGACACCGCTTAGGATCTAGTTTAACCTAAGTAGGTGAACAGCAGACGATCGAGCAATGTGGAGTGATTAAGGTTGAGTCCTGAACCTTGCTTACTTCTGGCGAACAGTTTTCTTGTTATCCCAGGCTTGCTGGAGAACTTTTGGAGCACGTATAGCTGCAATGATTGCTGTTAGCCAAAGGAGCAGCCGAATTCCGAAAGTTACACACGGGGCATCTTCTTGAGATTCCGTTTGGCATGTTTCGAGTGAGAAATCGCTCGGTGCGAAGAAGAGCGAGCTTTTCGCCGTTGCCGAGGGTTGGCCATCTTGGAAACAAGTCCTCTGTTTGATGTTTCGCGTAGATTTTCTTTTGACTTTCAAAGATGAAAGCTGGATAAATGGAAAAGAGCAAGCGCTGCTGCCACGTGCCCCGCGATTCCGGGTCAGAACGGCTTATTTTGGTTCACCCTTCCTCGCTTTTCTTCTACCAGTCAAAATGTCTCGCGTGTTCTACAAGTCGAGGAATCCTCTACAGTATTATTCTTTCGTGCGCGCATTTCTTTTATCATTCCATTCGTAAGTACACAATTAAATCCTCTGGATAGGTTTTCAGAAACTGGACGCCAAGTTTAGCTACCTGGGGTGTTGGTGCCGGGGCTGGTGCCCTTCTGGTGCGCTCGGATGTTCTGATATGTGATCCTTATCCTAATTTGTGAGCTTGATATATCAGTTCTTGTCAGTAACGCCTCTGGTTCGACGTGAACTGCTTTCCAAGGTTCCTGGGGTGCGTCGACATTTTTGATTTCTTACATTGCAAAAGAGATCCTAATTCATACTGCTAGATTAAGGGTTACTTTACGGATAACACTCCTGCTTCCGATAAACCTTTCTAAATGTGTTCAAGTGCACTGTAATCTAGACCGTAACAAGGCCCTGGTGCAAAAACCGAATCTTTCCATTACACTTGATGACGGAGACTCAATATAGACTTAACGACTCGATATAGACTTGACACACTCTACAATTTCGGTGGCCCCGCTGTGAGATCGAGACCGAGCTTTTGCCCAAGCACTTTCACTGCAGTAAGTGTACCTCCAATAGGAACATCTATACATATTGTCAGAATCTGTCTCAATCCGGAAGCCAAACACCTCACGAATTGTCTCCATCCCCAAATCTCTCGCCGCTTTAAGGTTTCTGAAAGGTGACTTTCAGTCGTGTTATTTCAGAGGTTGCATAGGTATCTTACAGCCCGATGTCATCTAAGAACACTGCTTCGCTAGGTTTGATTCCGTTCCGTTCACATGCAAGCAGGTAAAAACGAGGTTCAGGCTTCCTGCTTAGTGTTTTGAATTTCTTTGGTATGGAAAGTGAGTCGAGTATTGGTACTGACCGCGTGCCTAAAGTGCTACTGTCGCAGAAATCATCGAACAATGCCTTCAGCTTATTTGGAGTCGCACCATCTTGCCAACCTAAAAAGTCCAACTCCGAAGAAGGGATAGCAGTATCATTCCGTGAAAAGTTGTTAGTGAGAGCTATGATTTTGTGCTTGTCCGCGGCTGTCAATTCTCGTCAATGAGTACTCAGATGTATTGTTCGTATCAATATAAGTACCTCGAATGCGACGGATTGCCTCCAAGATATGTGGATCATACTGTGACGACTCACGCATCATCATCCCAAACAGCTTCATGCGGCCCTCATTAAATGGCACCAACAGACTCTGGAGTAGACTCACTTCACGGCCGTCAACGTGGAGGGCCTCCGGTAATTCAGGACATTCTTCATAAAACTAGGTTCATTAGGAAGTCAACACCCAAACTTTTGGACTATGCGTACGAATGCCCTTGCGTTTGCAAAAGTCTCGATACCATCTGTTTCCATTCACCGTGTCTGAAAGATTTTGGCTGAAAGCTTTGTAGAAAGGAAACAATTCGAGTTCCCCGCGCTCGAACTTCTGCCATGCACCTTCTGATCCCCGAGCAACGCTAGATAGTGTTCAAAGCTCAATGTCAATGAACATGAAATGAGACAGATACCTACATTGAGCAGTTGAGGTAGTTTTCAGGTATCCGATGCTCCCGCTCGTACCTTGCAATAGCAAGGAAGGGGCTCCGCACGACCACTCCTCCGATCTGAAAAAGAATCAATTCCAGGAAGTACAGACTGAATGATTCTTATGACTTGATTTCGAGTACTTACATCGAATACAACAGCCTTAAATTTGTGGGCCTCTACCATTCCAGACAGAGGTTGAGAAGAGCGTCGGTACATCCGGCAATATAATACCCGGATCGATCCGCCTTTGCCGCCGGTAAAGTTTTACCTCACAAGTCTCCGTTAACGTTCATCCTTAGCAAACTGAAGTCTATTGAAGTCTACGCTGAAAATTTATCAATATGGTACGTATGGTCTATTCCTGTCCCTCATACCTCCACAATACTTGTGCATCCTTAGAGCGTTCCAAATACAATGTCATCGGACTCTGTCACAAATGACTCGGAGTACGCATGCGACATCTTGATAACTCCTAATAAGCGATTATTATCGTCGTTCTATGCTTATCCCGAGGATCTACACACTTACAGATACATATCTTCGCCGTGCCACTCGACCATGGTGACTTCCGCCTTGCAATCTGACTGATAATGATCTGAATCTTACATGCATCGGTATGTGGAATTAGAGTTTTGTGAGTCCTCAACGTCAGACCTCAGCCCGCCTTTCAATGGTTCAATGAATACTGTAGGTGAGCACCTGTATATCTTATAACCGGCAAGAGTCCTATTCAATCTCCCAATTCACCGTAGGATCGAAAATTCCAACTGCCCGAGGCCGTTCAAGGCTCACTAAGATTCACACTGCCAATCAGTTGACCGTGTCCAATGACAGATTCATATGCCTTCCGATCCTCAGTTTGTGATATCTTCTATCTATCGTATATCATGTAGATGCAGATTCAGCGATGGCTAGTGATGGCTTTACTGCCTACGATTTGTCCGGCTGCAGCCATTCGTCTTGCCGCTCATCGTTCTCCCTGAATTGTTGATATCATATTTCCTCCGGCAGCGCATCAATCCACGGGACATTAGTCTTGACAATGGACAACTCGATTTCCTGTTTCTCCTAACTTCATACTTCTTCGGCATCCGCTTCCATCGTGTATGGATTGCTCAGTCTTCAACAGCCCATCCTTGCATTTGCCGATTTTCGTTGCGTTTATAGAAATCTGTCTCCATTCTGTTAAACGGCTGGCATGAAATAATAGTCAACCAGCAGCCTGAGTCAGATACTTACCGAGCATACTGGAGTAGGCAGGATGGTCAGTCATATGCACAGTTGAATATCGGCTAGAGGGTTTCACCAAACTCCCATGGAGTCGGATTGCCTGCGGATATATGCGGATGCTGCCAGGACAAACTACTTAGTATGGAGGTGCGCCAGCACCGACAAACCTCCTGTAACTAGAATTTAAAAGCGAGCACCATATGTAAACCATCCTTGGGGAAGGGGTCGAAGGCTCCCTCCGAGCCGGACGAAGGAGGCTCACATGTGAATGCAATGTTTGAACTTCTCAGCCTGATTGTACTTAGATATGTCACCGAAACCTACATTTATTCCTTGCACTCAGACTAGACTCAGGCTTCGAAGTAATTTTGAATTCTGGCTCAGCCATATCCAGATTGCTGCCAAAGTATGCTATTCCAGAAGATCTGGAGTCAATGTATGCTATGCTATATTTTAGACAAGGATTTGCTTGATTTTGGGTTCTTAAGTATGCTATATACATATTCCGGACATTGTTCTGGTGAAACTTCCCGGAGCCTGCTGAAATCGTTGCCTTGCCATTGAGGACTGTTGATCAAATATAATCTCGGCACCGGTATCCGCCTAACACCGCACAAACGCCCTTGGGTTGTGGTACTGTAGGGTACTGTCTGGTACTGTGAACCTTGACGATGATTGACTTTCGTCGGGCGGAAAGCGTAAGTTGTTTCTGAGTAGGCGAAAGAACACTCGCATTAAATGCAACTTTACTAGTTGGTATTTATATTATTCGGATAGTGATCCAATTTTCCGCCTCCACCTTCCAGCCTCGGAACGCATGTCCAAATCTATGTGAAAATCAGACCGCAATTGTTGAAGTCTGTTATTGGAACCGCACACCTTTTGTTGCCGTTTATGTCCGACACTCATGTCTCCCTCACCTTCACGTACAGTTCCCCCTTCACTTGGCCAATCGTTATTCAGGCGACAAAGCTGGCAGCGGACGCGCGATGATGATGACTCAGACGACGACGATGACGACGATGACAATGGCTCTTCCACTTCCACTTCTCATTCAAAGTCGCCGCAATCGACCCACTCGCAATCGTCTCAGCATGACGGGCATAATTCCAGCCAAGTCACCTCTGGCACTGGCACAAGCCATGCTGGTGCTATTGCCGGCGGAGTCATTGCAGGTATTATTGTCCTAGCTATCCTTGCGTTCTTCTGGTGGAGAAGACGGTCGTCGAGAAACAGACCCAACGTGAAGATAGAGATAGACCCCATGTCAACCTTGAGTATGTGTATTGTTGCTTTCTGCAGCTCTGAACCCCTTTGATCATGCATAACGTACCGTTGATAGACGGCGAAGCCTACGCTTGGAAAACAACTGCACGAAAAGCCGAAGAGCAAAGTCTTATTCACGAACGTAGCTCTACTGTTGGCGCTGATTTATCACCTCGCCCATCTCAGCCGCAGTTTTGGCAAGTGCACAATGTCGATGATGTGACTGATAACATGCACGACGCACCGATTCCGCGAAGTGTACCCGGTGTCGGGAACACGCCTGTCGTTTCGAATATTTCTTCTGGAAAAACACCTGGAGAAAAATCCAGAAACGCTACCTCGACAATTAACTTGATACCAGTTCCAGAAAAGGATTTTCGAGATTACCGTGTTGGCAATGCCAGCGCCAGTAGCTCGAAGGCTGGATCGCAGAGCCCATATAGCTCTAGCGACAGCACTAAGGGTACCACCGAGAAAGACGGTTACTCGACGGTCAAAGGGGGCTCTACATTGCACGACTCACCGGGTCCATCTGCGTGGAAGGAGAAGGAAGGGCTGAAGCAGACATATGACATCCCCGTGAGCGATTCTAGGAGTCAAAGGTCCACGCGTCGTTTGTCGGAATCGGAGGCGAATGACCTAGCTTTGGCGGCCAGAGAGGAAGTGACGGACTTGAGACGGCGGGTGGAACTCCTGAAGCAAGAAAATGCCGAGTTGACAAGGAGGAATTCTGGAGATTCCTCTGAGAGACTCCCTGCTTATAATGAGTAGCATACATGATGGCGGACATCTTCAGAAATTCTTTAGTATTTCACTGAAATCGTAATGTTAACGGACGTCACTTTACCATGGATGAGTAAGTATATCCTGTTACATCCAACCACCGTTTCCATTTGTTAAATCAATATCAGCATAAAATAGTGGTTAGGTTCTTCACTAATTACAAGAGGACACAGATAATTGAGTTTATTGATACATGACTATCGGTTCATAACTTGAATCATTCAAGGAGCGCTTAAGACAATCTGTTGGTTGTTCCGTTCAGCCGAGTTTAGAATAAGAAAAATTGACTACTCGCCGACATGAATTGTTCATAACTGAACTGGACATATCCAGTGCGGTTTACATCAGCCCTATAGATAGTCCACTGGTGAAAATATGCATCGAGTAAACGGATGGAGTGCATACCTCTGGAATGATTCTGTAAGCGTCTTCACGACTACGCAAGCGCGCACAAATCGATCGAAGGTGATTCCCGGGGGCGGACCATACCCAGAGATCGGGGCAGAAGCTTGGTCATAGGATCAGTACTGGACGAGAAGAAGAAATATTTGGAGACATGGACCATGTACCATATTTCTGTTCAATCATACGGAGGAGGTCCGGTGATAAATTGTAACCAAAACTTCTCAAAGCCTCTGAGAGTTCATAGCCCTCGATAGTCCCTGAATGGTCTCGGTCGAAATGTCGAAAGACATTTTGCCAATCCTGTATATATTTCCAAAGACCAGCAAATTCTAAGGACGATGAGTACAAGGAATTGTGTAAGATGGATCATATCTACTACCGTTGTAGTTTATTGTTCCACTGCGGTCGACATCCTAGTAAAACGTTGAGTGGCAGGGGACAAGGGAATAATCTTGACATACAAATGTCGACATTAGCATCTTCACAGTGTCAAGATCGAATTCTTTATAGTATAGTTCGTTAAGTAAAGAACACCATGATCTCACGATTCAACATACTCGTCCAGTTTCCTGTAGAATCATGAGATTTTTACGTTAAAGAGGAACAAGCATAGAGCGCACCATTGACAAGAGCCTGCTGCAACTCATTCGCGGTAATTGATCCAGACCGATCCGTGTCGACTCCAGTGAAATACGCCCAGAGCGTGGGGTCTGTGCCAGGAGGGGGCGCTGCTTGATAGCCATATCCTTCTGGACGGGAATAACGGGAACTATGTGTGCTGTGGATAGATCCATGATGTTGATGTTGGTTTTGATAAGGGTTTCCGTATCCTGAGGATTGTGAGTACATGGTGGAAGCTGTTGAAGAAGTCAAACCAAACTTGTATCAACTAACTAATCTATCGGCAATGAGTGGGGCCGTGCGGCGGCGCTAATGAAGGGCGAACTCCCCTGAATCTTTGTCACCGTAAAGCACGCACGATAAACTTGTATAGACTATATGCGGCTTCGATTGTGAGTGAACTTTCCAGTCAAATAAGAGCAAGAGCCAAATGACGTATGGGAAAGATTACATACGAACAAGCTCAGCCAAGGGATTCTTTGCTGCGCAATCTCATCTTGCTCACTGACTCTCATCTTCAAGCTATCATGTTTTGTGAGTTCTTTACTCATCCACTGTCAAATTAGGTGTTCTGATTGTTTGACAACAGTCTTTCTTCCTCTGATTTGTAGGTGCAAAATTGCCGATTGTTACTAAGTTTTTGAACAAACTACAATAGTCGGTTGTCCCACCAAAGTGAAACCAGATGGCAACGAGCAAACAGCTCACTTATGCCCCAAGTGTAATAATGGTTCGTGCTCATATTACATGTCAGAACTCGATCAACCTGAATCAACTCATAATCATAGCTTCTGTATTCTCCGCAAAGAGCAGGACCTGGTTCGAGTTATTCTTCATCCCGCTCATACCTATGAACACGAAACATATTTGGAAGTGTGGTATATGTAACTGGGCAGCGCCTATGGGTCCTGGGTACGTTATTCAATTTTGTCGTGTTCGTATCGTCGTTTAGGTCTATCGTTGCAGTCAATGGGAACCACCTATCGCATATCAGAATCCTCAACAAAACTTTGGCCATATGCAAGGCCATATCCCCTTAAATGGATTCCAGCAAGGCTACCAACCTTCCTACGACCAACCTCCGCATAACTACCCTCCTAATCAGAAATGAAGCATCTCGGACAACATAATCCTGGACATAATCTTCCTGTAAAATATCGCGGACATTGAATCTGTATATCTACCTTTATCGCTTGTATCTGTATCTCTCGGACAATGCTTCGATGGTTCAAACGTCCGATATTGTTGGCTTAAACGCTAGGTTTTTGACAATTTAGGCTCTCCGTCATCTCCTGTCACCCCTTTATTCACCTATCCCCGCGCATTCCCTCACCTTCCTCCGTATTCCTCCCCCTCCACCTCCCTCTATATCTCTCGAACGTCCAATCATTCATAACTTCTCTAATCAACGCAACCTGGCACCTGAATTCGGATAATCAGACTATGGGTTCCTGCCTTCATGTGGGACGCGACGAAGTCACTGCTACAGCTGCCACCCATATCGACGACTTCCACTTTCCGATAATGGGCTTCAGCAACTATGTATACCTTTTCTTTGACGAAAATCCCACAAAACAGAAATCCATAGCAGTCCATAGCACACAAAAAATCAGACATCGATGATCGACAACCGACGAACCTGGCGAATGCGACGTGCCTGTATGGGCTATTGTCATTGTCTATTCATCTCTTCCTAGTCTACTAGTACCCTCAAATGCTATCTCAAATGGATCGTCATCATTCTATCCATTCACAATATCTTTCAACATAATTTTCCTTAGTCCGTGGCATCGTGTAAGTGTAAGATTCTTGCTAGCTCTTTTTCTATCTATGTAATTCAAGTACATTAGCCCACTAACCAAGGTGTGGTCCCTGACAGCGAAGCCTAGCTGTAGTACAGAATGGCTACAGGTTACATATTGTGTTTACTACCTCTTACTACTACTCATCAGCCATCTTGTATGTACATATGTAGTGCACTGACTGGTAGTGGGCCCTGCCAGGTATCTGAATCACTTATCAGTCACAACGCCTGATAAAAATCCCGGACCGCGATGAGGATTACGACGAACAGATGACCAGTTTCCGAAATTTAAACATAATAAGCTTGAATTTCGCGGTGGAATTGTTCACCGGAGTCGGGTAGAGGAAGAAATCTGAAGAAATGCATCTACCTATGTATTCACATGTCAAAATTTCGAACGGCGCGTCACTAAGCTTGCGGCGCAACTTTGTAAATACTACCCGGGCCCTTCTTTCTTCTCATCTACCATCATGCCTCTCGTTCGTGACCATATTGAGGGATATCCAGAGACAATTCCTTTCACCAAGCAAGGTGTGGAGGTCCCTGGAACGAAGAAACCAGGACAAACTGGTACGGAGATGCTAGCGTTCGGTCGGTTTTTACTCATTAACAATACTCTTCAGGTCATTACCGGAATGGTATGTCAAATGAAGCCTTTTCCTGCCAACTGCATATGAATATCCATGCTTCAATTAGGAGTTTGGGGCTTGTTGACCAGGAATACACCCAATGCACTTACCACTATCACGGAGATATATGATAGTGGTATGCGCGTCGGCAAAGACGCGCCGTTTCTCGGCCGTAGACCGCTTATTTCAACGAATCCTGTAAAGTACGCACCGTATTACGAATGGCAAACTTGGGGTCAGGTCGACCATCGCCGGCGGTGCGTAGGCAGCGCCCTCTCTTTACTCTTTAAGACCGGGAAGCTTGGGGGCGCCGGAGAATTAGAAACAGTCGGAATCTGGGCTATGAACAGACCTGGTGCGTATCTTGCGTATATCAATACTATCCCTTCAGTGCTCAAGTAGCTATTACAGAGTGGCAGATTGTCGATCTTGCTATTGCTACCTATGGAAAGGTAGATGTAAGTATATACGATACACTCGGGAAGGATGCTGTAGGTGAGTTTGCGCCGTATCTTCCGCTGCAAATATTAAACGTTCCGTGTCAGAATATATGTAATTTCATCTCTGCTCTTCAACATCGTTCCCTTATTCATATGTTCTTGCGACGTTGCGTTTAGAATCAACCACTCTCATGTCACCTCTGTGTTTACCAGCGCAGACCACATCCCTACACTCCTCAAACTCAAGCCGAAAATTCCGATGCTGAAAGCAGTTGTGTCCATGGACGACTTCACAGCAGAGACGAGAACTATTCTTACACAATGGGGTTGGTCTGTTGGCGTCCATGTAATGGACATGAAGGAATGTAAGTATATAACTCGTGCTCATATTCTCTCTGTACTCAATCCGCGATAGTCGAAGCCATTGGCGAAGCAAACTTAATAGAACCTATCCCGGCTACTCCAGACCAATTGGTGTCTATTTGTTATACATCAGTGAGTTCTCTGTGCTTCAAGCTGCGAATATGACTGGACACTCGTTCTGTCAGGGAACAACTAGTAACCCGAAAGGTGTGTCTTGCATTTCCCCTTCTCAGCATTGGAGTGACATTTCGTATCTTCAGGCGCGATGTTGACGCATGGCATGCTTGCTTTGTCTGTTCAAGCAAATCTGTACGGTTTGAATCTTCCTGATGAAGGTTCAACAATGTCCTACCTGCCGCTTGCTCACATCTATGAAGTGGATCCATTCAGTCTTCATCGCCTGGACTTGGCTGACCGAGATATTTCTCGTAGCGAATTACCGAACTAGCAACGATATCTACTGGTGCAAAGATCGGATATTTCAGTGGTGATCCTTTGCGACTCATTGAAGACTGTCAAATCCTCAAGCCCAGTTTATTCCCTTCTGTTCCCCGTGTGTTGAATCGTGTGTATCAAGCAGCCATGCTTGCTGGTGACGTCCCAGGATTCAAAGGAGCACTATTCCGAAAGGCGATCCAGGCCAAGATGGAAAAATTACACGCGACAGGGGACAATACTCACTTCTTCTGGGATAAACTGGTGTTCCGTAAAATCCAGGCCGTCTTAGGTGGTAACTTGGTCCTTGTTACTTGCGGTTCTGCCCCCATCCATGGTGAAGTCCTCGATTTCCTCAAAATTGCTCTTGCATGTGATGTGCTTGAAGGTAGGCTTTGTAGTCGTCAATTTGTATGTTGCTCGACGCTGACACCTTCTCGAAGGATATGGAATGACGGAAAATTGCGGTACTTGCACTAAATGTTGGCCTTTCGACCCTTCGGCCAGTGGCACCGTTGGTCCTCCACAGGCGGTAACTGAGATCAAGTTGATCGACGTGCCTAGTATGAACTATACGTCAGAAGACAAGCCTCGACCTCGCGGGGAACTTTGTGCGCGAGGTGAAAATATTATGAAGAAGTACCACAAAGGTGAGGCCGGACATTCGGTTGTCACATGTTACTGAATCTGCAGGTTATAGACGAGAAAAATACACAGGAGGCTGTTGACGAGGAAGGTTGGCTGCACACAGGAGACGTTGCAGAGATCGATGACTTTGGTCGGGTCAGAATCATTGACCGAGTTAAAGTGCGCTCTTTCATAGTTGAATTTGTCGGAAGAGCTACTCAAGGAGGATATGCGACATCTAGAACATCATGAAACTAGCTCAAGGAGAATATGTTGCCGTAGAGAAGATTGAAAACACCTACAGCTCATCTGCGGCGGTCGCTCAGCTGTTTGTGCATGGTGACTCATTACAGTCTTACCTAGTGGGCGTTGTCATTCCGGATCCATTGCACCTCTCCGCCATCGCTTCTCGCCTTTCTAGTAGCAAAGTGACACCGGATGATGTAAAGTCCTTGGGTGAAGCTTGCAAGCAACCGGAAGTGGTCAAAGAATTTGTGAATATCCTCGATAAAGAAGCAAAGAAGGGAGGATTGAAAGGGTGAGTTGGAGTACTTGGAGCCTTTTATCTGTGGTGACTAATATTTTCTCTTATCATAGATTCGAGACCCTGAAGCGAATCCACCTGAGTCTCGATCCCTTCTCAGTTGAAGATGGAACACTCACCCCGACTTTCAAGATCAAAAGGAAAGATGCGTATAAGAAATTTAAGGCTGAGTTGGACGCACTGTATTCATTAGGAGAACCTGGCGCCGGGTCGAAACTTTAGATATCTAATAATGGTAAATTATGATCGTCACAGTCGCAATACACGACTAAATATCTCCTTGGACCCGGCGTGCGATGAATGACAAGCTATCACGGCGGGTGCAGTACCACCGTAGCGCAACGGGACATGGCGAGTCCGGTGTTTCAAGGATACGGGGACTTTGTAAACAACGGCAAGAAAAATTGAAACTTCAAGCGCGTGGACAGCGGGACGACCCGACTTTTGACGCGCGCAGTATCAAATAAGTAATAGGTGATAACGTCAAAAAACGACTATTGAGGTACAAATTGTGGGGCACTGTCCAAAACGATCTGCGCTCAAACGTTCTCTTCGATTTATCATCCGCTAATCTTCTATGTAATTGTCAGCTTTTGTTGGCACGATTTCTTTGCGATTTCTAAAGCAGTCCGGGTCCGAAAAATGATGAAATCGCGGACGAAGCGGGTTCAAAGTAGAGATTCACGGAAGCCTGGACTCTTATATGGACAGAATTGCCTTCTCAATTTTTGACACTGCTAGAGCCTCGAGTTTCCCAAGGCGTGTCCGATCACGGATTCATAAAAGAGCTTGGAGAAAGAGATAAATGTAAGATAAAGTTCTAAAGCTTAGAATAGTAGAAGGAGGAGGAAAATTCAAACTGGTACCGGTGGATCTCATACCGGTGGGTCAATCGCTGAGGATCACTAAAACAACTGATTGATCGTTGAACGTTGGACGCCCGATATTTTGTGTTTCTCTGAAAAAAGGTATGTCTGGTAAACGGGCACAGGCGCTCCATTTGGCGCTCTAGATTTCAACTTCAACTGCCCCCTGCCCAAACCGATCCTGAGATTTTCACTTGTTTCTCCACCTCCCTCCGCAAATTTGAATGAGGTGATAATACACAAATAAGTAGACGAAACTTCAGGGAGAATTCAAACTTCCTTATGGACATACACGGACAACAACTAGAAGCCCACTGATTCTGACGTCCTTTGCAGTATTTGGTTTCGTACTTCGAAACAACCGTTGACTCGGTTAAATATATCGCAGGCGCTTCAAAATAACAGACATAGTATTGCGCCTATACTTTCCGAGCTATTCTAAGCTATCCAATGTCCAGAGCTGTCTCGCCACAGTTTTTCAAACAAAACCTATCAATTCTTACCTGCCCAAATCCACGATGCTGCGAATCCGCGGGAATCCTGATTTCATCTTCCTCCGCGCCCAACGGCGAGAGACGGAATTTGCCATGTGTGTGTGACTGCCCCATCCAAGAGCCCACAGCTCCCATCTCCGAATGTTGACGATTCCGGGAGGGGTGATACTCAGTATTTAAGGAGCCTTGAAAAGACAGATCGATGATTCTTCCTTAGCCCCCGCCATAACCACCACCAAATGCCACGTCAACATGATTTACTCCTCTGCCTTTTGGCGCCCTTCACCTGTGCATTCACGCAGGCTCTCTTCTTGGCCTCGGAATATTCTGCTCTTAACTCTTCTGTCGGTGGTCGCCTCTTTAGGGGCACGCCTTTGGTACTGCCGTGCGTCCCGTCCAACGTCACACATACAGGAAATTGTTCTCAGGTTCAAACTGAGTACCTTGACGAAGGTAACGATCTATCAGCTCCAAACCCCTTCTTCCATGCCTAAACAGGGTGTAGGGTTTCGTACCAACACCCCCGGTGCCTACGTAGTTCCGCAATGGGAAACATGTCAAACGACGGGAGCACAGTGCCTCCTCGACTACACCAATACTCTCGATCTTACACCCGTTATACCACCAAGGGAATGTTTGTTGGGCAGTATTCCGCCTTACTTCGTCCGTTCCTTTTTTGACCACCACATACCCATCGGATCTGATACCCGCTTTAGATCGATGTGCAATCTGAAGACGATGTTCGCGCAGCGTTTGACTTCTCTAAACGTCTCCAGGTACCGCTAGTGATCAAGAATACCGGAGTGAGTATTACTTGTTCTTCGGACCTCAGCGACATATACGAATACCTGCGTACAGCACGATTACAAAGGCCGTAGCAGTGCCCCTCGTTCTCTAGCGCTTTGGGTAAGCTTGCATTGCCTCTCATATTCGTGACCGGATGGATCTTACACTCAGACGGACATAGACGCACAATCTAAGAAATGTACGTGTCCTCAAATAAAACGCAACCGCTTGGAGTCGTTCTGAAAGAGACCTAGATTTCATATGAACCAGACTTCGTTCCCGAAGGGTGCTCAACACCTAGTGCGGGTGTTACTCTCGGGGTTAGTGTAAATTCTTTCCGCACATCTCCTATCATCTCATTTCATCCACATATTTGGTTCATTATACAGGCCGGGGTGCAGTGGCAAGACGCTTACTCTTTCGCCGAAAGCCAAAACATCACTTTGGTGGGAGGTAAGCCTGTTTCAAGTGAGAGCAGAAAACATCGGATCGAATTTGAACCTTGACATCAGGCAGTGACAAAACTGTAGGCGCTGTTGGTGGTTGGCTTCAGGTTAGCAAAAGAAAGTTTCAAAGCCTACACGTGCTTCTACTCATTTTTTTCCTGACAGGGAGGTGGTCATGGCATGTTGTCAAACACAATGGGTTTGGGTAAGCGTTACAGAAACTATGCATTCCAAGTCAACATTGACTGATTTGACTGAAACATAGGCGTGGACCGGGCGGTAAGCTCGACGTGAAATGATCGCGGACTTGCTTTGAGCACTTTCTTGTAGTTGCAATTCAAGGTGGTGACTCCCGACGGCCAGTATAGGGTAGCTAATGCCTGTCAGAATCAGGATTTATTCTTTGCGCTGCGAGGAGGTACTCACTCTCGTTTCATTTCACCTGCGGTATTGCCAACTCAAACTTGTATCCGTAGGAGGAGGAGGTACATTTGGCGTTGTACTGGAGAGTACAGTGCTAGCATCTCCTCGAGTTACTCTTCAAGTTGTGATGGTCACGTTTGACTCCACCACTGACACGACTATAACGCGCGAGTTATGGAACACAATGACAGCGAACGCCCTGCAGTGGGCAGAAGATGGCTGGGGTGGAATCGCTACTACAAATGTCGCCATATACATCAACCCGATACTAGGCCCTGCTGAAGCAGCGAAGTCCATGAACCCCTTAATCGAATTTGGGCAGAAGCTGCAATCGGATCAAGTTGCAGGGGCTCAACTTATATCAACCAGTTTTGAAAGCTGGGGAACTTTCTTTAATTGGTTCGCGGCAGAGAACGTTGCGGTAGGTTTCATCTCCAATCATCAAAGCGATCGATCTCTTCCTTGTTCGACCGCATCCTCTCTATGAGAAGAGTTCGAATGTTTACAGGTTTATCTTATTCACAGATTACTGGTGTCAGCCTTGCTCTCGTCTCCCGCCTCATCCCCAAAGCCAATTTTGCCACAGCTGAATCTCAAGCTGAATTGGTCGAAGGGCTCCTAAACACTACTGTTATCACTCCACGGATTATCATTCTCGTGACTGCTCCATCTTCGTATCCTGGTGACAATACCACAAGCGTCACTGAGGCGTGGAGATCCAGCCTTTACCATGTTACCGCTGTGTCATCGTGGAATTGGAACGCAACAAAAGAAGATAAGAAGACAGCGTATACTCAAGCTAGCGCATCCATAGATAATCTTCGACGTATTACACCGGACGCTGCATATCAAGTAATCATGTTTTCTGTATGCTTCGATGCATAGGGTTGCTGATTATTTCTGACTCCAGAACGAAGCTGATGTTTATGAACCAAACCACGAAAGTCAGTGTCGAAGGTTTTCAATCCACGAGTTGACTTATGTTTGTTCATAGTCTCATTTTGGGGGTCAAACTATCAACAATTACTGGAGATCAAGAACAAGTAGTGAGTGATTATTTTCGTGATGAAAAATGTGCGTTTTGTGAATGGTCTCTTCCATTTAGTGATCCTTTCCACCTTCTCGATTGTTGGAACTGTGGTAAGCTGTCTATCTTGATCTTCATACAAAATCAGGTTAATATTTCATAGTGGGCTGGAAACCTTCGGCGCCTCAGTTTTCATGTTACCTATGACTCCGTGGTACAAATGTGGATAAATTATGGTTGTAATATCATTATCTCTAGAATGTTGCTGAATTCGAACTTCGGGCCTTGACCCAGTGTTGTAGGAAGAATCGCAGTTTTAGGTGAAGCCTTGCCACTTAGTTGTATCGATATCTGCCATGATGTTCATGTTATGTGTCATTTTACAATCAACTGCATATTCTGGCTAAAATATTCGGTGGCTGACTCAGGCCTCTGTGAGCATATTTTTACTGTTTCGTGTGATATCACGAGCCAAAGAGCATCCGATTAATGCAATTGATGCATGCAATAGAGCCCAAAAGTAACCTCCCAAGACGTTGTACTTGTCAGAAAATGCGAACACGGAGCTAATGATAGTCCAAAAGGATTTCCATTTGAAGTCGCATTAGATACGCGGACAGAGGTACATCAGATAGCCACTAACCTAGCGAAAGCTGCGCTAACGCAGCGTGAAAAGCACATAGATGATTGGACAAGCCCATTAGCGGAACCCAAATACGAGGGCTTCGGGACATTGTTTCTGATTAGAATCATGCTCGCACTGTAAGGGTATCAAATGCAGCATCGGAACGAGGGGATGAACACTGACGAATATGCGATTCCGCCTACACGACTAAGAACCAGCACAATTACGATTCCGACCCAGAGAGCTGAATGGGAACGGCTCCCAAGTTGCCCTGTACTTTCGTCCAGCCCATATCTGGCGATCATATTAAGAGTGGGAAGAAACAAAAATGTGACTGGCCAAGCAGCTATCGATAGGTTATAGATCTTTGCAGCCTCGATACGTCTGAGAAGGAAGGGCATAAGAAAGACTTGCACGGAGCCAGCAATGACTCCCGCGAAGGCTAAGGAGTAGCCTATTGTCGAAGGCTATGTCGGCGACCATTAGTATGAAAGATAGGGCATTTCGTAACAACTTCCTCACAGGAAATGCAAGACCGCCACTTTGTATAGGAGAGTAGCAGAAGAGGACGTATAGAACACCGAATGACGTTCCGTTTGCTTCGAGCGCAAAGCCACTCAAACTCAAGGCACGAATGATAGGAAATGAAAGCAACTCTCTTGCGCTCGGGGAAACCGGTATATCGTCATGGCAGTCCGTGTTGTGTTCAGAAGTGCAACATATGTGATCGTAATCTTTTTCTGCGCTGAATCGTCGTTTTGTGGACAAAGTCTTTGGGGCTGAAATTAGCAAATTCCAAAGAAGCAACGCAAATCCTCACTTCTCCTAAGCAAAAATACGCCAGCGTAAATCCAACTATTGACAGAAGACCCGCGACAAAGCATGGTAGGAAGTAAGGATGTCGGTCGAAAATTGTCTGTTTGAAAATGCTAAACTGGCTTGCTGGACTTGAAAACGAGCCGCCAATCAGAGGCCTAGATAAGGACCGATGAGACAAGCATTTCAAAATCTGAAGAGAATACTAGTACCCAATAATCGAACCGATAGGCCAGACGAGACTATGATGATCGAGGAATTTTAAGTAATGGCCACGGTTGGAGGAGATCGATCCTCTTACCCATATAGCGGAAAAGCCGCAGCTTGATTCGTGGAGTCTATTATGAAAACGGGTAAGAAGCGGAAGTGAGGAAGGAGTACACCGTGATCTAGATTCCTCGCCTGTGATTTCGCCCAACACCGTATGCACTACAGAAGCAGTTCCAGCGAAGACTCCAGCTAAATAAGATCTCAGTTGTGACAAGTGTATTAAGGGCGAACAAAGCTCACCTATACACCGACTTATCAAAAGGTCGACGATGGAACTCGAAACGCCAAAATACATCGTAGAAAGAGCAACGCCAAGTGTTCCTGTCATTATAACAGGGCGTCGTCCAATTATATCTGGGGACATATGAGAGTAACATCAGTCTACATCAGTGCAGAAGATTGCGCTCTATACAAACCTGAAAGTCTAGCCCAATGATAAATGAACAGAAGTTGTGAGACTGCAAAAGTGGACTCCTAGGTAATATGTATATGTGAGCCACGGAAAATTCCTCGAGCAAACCTGACTCACTACCAGACCACTGAAATATCCAATTTGCGATGGATCGTCTGTCACATGTAGGAAGGCGATGAACTCATTAATGTATGGAAAAATTTGGGTAAACGCGATAGGGTCTACAAGTCGGACAAGACACAAGGCAGCGATTTGCGCTTTTGGTAGCGGAGTGACACGCCTGGAAGGACTTTGCGCTTCAGCGTTACAGGCGTTGATCAGAAGAGGTGTCGTTTCGTCGCGGTCATCAGCAGGAGGACATGAACTGTGGGAAGCCATGTAGTGAAGAAAAAAATGATTGGCAAAAAGAGCGAACCGTTACTGGAAACCATCTCGACCTTATAAACGTTCGAAGGTGGTAAGGGAAGGAGAACAGACCGGCTTCGACTGAATATATGATTCCTGATTCCTGACCAAATATTCTGATAGATTTTGGAAGTATGGAGCCGGCTGGACTTTTTGTTGGCATTTACGTTTCGGCAAGGTGAAATGAAAACTCTGGATTTGTTGAATTCGGTTCAACTGGCTTGCGGACGATGAGAAGATTCCTTGAGAACCTTGGTCCTTGCTCAACCGTGAGCGGCGTTCTCGGACCGAGGGCATGTGATTATGTCATCACGGATTCTGATTTTTCCTCCGGGTCTTCTTTTTCTGCAGTTCCAGTTCTACGCTCGCTTTCATCTAAGTCATTTTCTCTGCTAATATATCCTCTACCACTTGTTAAACGCCAAAATGAACTTTGGCTCCAACGATAATACCCCTGCTCTTGTTGCCCCTCGACCTGTTCGGTTGAATTTTGCTCCGTGCGCCATTCTGAACCGTGCTCCATCAGTGCGAATCGTCTCGGAGCCCATCAAAGACGTTACTGAGCGTTCACACTCTGCTGGAGACATGAAGATTGGACTCCTTGAGTCTTCCTCAGATGCTTCTCCGCGGTCTTCTCCGAGGTTTGTTCTCGTTCATTGTCTTTTACTTTGGAATGGGATCATTTTGATTGACCATTTTTCATCTGTTAGGATTGGTTTACCAAGTGAAGCCCTTGAGGAATTCTTGTCTATCCTTAAGCCTTCTATTTTTCCTCCTCATTCTCCGGTTCGGAGTCGTCGCCAGGCATCTCTTCCTACGTTGCACCACGAACGGTCCTTTTCCTACAAGGGGCGCGCGCGCATCGAGTCTACTGTAGAAGAGGTAGAAAGCGTACGCTCCACACAATCTAGTAGGAATACTGGCTCACCTGCTGAAATACTGGATGGAACGATGGAATATCAGTTGTTGGATTTGGAAAACTCCCCGTTCCGCTGGTTCACTTCTAATATCCTTTGTGAGTATCGTGCTTCTATATGTTGTTGTGCTTGACTTGACATGTGATGCAATAGCGTCTCCCATATCCCGCAACAACACTCGAAACCCGTTTCAGCGTCATGTCACTCATCCTATCATATCATCTCCTCGCCCCCTCACCCCATCGCCGCTGTCTTCTCTCTCTCCTGCCGCCATCCCTCTTCCTCTTCCTTCTCCTGACGAACTTGTTTATGCTTAAACGAAAGCATTACCTGCCGCGATGTCCATTCCGGTCATCAATATCCTGTATCAATGTGCCCTCATATATATATATTAGTCCCTTGCTCTACGTTACATTAACGAACATTATTTTCTCAATACTTGTGGTTCATAGTCATATTTATTGGATTTTTTTGGATTGTGCATCACCTTGTGGCTTGCATCACTATGTATAGCGTTCCTGTAATTAGGACAGCAATTGTATTCATTCAACAGTTAAGGATCCCATGGTGATAAAGCTTGCCCCCCAATGCCTTCAGTCAAGAAGATCGATTGGCCATCACTATTAATATAGAAGCAATCTTCCAATCGGACGCCCACCTGTGAAACCGAGTACACATTCAGTCTCGATAATGCAGAGTTAGCAGAGTCAACTTACTTTGCCCTCAATATAAATGCCTGGTTCGTTGGAAAAAGTGTGACCAATCTTAATAACATCTAAGCTACCGCCACGAATATAGGGTTCCTCGTGGCCTTCCAATCCAATTCCTGTATAAATGTAAGTCTGTTTCCGTGAATAAGGAGCGGAATTCGATCCGACCGTGTCCCAATCTATGTGTAAAGTAGGCGCCACGACCTGTAAGATTGAGAAAAGACCTTGCGGACGCATCAATGTCTTGAGCAATAGCACCCGCTTTGGCAACGCGAGCAGCAACCGTTTGAGCAGAGAGAACGTCACTCCATATTGCTTGATGCTCTGAGGGAACTTTCGTTTTGGGAAGAGCCACAGTCTATACACATCTCAGGCGATCAATAGAAGGGGGATTGATATTACACTCACGCGAGTGACATCGCTAACATAACCATGCAGGCTTCCTCCACAATCAAAGAGAGCAAAATCGGACTGGCCCAAGACTCGATCCGAACCGCTTCCATGAGGAAGAGCAGCGTTCTCTGGACTCAGTAATTATAAAGCCTTGCTTAATGGGAATGCAATGCGCGCACCTCCGAAAAGGGTTAAACAACCTCCGTTGTCTAAACCAGCCACTTTGAGAGCCATAGACATCATCCTCCTAGCCTCCGACTCCTTCATACCAATGGTCATCTTCTTATGTACTGCCCTTATAGCAAGGAGCGTGGCCTGAGAGCATTTAGTCAAAGAAACCTTGTCCGAAGTGAATTGACGGTGTACCTCGTTCGCACATTTCAGCAGCTCTATCTCAGCATCCGACTTCCGTTGACGGAGTTCCTGTATTTCAGGAGCCGAAGGAGCTACACTGATATTCGACAATGCTTTCTGGAAGCCGTTAAAGATGAACAAACGAGCGGATTCATCCAAGTATACTTTGTCTTCTATTGTCAACGCTGAGATCGCGACCTCATAAGGATTTCTTTCCTCGGGCCATTCGATGTACTCTACGCTGTCATGAGGAATTGGCAGCATCTTGGCCCGAGTGGCCTCAAACTGCGGGGTCAAAATCGCTACCTTGGCCTCTATTTGGTTATCATTGACAAGAACTGGTGTGATGACAAGCAACAGCGGCCGTTCAGATAGTTTCCAAGCAGTTGTTGAAATATTTCCAAAGTAGTGTGCACTGGCGCCGGGTTCAGCAATGAATGCAGAGGCGTTCAAGTGGTGCAAAGTGCTAGCTAGCCTGCGTTGGCGTTCGTGGAACTCTGCAGCGGTTATGGGTTGGGAAGACTCGCAGTGATTAGCCAGATCCGAGAACGGATTTGACAATGGAAAGGCGCCTCCTCCTTTGAAGAGGCCGCTCACATGGAAGAGGCTTGTTCCAAAAATTAGAGGTATCCAAGCTATACACGCTAGAAGTAGAAACGCGATTCTCTGTAAGTGATAATCGATAAGCTCCAATAGATGGGGTTTATATCAACAAGTTTCTCAACTGGACCAGTAAGTTGAGCCGTTGTCAAATTTGTCGGTGTTTGCCCTACACGCTTCTCCATTAGACTCGGATGCTGAGCGCTGAGGTGTGTAAAGTTATTTGAAGAGGTAGCTAATAAACTATTGTCGGTGACGGAGACGCGCTGCCGGATTCCGTGCATTGTGGCTTACTCAGGCTCTTATTTGCAACCATCCACTCGATGTCAATAAATGGCAGACGAACAAGACACCGATACTCTCCTGGCTTTGGTGTCAAGCCTGACTCACAAAGGTCATTCGACGGAGGTAATGTTGGATGCTCTTGTTCAGGCCGAAGGTAATCCAGAACTCGCGTCTCAAATTCTCAATCGCGGTCACCTTGGATCAGAAGTTCCTGCAGGGAAAAAGCGTAAGAGGGCTTCAGGCCTGGACAGTTGGCTCAAGGGTCCAAATCACGCTAAACCTGTTTCCCGACACGCATCTTCGTCGTCTTCTGCTGGGCCCAGTTCCAATCCACCTATCAGGAAGGTCAATCGCGGTGTAGATCTCATGGCCGTTCTCAAACAACCTCCTCCATCCAAAAAACCAGCTCCACGCAAGCCGACATTGATCCTCAACAGTCCTCAAATGGTCGCAGAGCACACTCCGTGTACGATGCACCTATCCGTTCTTCCTTTACAGTTGGCCTCAAAGTTGTTCTACTCCTTGGAGCAATCTTCTAGAGATTGGCAAAGGAATAAGTGGTGGCTCTTTGATAGGTTAGTCGAAAGTCCTCATAGAACCGCTTTCTTCGTGAGGAAGACGGATGGGGTGAGCGATGATGAAACTTGGCATGAATCAGCTCAATACTGGTGAGTGCCATGAATCGTAGAGTTTTTCCGTTATGCTTTTAATGAACTATTCTTAGGTACAACGGTCGCAAAACTGACCCGCCTGATATCTTCTCCTCTGAAATGGAAGAAGCTTGTGAAATCATTGAGCGTCTAGTCACAGAGGAGATCCGTCGACGACCCTATCGATATCCGTTAGAATGGGCTGGCGGAGACGTAAACTCTACCAATGACTTGATATGGCGAGCAAACGTAGCCGCTTCAAATAGATACGAGGGCAGAAATGAAAGCGTTGGATGGCATTCTGACCATATGACTTATCTGGGACCTCATTGCACAATTGGTGGGTTTGTATGTACCAAAATCTGTGAAATACACCACTTACGTCGCTGATTTTACACAAAGCTTCCCTGAGTCTTGGTACGTTATACCTGTATAGGCGAGTATGCACTCATTCAGCTGTTGATTTATAACGCGCTTCTGTCCCAGGAACACGAAGGATGTTCAGTCTGAGGGAGACAGTTCCTTTGCACGAGACGGAGATCCGAGGTGCCCAAACTTTCAATATACCTCTCCCGCACAATTCTGTACGTACAAGCTAAATTTGCGTCTCCCTCTCTTCTAAAACCCTTACACAGCTAGTGATCATGCATGCGTCATGCCAAGAACGATTCAAACACTCTGTTCCACCTCAGTCCGCCATGGATGTATATCGTCCAACGCATCCACGCATTCCTGGTGGTCCCATCGAGCCTTTCAATTGCCGCATTAATATTACATTTCGCTTCTATAGACCCGATTTCAAACCGCCCAGCATACCGCTATGTAAATGCGGAATTCCCACTGTATTACGTCCAGACATGAAGAACCAGCGTGATGGACAAGAAGGCAAATATTGGTGGACATGTTTTGCAGGAGCACAGAATGATGGAAAAAGCTGCGGTATGTGGAAAGTCATGGATATGGAAGCGGAAGGTAGAGGGCCCACTGTCGGGAATATGCAGAAGACAGAGGCGTCGAGCAGTAGAGAATAACTGCAAAATAAAAATACTCGTAGGTGAGTAGGTATGGTGGTACGTAGGTCCATGACATACAGCCGTAACACTTTCAGTTAGCCGTTGCCTATAGAGGCCTAAGTATGGACCACTGGACGCCGGAGCTCCCAAAACGTGAAATCAATCGAACTCTATCATTGCATATGTATGTACATATCCGACGCTAAGGAGAATGGATCTCCATAAATACCACAGAAAATGTAGTCCAAAATCTGGGTTCTCTTCCTAACAGTCCGCTATGCTACACTCATCCACGAACTCTAACGACGAAACGCAACCACTTTTACGACACGACGAAGAAAATTCAACGATTTCCATCCCACAGCAATCCTCTTTATCCTTGTCGCAGCTGGCAGTTATATGTTTTCTGAGAGTCCTTGATCCTCTGAACTTCACTCAGATCTTCCCCTACATTAACGAATTTGTGTCGAGATTACACCTAACTGAGGACCCTTCTCAAATTGGCTTTTACAGTGGTAAGTAAATATTCCTTCAGTGGTGTCAATGATCACCGTACGGCGGAGTGAACCTTTCCTGTTTTCTCCACTAGGCGCGATTGTGAGTTCTTAAATCTATTTCTGAACGGAAGGTAGATGCCTCTTCTTGATCAGGAGAGTGTATTCGCTCTAAGTCAGCTCGTAGCAATCTATCCGTGGTCCTCATTATCAGGTCAGTAATGTAAAATGCGCCCTGCGGCTCAAGCTTCAACTTCAGTCCTTCAGATAGCATTGGTCGTCGCCCCGTTATCATTGTCGGGACGCTAGGTTTGACGATTAGTACACTTTTCTTCGGAGTATCTCGGTCTTTTTTAGCTGCGATGGTTGCTCGAGCTTTAGGTGCGACCTCCCCCTTGTCATGCGAGAGGTGCTTGGTTTGATTGTCATGCAGCGGGCTTATTTTCTGGCAACGTCTCCGTAATTCCAACGGTCCTCTGTGAAATCACCGTCAGTAGCCTTGATTTTTTGCTTCAAGGATGAGATGACATTGAGCGCTGACAGGACCCCGAGAACGAATCTTTTATATTTCCCTTTTTCGGCATTTTCTGGCCGTTGGGTATGGTATTAGGGTATGCATTTGTGTGTCACATTAAAAACTACCTACTGATGGTTTTTTGCCTTAGACCTCTCATCGGTGGTTCGCTGTCGGATATTGCGCTGAAATTTCCGACCGTTTTTGATTACGCCGTCCTGAAAGCGTATCCATACTTTCTCCCCTGCTTGGTTGTCGCCGCAATAAACTTTGCGGGGATGCTTTCCGCATATTGTTTCCTGCAGGAGGTTGGTTCAGGTTTCCTTCATAGTGTCGAATGATAAGGATCTGACGTTGAGATAATTCAGACTCGTAAGCCCATACAGGTAATGTCTATATCACGTTCGCGCCCTCCACTGGTCGAGTTTGATGAGGAACATCAGTTAGTGAGGTTCGCAGAAGTCAAACCCCTATCAACGAAGGAACTACTTGCAAACCAGATGATTCGCTGTCTTTGTACTTCTGCATGTTTCTTGAGTTTTGTTACTACTGCCTTCGATGTAGTTTTCGTGTTATTCTGCTATACGCCGATTCAGAAGGGGGGGCTTGAATTGCAGGTTGGTCCAACCACTGTTTTGTGTCCTTGAAGGCATTGACGCTCTTGCAATAGACGAGTCAAATTGGTTATGCCCTAGCAATTTCTGGGGTTGCAGCGGCGTTTTTCCAGCTTGTGCTAATGCCTACGCTACTGCGACGAGTTGATCATGCAAAATGTTATCACTTCACGATTGCTATATGGCCTGCCGTATTTGTGATGCTCCCCAGTTTGAATATATTCGCGCGTTATATGACAGACGAGACCAATGGAAACTTGGACGAGAATGCGAGTGCGATGCTCTGGGTAGGAATTGGTTTCGTCCTTGTATTCGCTAAAATCGGCTTTCTACCGTATACGTACGTCTTTGAAATTCTGTGGCTTTCCTCCAAACACTGCCTGAAATATCCTCATTCTAGCATTAACACTTTGTTGGTCAAGAAGTATGGCCCGTCGACGTCCTCTCTGGGAGCTAGCAATGGATTGCTTCAGTTCTTCATCTGTTTATCGCGTTCTTTTAGCCCTTTTTTGTCTAGGTGCGTCCGCGTTGATCGAGTTCAGGTTCCGACATCGTTGCTGATTGGTTATAGTTCCATTTTTGTCGTTTCGGTTGAGAATGATTTGTTTATGGGATATGGCTGGGCTATCTTACTATCTGTGATCTCCATGGGAAGCATACATTTTTCTGGGTGCATCATGGAAGAAAGCAAACGACTACGCAGCTAATGGATCATGTCAGTGCTGCTCGCAGCTCATGCCTATGTAGACGGTTCAATGAAAGTTGAATTTGAGCAATTTCAAATTTGAATCTCGGAAGCAGAATGTAGAGCGTCACGTGTACCGAAGCGCCGACCTGGGCGCCTACGACCTTAGTTAATGTTCTTGGTCTACACGCAACCAGCACAAGGCATACAAGGGCATACACCACTTGTACTTCTACTGCCGTCAATATGGCGGACTGGTCCCCTAGACCTTCTACCGACCAAGGTCTATATCTACGTGCTTCTACCGACTCTTCTCTCTAATAATGTCTACAGAAACTGCGCCTCTTCTCCGAGATCCCGATGCAGAAGACAATGCCGAAAATGAGGAATCCACTCTAATGGACCGAATAAACTCAGTAGCGCAAGAACCTCTTACCCCTCTTTCCAAAGTTCTACTGGTCATTGCATTGATACTCCTCTTGCTGAGCTCGGTAAGCCGGTTACACTTCCCGACGATGCAGTTTAGTTGATCGACATAGGTTTTCATCGGGCTATTTGCAGGTGTACAACACAAGCTCAATCTGGAACGCGGAAGACATGACGAAGGACCACCGTCTACCATAAGTGTGACGTTCACAGCTACCGCGACTTCGTCAAGCATTGCTACAACAACTTTGTCTGCCCCATCTCCTACTGGAATTCCTAAAGAGGCGAATCATACTGTCATTATATAAATCAAACAACATACTAACTCATCTTCCAGCCTGTTTGTCTTACCGGAGACTGTATTATGCTCGCTGCCTCCATTCTCTCGTCTATGGATACCAACCAAGACCCATGTGAGAATTTCTATGAGTTCGCTAGTGCGTCGTTCAAATCATCATGTTATGATCTATCGCTCATCTGAATTTAGATGGTGGTTGGCTTCGGGCTCATCCTCTTCCGGCGGACAAAGGCAGTTTTGGAAATTTTGAAGCACTTGCGCAAGATAATGAGCACGTCATACAACGTATTTTAGAGAATAAATCCTCGACAACTTCATTCATCTCCTCCTCTGATGATCAAATACTTGCCAAACTTCGTGGATTTTATTCCTCCTGCATGAACGAGTCCTACTTGGACACAAGAGGTCATGAACCCCTAATGGTAGTAATCAACAACATTAGACAGATGTACAGAAGGAAAGAGCTAGTCATCAAAGGAGAAACTGAAAAGAACGCATTCCAAGGACTGACTGCTGCCCTGGCGTATATGCACTCGCGTGGTCTCGGAGCATTGTTCTCTTTTGATATCGAAGGTGATGTTGGTGTGGACCCTAATCATCTGGTTTTGTGGTTCTCTCAACCGTCACTCGGGCTTCCGTCTAAGGTGAGGAAACATTTGCCACCCTGCCATGTAACTCAATTCAATGCAGGAATATTATGAAGAGGAAGATGTACGGATAGTTTACCAGAGCGTCATCGAAAAACTTCTTTTCGCCGTGAGCGAAGAAGAAGAAAAAGTTCTGCTGCAAAGGTCATTCGAAACTTCCCCTGTCTTGATTAAACAAGATAGTATCTGGCCACCTTGGCCTTGGCCTCCATGGGGCGGCGATGATGGTGATGATGATGGTGATAATGGAGGAAAGAAGCCCGTCAACAAAACGAAAAGGGTGCAGAAATTGGCAAAAGAAGTGGTGAAGTTCGAGAGTGAAATCGCACACGCTAGTCTGGATCTGTGGGCTTTCAGTTCATGATCATTCTTCAAGTGAATGCTTACTTCAAGTTGACAGTGACATTCTCTATCAAGATCCGATTGCAACTTATAATCCTGCCCCAATCTCCAATTTAACTACTGCTCTTCCTCAAATTCATTTTGACGAGTATTTCTCCACTTTTGCACCAAGGAATTATCCCGATCGCGTAATAATTACTTATCCCCCTTACGCTCACTCTCTATCGGAAATACTCAACAGCACTTCCAAAGATGTAGTCGAAGCGTATTTGGTCGTTCGCGCGGCTTTATCTTTATCATCATACCTAGGCATGGGCACTGAAGCATGGCAAGCCCAACGCACGTTGGTGGAGACACTGAGTGGTATCAAGAAAGGCGCTGTGGGGGACCGAGCGGAGTATTGTGTAGGCCAAGTTGAGGGAGCTTTAGGGTTTGCGGCTGGGAGATACTTTGTCAATGAAACATTCAGCGGCGAGAGCAAGGAAAAGGGTACCAAGGTCATAACCGGTGAGCTCTTCGAACATTCGCATCTACATGTTCTTATACCGTTGCAGACATCGTCAAGGCATTTCAACGGTCCCTCAAGAACATTGATTGGATGGATGAACAATCTGCCAAGGCTGCGTCAAATAAGGTCGATATTTGATCATGAGACAATTGTGTCTGATTATAGCTTACGTGTTACTGCTCGTCCAGGCTCAAACCATTCGTGTCAAAGTTGGATATCCTCTCTCGCCAGATACCACGAATCCCGCTTCTATCGCATCTTACTACGCCAGAGTCACTGGCGATGAGAATACATTCTTCGAAAACGTTCTCAGTGCTAGTGTGAACGACGAAATTCGAGGCTGGTTACAGCTCGGAAAGCAGCGAGATCTAAACGCCTGGGAGATGTATCCATCCATGGTTAATGCCTATTTCAACCCTCCTGCTAATGAGGTATTTAACTCTTCATATCAACCTGCCCGCGTACTCAAGTCACTCGTAGATCGTCTTTCCAGCTGGAATTCTTCAGCCTCCTTTCTTCAACAAAGACTGGTATGGTTTTCAAGCTTTTCTCATAATTCGCAATGCGGTTAACCACTTGAAATAGGCCTGCATATATATCCTATGGTGCTTTTGGACATGTCGCTTCGCATGAGCTAACGGTAAGTCTCCCCTTCATTGTCTGCTCTATGCAACTGCGGGAACGTATTTTCACAGCATGCGTTTGACTCTGCTGGGCGACTGTACAACCAACAAGGCAAACTCGAACAGTGGTGGACAAACGCAACGAGTGCCGGTTTCCAGTCAAAATTAGATTGTATCATTGAACAGTTCTCTGCATACAGTATCGATGATGGTAAAGGAGGAAAAGTTTACGTTAATGGGAACCTGTGGGTCCTGATGCTCATATCCTGTTGTCAGTCTTGTTCTGACGTTTTCATAGCACATCTGGGGAAAATATTGGAGATACAGGGCTTATTCAAGCTTACAGGGCCTGGAAAGCGCAGTATGATTCTTCACATGAGGCTGGAAGAGAGTATCTTCTACCTGGTCTTTCGTATACAAGGTCTGTGTTTTTAAGATGCGGTTTAAATTGTTTCTTCATTTTTTTTCTGTAGGGAGCAACTGTTCTTTATTTCATTTGCGCGTGTCTGGGCTAGAAGTATGAAAGCAGCAGCAGCAGTATGTTCAACGTTTGATAGCCTTGGCTCGGCCTCTGATCCAGCATTTGATAGGTCCAACGAATTCGGACAGACCCTCATTCTCCGAATAACTATCGTGTAGATGGGACTGTCTTCAATATCCCAGAGTTCGCTGAAGCATTCAAATGTTCTTCAAAAGCAAGAGTAAGCTTCTTTGACCCCTCTGCTGCCATTTAGCTTACTCGATAATGTAGCTCAACCCTCCATCGGAAAAGCAATGCATATTCTGGGGCAGGTCGTGACCTCATCTTGAAGCATCCGTACCATCGATATCATGGCACAGTAAATTATTCCCATGGCATGAATACTTGTATTTCGGGTATGCTACTTAACAGAAGTCTAAAGTACACCCTTTGTACTGGGAACATCATTCCCACCAGTTCTTTCGATTGCTTGTCGAATTGCCAGAGCAAGAGCCTTGAAGGCTGATTCGGAACTACAAATACTGTCTGGTACAAGTTCAGAACAAACAAATCCAGACACTCACCGATGATGATCGTTTTCCCCTCGGAGTACGTCCACATGCAATGTACATCCTGATGCAATTGCGAAAGAGTAGAATATGTGAGGGATCATTTCCGTTGAGAGATCTCCAATCTTTTCTCTCCTCAGGCCGAGTTCGGTAACACAATATGGTCTTGAGCAAATGTCGATGACTGCGCGTGATAAAGCCTGTGTCAAGATTGTTGTAAGGCGTCGAAACACAAGAAAGTTATAGACGTACCTCGTCCAACGGCGCAAACCCTGTACCATAGCGTCTGATTCCCCGAACCTCACCTAAAGCTGCTTTAAACGCTGTCCCAAGAGCAATTGCGCTGTCCTGTATTTACGACCAAAGATCATCGGTTTAACCTAGAACAATCTTATTCTTGACTCATCTGCAGTGTGGTGATCGTCGATCCACAGGTCTCCTTCGCATTTCATTGTAAGGGACATCCCCCCATGCTTTGCTAGAGCAGTATACATCTTTGAGAATGAGGTCAACCAAGATTAGCATTGTGCTATGTATGGCATACTTACATGGTCAAGAAAGCCTATTCCAGTGGAAACATTGATCTCTTGCGCAATTTGAGATCCAGGCGCACAATCCAAGTTTATCGAGACTTCAATGTTGGTTTCATTAGTTTTTCGTGTTATAGAAGCTGTTCGAGGTGCAGACATGGTAGAAAGAAAAGTTGATTTCGATTTCGGCCCGTAACTGCCGTAACGTCCTTCCTATAGCGTAGCATGTCTCCCAGAATCAGATCCTATAGTGTGAGCATTGAGCATACGTTGTTGGGATTTCTTCTTCTAACTTCACGCAGACTGTTCCAGGATTCTTCGTACAAGATAATCCAGATGTCGATCCAATTGTTATCGGAGCAGTGTGTTCGAACCATTTTATCGTTTACCGAAAGTCCTTATATTACTTGCGCAGGTCCCCCCTCGATTCGGCCTAATAGATGATTCCAAGGATCGATGGTACAACCTTGGCCGAAAAATTACACGCATGAATGAAGACGCAGATAATCAGACGTCACACAAAGTCTTAATTCTGGGGAGGCATGGTGAAGGTTTTCGTGCGTCTAAATTGCTTTTGTCTTGCACCTTGACTTCCATTTTATGACACTCTATGACGAAGTATAGATAACATAGGCGAGGCCAAATATGGTACTAAAGCATGGGATAAGTAACTACAAGTCATCATTGCCTTTACTGCGAAGTTAAGTTTCATGTCACTAGCTACTGGTCCAAGCTCAATGGCGATGGAGAAATAATCTGGGGTCGTCGGTATCTTGTCTCGTTATGAAACTTATGCTTCCATATTGACGGGTGCATTTAGCTGATCCGAAGCTCACTACCCTAGGAGAAGAGCAAGCTAGGATCGTGAATCAAGAGTGGAAAAATGAGCTATCATTTGGGCTTTCCGTTCCCGCTTCACGTTACTGCAGCCCATTGACCCGCGCGACCAGAACATGTCTCCTCACTTTTGACGGTCTACCTACCAGTGCAGAACATCCTGTGGTCATTGTCGAGGTGTGGTTCAAGTTTCAGGTGCACCACGCATACACTAAATTTTGCGTCAGAATTGCCGCGAGGAATACGGGGAACACACTTGCGACAAACGCAACTCGAAGTCGTGGATCTCCGCACATCTTCCCGATTTTGTCTTTGAAGAGGGCTTCACTGAAGAGGATGAAATCTGGACTGCAAACGAAAGGGAAACACACGCGCATGCTGCTAGCCGCGCAAAGACTACCCTTGATATGATATTCGACAGCGACGATAATGACTGTAAGTTTATTAATTGTAGATGCATACTCCTGATTCTCAATCAGTTTGTCTAGTCATATCTATTACTGCTCATGGGGGAATAATTAATGGTTTATTAACCGCAGTGGGTAGGAAGCGTTATGCACTTACTACAGGAGGTTTGCCGCCATTTCCGATGCGTCGTATCGCTGTCTAACCATAACATTTACCAGGTGTATTGCCTTTAGTGGTCAAGTCAACGTCTCTGCAGTGAAATTTTCGTTCTCTGCCCTCTGTTGCCTGTAGATCTATCTGTGAATTGCAAATGCTTAAATCGATTATGTCTATTATTGACACATTTCAGTCCCCCTGCAGCTATTCCTGAGCGTTGGCAATGCCTACGAGAACTATGTCCAGAATTTATCTTCTCCAGAGTTCAAGACCTCGAGGAGCAATTTTCCGAGCCACCGGTAGCGAAGTTCGCACCTAAGGTATGCATTGTACTTACGTGAAATGTTTTCTTGTTGGTTCTTCCGTGTCTCTCGTGATACATAGTATCACATGAATATTATCTCAGTCATTTTCAGGTTATTAACCGTTGAGGACTGGAACACTGATCAGGAATTAGGTCCCTCTTCTTCAATCCATGGAGGGCATTCTGTCGAGGTTCTCATGGTAATTGCAAGCGTTCAACCCGGGTTCAGGCGAAGTACATCGATTATCACTCATGGTATGTTCATACGATCTTAATTATTCGTAGTAGGAGTAACAATGCGCCAGTTAATTGCTATAATTACTCCGCAGTGATGATACCTAAATGATTTATCAATGTTATTGGATGTTATTGGATCTATATACTTAGGACCCTTCGTACTATCCCCGTCCATTATCAACCATTTCCGCGTGGACAATCGCCGGCCCATCAAGCAAGACTATGTACACGGCAGCGGCTTAAGGTTAGAATAATATCAAAATGGTATTATGCATATTATTGCAAATTAGAGAGATAATATTTTTCCAAAATGAATTGTTGCTGTGTCTATATGTGTAAATTTGTCCTATGTATGGACAGGGAGATGTTCTCGCTCCCAAATCTATCTCTGTTTGCTCTCTTTCCAAACTGCAAGCTGCAGCGCACGGACACCATATGGCAATCGGACAGAATCAGACCCCAAAAAATTTTACATCGGAAATTTTATATATAAGCTCCTCACCTTTTTTGTCCCTCTTCGTTTCCTTCCCATGTTGCTTTCTCTGTGTTGCGCTGCCTTCAAAATCCTCAATGGCCCTTCAACAGTCAAGTCTTCAAGTCAAGTGCTCGTGTTCCTTTGTCAATACATGTCAATATCCTGGCTTCCAATTATCTAGCCCCCATGATTACCCATCGTCAATATCGAAGTGTCTTGCACTGCCAAATTCTAGCAAATTCTTCGATGTCATCAACATACCTGATCTTTTCATTCACACTCAGTCTGTCTCTGTAGCTCATATCTGTTATATCCACTTTTTTTCCCATGTAACTTAGTTTTGTGCATGTATTATGTGTAGGATACCATGAATAGTATTCCCTTTTGACAAAAAAGAAAAGCATTTTCATTGTCAAGGAAATCGGAGCGACGCCGGAGCTAGAATATATATCATGCAAAAAATTTAGATTGGAGATTTTGGATATAGATCAAAAACGGATGCACTGCAGTGCATAATCTTGAATTTGAACGGAGAACACCACTCAACCTTTTTAGAATTCTACCATCTTCAGCTTTATCTAGAGATTATGATTTCTCAGATGATAATTTGATGGCTTTCACTCCTGACTGTGTAGGCATGCTTCCTGACATGCTCTGAAGAGAAGGAAGTAAGTCTCAGGTAGCCAGGTTGGTTCTACTTGAGGCCAGATCACTGACATACAGATATATCATCTTGCAGCTGGTATGAAGATTGAGGGTCTGAATAGGATTTCCTTGTACGTCAATTCCATGCATTAAGTACAAGGAATCAAGGATGAAGCTTTGAAGACTTTAGGCATTTGATTTTGTTTATTATCCAGATTTTTCCGCTACTGCTATTGTCCCTTTCCACCCTATGGCGAAGACTGCGTCATATCGGTCTTTCCGACCAACAGCCAGTGCCACATGAGGGAGCATGAGGGTCGAGTGCACTCTATTCAGTAGTCTAAGATCTGTATAAAAAGGAGGTACCAAGGTGTTATTAGATTTATTCGCTCGTGCCCCACTAGCCTGATACCTCTTTGTGACTCTAGGATGAAAGTTTATCTGGCTCTCGTGGCTCTTGCGTCTCTCGTAGCTACCATCGTTGACGCTGCAGCAGTGAGTTACTCACCGTAGCTATCTTCAAACACTAGCTCATTTGGCTCGCAGATCGCAGCTCAATCAGTTACCGAACCTGGTACTTTGACTCTCACTGCAACGAAAATTGTTCCCTCATTGTTGCCAACGCCGCCTTATATGACGTTTGTTACAGAAACGACTGTTTGGACGTTCGTATATATATTATGAGCTGTGAACTTGACCTGATCGTTATGCCTTTCGTTTTCAGTCAGTATCCGGTTCCGACTGCCGTTGAATGAACTTACGACCTTGAATTTTGAACACAAGATGCTCATGCGCATGTCAGATAACTGATCCTCTTCACGAAGCACTGGAAATTTGGATCCTTTTGGATCCCTGTTGAATTTAATTGTAGATGAAATTGTTGTACACCTTCTACCACAAAGTAATGTATACATTGTTCGAATTGTTTTCAAACACATCACCTATCGTTAATGCCACTGCTGTTTCAGCCGAAGGGGAGTGCCTCGGAGCGAGGCCTAGCGAGCCCATTTCTCTCCATTTCCAGTCTGACTATGAGTGAATTTTGAGATGAAGGTCCTCTTCGGGCCGTTCTACATACTATGTAGGATCTAGAGCCCTTAGGTAAACACTTTCAGCAAACTGCCAATTCCGGACTCGGAAAAGGCTCATGGCCTTTTCTTTGGTTTGCCAAAGGACTACAACTGCTCGGTATCTTGGCTGCCTCCGCAGCCGACCACTCCAGCTCTATATTGCATCGGGTGTAGCGCAGAGGCGAACATTTCTTGATTTCTTCAGGAGGAAAAAAACGGAAGATGCAAAAGAACCTCTAGAGCCCATTCCTTTACTTTCCGAAGATGATCTTTTCCATCCTTTCTCAAAATCCCCCTTTCCAGAAGTGCGTGCAAAAGGCCAAACAATATCTTCCATGGCTTCTTGCCCAGTGTGCGCTTCTGGTCACAGGCATACACACAAACACGAACACGAAAAGCCCAAGGTCAATCATGTGAGTTTCGAATGCCCGGATTGTGGGTGGCCCACACATTGCTCAGAGGAACATTGGAAAGAGGACAAGGAACATGAAAAATACTGCTCAAGGCTGAGAGAAGCCAATGAGGATGAGCATGATCTACGGAGCGGTAGACGGATGCCCGAGTTCGAACTGCCTGGTACGAGCCTCCAGCGTTTCAAGCATCCATGTCATTCACGCGTAGAAACAGGTCCACAAGGATATGAGGAGGCAATATCGTTTGCTAATTGGGATGTTTTTTGGTACACGCGTGGTTTCAACTCAATGGACAGCGAGCGTTCAAGAAGACATGCCAGTAAATTGCTTACTTATCCTATGACAATTGGAAGTGTGCTGCATCAGCATAGCTCACTGATGCTGAACAACCAGCGGCTGACACCTGAGGGTAGTCGGTCAATGGCAGGTGTGTAATCTCGCGCTTGAGTGTATTCGCTAGTTAATATTGTAATGTTTCAGCCATTCGATCTACTCTTCACACAGAACCTGGCGCACCAGAGACGCATGAAGCGTCAGTGGGAAAGTCCCAAGTTCGTATTTTTATCCTTGGGGCCCGCGGAGAGTCTTCCCTACCACCCCATGTATGGGAACAACTCGGATTTCTGTTCCCAGCGGCAAATTTCCATATTTTCTTCATCGGTCCCCAAGTAGCATTGCCGCGCGAGAGACAGACCCCCTCGACACCTCCAATTGACACCGGATCACCAACCGGGTCCTCAGAACCCGAAACTGCTGGTTCCAATTCACCTTCAGAGAAGATACCAGGCGATTCAGCCTCTTCCAAGGAGAGTCCGAACACCGATACCATGCAAATAGAGGAAAAGAGGCCTCTATACACACCCAACGTGTATACGCCGCAGACTCCTGCTGCAATTCCCCCACTTAAATGGACACGATCTTCCTTGGCTCGTTATGGGGTGCCCTCGTATACCACGCCATATTCGTATCAGGTGTCGCTTTCTGGCTTACAAGTGGACAACTATGCGGACGTTCATCCATTATTCGAAGAGACTCTGGATCCATACAGCGATGTTTTCTTCTTTTTTGCTCCTGGTTTCGGGTTTCCTTCTCCTTCCTATAAGAACGAAGCAGGAGAGGCCGTTCTACAAATTTCGTCGCCTACTGAGTGGGGCCCCGTTTTACCCATGCTGCTTGCCTCGAAATGTCCTATCTTTGTCACCGGATTTTCTCCTGCTGACGTTGAGCGAGATGTTCGCTCGTTATCAACAGCCCCAGGAGTTGCCGGCGAATTTGAATGGGTTGTTACTCCAGGGCCTAATCCGTTTGGTAGCGAAAAGTGGGAGGTGGCTGATTTCGACCCTCGAATTATGGTAAAGACCAACTGGGGTATTTGGGCCATTCGAGGTAAGAGTAGAGATATACAGGAACGAAGTTTCTTCAAAAGCCTCTTCAGTAATGCATAATTGAAATAATATATACATATTGGTACGAGGGTGACTCACATCCCTCAGCAAGTCACGCGGTCTCGGCCCCATCGTGTCGTGTTGTATTTCACTTCGCCATCGCCATGAGCCTTACTGCAGTCGTCGAGGCTCGCTCCAATACGAGCTCTGCTCTTTTAACGCCAAGAAAGAAGAGACGACTTATTTCAGAACCGCTGACGATTGTGCCTTCAACTGCAGAAATCTACAAATGGGTCTTCTCCTCCAATGCAATTGCGCCCTGCTTCATCTGTGATATACGTGTGATGAAACGACACAAAGAAAAAGGTTGAGCTCATTGATATGATATTGTTCATCGTCTCATGAATCTTCATATCTAGGGGAGGAATTCTGGTGGCTCAAGCGATTACCGTGTCGAACCATCAAAATCATTGGCCTAATCGTCGGGATACAGCAATACGAGAAGCGAATTTCATACATAGGCGCGTAACGACATATTTTTGGCACATCTAGGCTATTGACAAGACCAATAGTGGACGACGGCACTTCTGTAATTGAATGTGTGCACAAGTGCAGCGCGCCACCACCATCTCCTGCTAAAGCAGGCAAGCCGAAGAGATCTAATTATGTAAATGATCCAGCACTCCCGAAACCTGTCGCGTGGATAGGGCATACAGTAGAAATTGTGGGTCGAATCTACGAGTTCGAAGCCAAGGAGTCAACGGAAGAATATAGTAAAAGAACAAGAGAAGTACGTAGGCAGATTCAGGTGCAGGAGATAAGTGTGTCGACAAAATCCTTATGAACGATATAAATTACTTACATGCACAGTACAATCACAATCAGTGAATGATAAATTTCGACATTGGCAAACCGTGCTAGATTTGCACAAGAACAATTATTCTTTACCAGAGCCATTTACTATTCCCGGGCCTACACCATCTCAACGCTCTGAAATCTCGACGCCACCGACTACCACCTCGATTAGGACCACTACATCCTCATCTTCTGCTTCTACCTCAGCATCTATCTCATCCGCAAGTTCAAGTCCCGTCAAGTCAGAAATTTCCTATCAAGTGAGCGTTAAGCCAGATATTCTGCATGTATCTCGCTCACTTCGAGCAGTCACCCAGAAAGCTTCGTCATCCATCGCGATTACATACTGCTGATCTCACAGGAAATACGTTTCGGATCTACATCAAGCACTATATGGATAACCCACCGACCTCGGAAGAGTCAGACGTTGAGAGCGACTTTTCGGATGGTGATGACGCCAGCGTCTCCGGACCTTCGACACCCACCAAACGACCCCTCCATCGTGATCAAACTCCCCGCTGCCCTCGCCGTCCGTTGCATGCGGCGGATGAGACGCCACGTCCGACTCGACCGCTAATATATTCAATATCTTCGTCCAGGAAGGGCTTCACATTATCCTATCTTCGTCGCGTTCCAGAGCTTTCTGAATTGGCACGTAGAGTCGTCAAAGCTGAAGCCAAAAGACGCGACCGAGAAGTCAAAAAGAAAGCCAAAGATGCCGCAACAAACCAGAGTCGCTCCCAAAGTCACAAGGCTCAAATTTCTGAAGCTACTACCTCTTCGACGAACTCCTTGGGAGATTCCATTTCTTCTCGGATGAAGAGGTTATGGAAGTGGGCCATTATCCAACTCATTCAAGAAGGTAGTATCATTTTATGGGATGGTCCTAGATTTCCCCCCGCTTCGAGGTTGTTCGATTATAGCATGAATAACAGGATATGGAAGTTATGCTCTTCTACTGGCAATACAACGGTCACTAATGATGTCTCGGTGTTCTCATCCTCCTTGGGGCAAGAGCCTGAAGAAGACTTCGACTTGTCAGATCCTGATCCTGACGAAGAAGCGTATGTCGCCCTTACGGCCGAGCTGTTAGCTGGGGAAGTCCAGCGAGTTGTGCAGGCCTGGGTAATGGTTCGTCCATTTACAGAGTCACCTAAATTTACAAAGAACGGTATACTTCAACGACTGCGAAGAGATGATCGATGGCGGAGAGTAGGAGAATGGCATGTGGAAGAGGCAATTGAATTGCTGGTGTCCAAAGGGTCACTATTCCAGATTTCGGAAAATGTATGGGGACTTCCATCTAGACTTTTACCGTGATTAAGATGAAATTTCGTTCGTGCTCGAAGCGCCAGACTATTAAAGCTTTACGAAAAACAATCCAAAACGATAGTTGTGATTACAAGTAGTACAACAAATGATTAAAGAGAGCAAATGCGGGTGATGCGAGGAACGTTATAAATTATTAAAATTCAGATGCACTCTCCATTAATACCCAGACCCTTCACAAAGTGTTTCCAAGAATACTGGTAAATCAGCCTGATTGATTTCCAGTATACTTGTGTCGAACGAACTATGACGAGTTCGAGCATTGCATCGTTCTTTGGCATCCAGGAAGGCGAGACCGAACTCGCTAGGAAATGCCAGTAAGTATTTTCAAGTATTCTGAAACAGTATGGAGGACACCTACTTTTTCCGCACGTCGCCGAAGTCTGTAGCAGCCATGACACCGACAACAATGTATAAGTTTGAAGCCTCGTTTAAACAAGCCACCACGAAGGGTAAACTCTTGCGTTTCGTACGGGTGCTGACAACTTTTCCAGGTAATTTGTCGCGCAGGGCATCCACTAGCCATAAAGCTAGTCGTGACAGAACTCCTGGGTGAGAGAAAAGAGGAAGGTCAGGGCCCTGCGTCAAGACAACGACGCGATGGTTGCGCATTGTACGAATGTCCTGTTTATCAATAATTGAGGTCCCTTGCCGAATTATAGCACGGTGAAGGGTCATTGAGAGTTTTAATGAATGTTTAAGTGCTTCGATGCTATTCCTTTATTAGTTTGGATGTAAACCACGTATAAGGAGTCTCACTCTGCAAGAGCATCGAACGCCACCCAGAAATTCCGTATCCACCAAGCCACTTCCTTCTTAGAGCCGTCAATGTTATTTTCTCCTTCCGTCTTCCTTACATTCGACGCGACAGTTGTATTTTGACCATCTGGGGGAATGTTTTCACGGTCTTCCTCAACTGCCCACCTTCTCTTCGTTGAAAGACTGTGAACCTCCCAAATTTTTCCTCCACCAAACCATTCCCCGCCGTTCCGCGAGCCTTCAACTTCGACTTCCATCTTCACTCCACCGGCAAGATCTAAGAGTGCACTGATGCCTTCCACGGCATCGGCAGCGGACAGCGGTTGTGATTGATATCCGTAACACTTCATGAAGGAAGGGTATGAGAGCTCAATAAGGCCATATTCTGGAGCGATGTCGTCCAATTTCTGGACGAGAGATCGTTTGAGATCCATATCCATGTGCGGATATGGCTGCTGGGTTTGCGGTATCGAGAATCTACAAAGGCATGAGCTCGTTACACTTTACATCATGGGTGTAACATACCCCATCTTCGCTAATAGCCCAGTCAATTTCTTTCGTCCTCTTTCCTTCCAAATCCCCAGTTTTCCAGCAACATAGCTGGAGTGGAACATTGCATCATACAATGTCCAATGACGATACAACATGAAACGGAGCTCGTCCGTGGTGCGTATGCCATGGTCATCAGGGTTGGATGATGCAGTATTTCGTCCACCTGGAGGGAGAGGAGGACTCAGTCGAACGACCTCATCAGAGTAGATGGACTGATAATCGTCGTATTTGTCGCGTGATATACGTGATGTTGTGTACTGGAAGGTGAGACCGAGAACAGCAAACCATAATAAATCGATGTCCGCGCGCTCTAATAATGTAGCGAGAACATATATTGTGCCAGAAGCACACTGACCGTGCCATGTCCCAGCCATGTAATGTTTCTCGAGTCGAGCCATATGAGCGTCACGTTCATCGCGAGACATTCGACGAGGATGCTAGCATGTCCATGTATGAGCCTGACTAAACCCGGATGGAGAGAAAGAAAGAACACACATCTTCCAAAGTTCGACGCCTTTTACCCTTTCTATTTCCGTCCCCTAAAGACCGTCGTTTCCTTCCTCCACTACTTCCCTCCTCAAACTCTTCATCTGCATCTTCCTCCAGGTATTCATCAAATTCGTCCTCAGAGTCGTAGTTCGACTCATCCTCGTCTGAATCAGGTTCCGGTTCGTACTACCAAATAATGATTAGATAACGCGACAACAAAGTAGATAATCTGAAGGGGTACTCGTACCATCAGAGCCTCCCACGCCTTCCGTTCCTCTGCAAGTCTCTCAGCACTACCGTCATCCCATACGATAATCCTCTCTCCATTTTCTCCCCCTCCGAAAAGACTGGACAAGTTTTGAGGCCGTGCAGAGTCGATGATATGGACCGACATTCCTGGTCGAAAATCACCAAACCACTCTGAAGACGGGAGATCTAGAATTCCACCCATGTTGAAGAGAATGAGAGTATGAAGCTGTAATCAGGATTCCAGTTAAACAAATCTTGTTGAGCCACTTGAACAACGCACTTCGTTATAACTGATCAGTTCGTCTCTGACCCTCTCCAATTCTGCAATACCTGATATCGGCATAATGCGATAAATAACATCGTCTTGTCTAAAGAGCTCGGCCATCATGCGAGCGGCACAAAGGGCATCCACGTCGGGCGCGACAAGCATTATTACCGAGGAAGCGGACGTCAGAGGTGATTCTCGATGGGCCTTCAAGATCTTGCCATATGCTTCTGCGTATGAAGGGCGATTGCGGCTAATATCCGGAGGAGGAAGATAAACCATTGAAGACCCTCAATGTTGAAATAAGATTATATGGTTAAACGAAGAGCGTGATGGGCGAGTTCGCGTGACAGGCGCACTTTGTCTCCCCACGTGACTGTGTTTCATTGTAAAACAAAAAGTTAATCAGAGCTACCAGGAGCTACCATTCGATAAGATTCTATCTCTTCAACTCCTCAAATCTGGATCGAGCGATGCCTTGAATCTCAACGATCATAAACTTGATGAGAAGCGGTTCACGCGGAGCGCCCTCGGGCTACGCTGCTGAAGCTGTTGTCAAACACATCGCGTCCTAGCTTTTGTAACTCTTGAACTGCTACTTGGTCTTGTAGCCTGTAGCACCGCCCAGGCCGTCCTCGCAACAGCGCTACTAGGTATAAGTACTTGGTGGCAGCCCTCAAATTGCATCATTCGACCCACTTCTTAGGCAGTAACTCATTCCATGGAATCTAGTGCTATGACTCCTTACTTGCCCTCATAATGGGAAGGATATCCTCCTAATTCAATCGGTCAGTCTAGTGTATGGAGTAGCAGAGCTGTTTTACAACCATCCATGGTCGCCAAATGTGGATGTAACGTGTCGAGCTGCGTGTGGTTGTACCTGCAGCTGGATTATCGCATCTCAACCGAGAGCGCGATCCATGTAGGCTAACTCGACATAGATTCAATGAAATACGGACTTGTCTAATTCAGGTGCGAGTATACTACGATTAATACGACCGCGATCTTCCAGTCAGATTTGTGGAACAATGCTCATGTTTGTTATATACATGCTAGGTTGCCTTCGAAATAGGTGTCGTAATTTGATCATATTGGCGTGAGTGTAAGTATCCCTAGGCTTTCTCTTTCGCTGTGTTGCATGAGCCGGGCTTAACAGTCTACCGTTAATGGTGTAGGACCCCTAATCACTTAACCAACTGCTTTCTGAAAGTGTTCAGTCACCGCCAGGTAACCAAGAACGACGGTCCAAACTATTACCGATCTGCCATAAAACCCATGTGTACATTGGATCGGTTCCCCTCTGATGGTACCGATGACCACACCTAACAGCAAATCCATCAAATTGTTCCTGGGAATGGTGTCGCATTGTTGTGGCTTTTCTTAACATGCATTCGCCCTTTGTTCGGCTCGAATGGTGTCTTCGGCCCCATCCGCTCCAAGTACGGCTCATGGGATGCTCGCTTCGAATTCTATCGAATGCTTTTGTCGGTGCTGGCGCACCTCCATAGTAAGTTACCAAGAGAGACTCGGAGAAAACGCGATGACATACGACCCAAAAACGAATGTGGTTGTGACTTCGTGGGATCTGTGAAAATAGAAATGATCACCCTCTAGCCAGTATTGCATCGCTTAGCAGGCTTGAGGAGTGCGTTGGCTATCCTGAATGAGACGCCTTCAACGAACTTTGAAGCAGTTATCGATTCTTATCGATTTGATTCCTGAATATCTTCACTTCTTTGCACAAGGGTAGGGCTGTACGGATCCTACTGTAGTAGCTTCATGGGGCTCCTGAATAAGGCCGTTGGGTTTGATTTCACCTTAGACCATGTTCTTCATCACTATTGCGCGGGATTAGACCCGCCGATCCAGGTTTCTGCTACTTCAAAGTATTCACTACTCTTCTCAACAAACCTCTTCGGCGCTCGAATACTCATCTGGTTCTCGTGAGCAAATACAATACATACTACAAAAACATTGGTTACCCAAACCCAACAGCGGAAAATGCACCGACAGCTTTACGAGGTTTATTGCCAACAGTGCTGTATCAAACAGCCACCTTTCTTCCAGGTATTACTGACTCGGTCACTTAAATACAGATGTTCCCAGGAGATTGTGCTGAACGTGCCACCCATGTCTCAATCCAACGGAAGGTAAACCATCTATCGCTGACTATCCTTTTATTTGATTCTCTGATCATATCTCAGCTCGCACTTTTTTGAGGACGCTTACGGCCCCTTTTTTCAATGGCAACAATTGTAACTGTCTTCCCTAATTTTAACTGCTTACAGTGTTCATATTCTAACGCAGATTTGTCACATCCCCTCCCATCTCCGACTATTCCCATCGTCGGCTTATAGATCTTCAGGAGCAACAGCTCCAACAAGGTAATTTCTTGATTTGATCTGGCATTATTCCAAGAGGTAGCCGACATTTGATTAATTACATTTTTAGGAATTCAAGCGCGCATGCCACTAACTCAAGAGCCCTGTCCGACTCTACAGTATGGTGGAGGAGACTTTGCGCGCGAGTAAGCAGTCGCAAAAGATTGAGGAATTCATGGAGCTATTTTGATTTTCGCCTTAGTCAACCTCAATTCCTTCACGTCGAGATACCCCAAAACATTGTGGTAGGACCGCAATCTGGAATCACATCGTCGCCTGCCACATCCTACTTGCACTCTCCTTATTCCGCTCAAGGCGGTCACGCTCTTTCTGGAACGCCTATACAGTCGCAAACCGCAGCACTTTTACAATGTCCTGAATGCGCTAAGAGGCTAAGGAGTAAACAGAGCCTGAACAGTGAGTACACAATCTCCTTTATTCAAGTTGCTCAAGAACTAAAAGCCTGAGCGTCAGGCCACATCGAAGCCATACACAGGAAGAACAAGAGATTTAGTTGCCCATACTGCCACAGACTATTTTCGTTCCAGCAAGCTTTAAGACGCCACGAGAGGGAATCTAGGTGTCCCTCGAGTCGTAACCTTCCATCTTGAATATGTGCAGCACGTATCAATCAACACCTCATCGCTACTGAAGTTGATTGTGCTGCAAACATTCACTTTTGCGTGGCTCATGTCAAAGACATTCAATTGGAATCCATGTACAATTAATGATTTCTGTAGCAAGAATCGCTTTGACCAGTTGCACTCGTATCAGCTGTGTATTTTACTTCTACTCCCATTCAGGCCTTTCGGTTTTCATGCTGTTATATTCACTCTTCTGATGTCTGGTTTTATCTGTTATGTTATTCTCTTACATTGTATCCCCTTGTTTCCGTGTTGACATTCCATCGGCTTTCATGCAATGCTATGTTATGCTGTCGTCGATTGCTGGTGGAGGCTAGTGATTCATACACGCTTATCACACACCCTGTCCTTATTTTTTTTACTATGTCTGTATAACCTCCTGCCAGTGATCACAAAGTTCTCCCATCACTTTCATCCTTGTTGATTGACAGTGGCCACCTTTCAGCCTTTTTAGTATGTTTCTGCTACAGGGTATTCAATAACGGATTATTACAAACGTTTACTTGTAAAATAAGTCTAATCCCAGACCCCAAAGTGGAAAAATCCGCTATAGCCAGGTCAGAATGTTCAACATAAGTGTACGAATCATTACTCACTGGCCACCTGAATGTCGGGAGAAATAGTCAAAATCAATGTTGACTACAAGTAAAGAGGGGTTAGGTGCAGGGATCGGGGGTGGTATGAAAATGCACACCTGCTAGAGCGAGGAATAACTATTAAACGAGGCGAAAGTCGCTTATGAGAAATGTCTAGTAAAATTGGGCTGCACATACTCACAGCACGCTGTTCTAGGCTAAGAAGAGGAGTTTGGGTGCTATATAGCATATTTCCTGTGGCGTCTACCTCAGATCGTCGGGGTCCAAAGTGAAGAAGGTATTTTCCTAATAGATCGATAAGTTCCATTGAGCATAAACACAGAAGGGAGAATGCAGAACGCGCCTGTGTCTGTGAATATCTATGGCAAGAGGTAGTGAGGATGTATGGTCTCATTTGACTGGACAGGGCACCCTACTTCTCTACCTAATCCTCTGAAGCTTCGACTAATGAACGTCATCTCCCGCGCAGCAGCATCCAGTACACTAAAGTCCCAGGCTAAAAAGGGAGCATCGACGGTGGCTATCTGACTGAATGTATTCGTATCTAGCTCAGGTTCCGGTTGAGGGTCTGAACTCAAGGATAGAATTCGTTTTGGACTATCTCTAATACGGAAATAACGAGATGGGAAATGAGATGTGCATTAATCAATCATAGTATGCAACTTGCCGCAAGAACAGGTCATATCGTCGTCTGAAAGGGTGCCAAATTTGCTGCACCTCTCCGAAAGTATCGAGCAAGACCGATTCGGAAACTTCTTGTCCGGGAGTGGGGCGTTGTACATACATTCTTGAGTTTATCCAAGCAAAAGGACGTCGTACCTACATGATTTGAGGGATACGCCAGTGGAAATGAAATTAGGAAAATACCCAGAGAATTGGGGTACCGGATGAATCCATGACAAGCGCTTTGAAGGGACGATGCGTTGCGAAGATTTGTCGATTGAAGGAAGAGAGAAAACCTCCAGGTTCTTCAGCTATGAAACCGACTTGTTCGCCGGCGGAATTACCTGGAAAGGTCGCGATTTGAGTAACATGAGACCCTGTCAGTATAGAATTTTACACCGACTGATGGTGTATTTGTTGGTTTGCTCGAACCCGATAAAGACATTTAACATTTCGATTTGCCTATGAAGTTAGCGTAAATGACCGTCATTTTCGAAAAAGAAGTGATTACCTTTCCACAATTAACGAATCGTTCGCAAGAAGCCGTTCAAGACCTTCTGCTGAACCACTGGCATCCAAAGATTCTCCTGCTTTCCATAGCGGCGAATCTCTCACAGAAGGATCTATTAGTGGTTCTGTTGTACCGGGAGGTGGTTCTTGCCTGCTTGGTTTTTCCAAAAGTGGCTGACGTCTACCGGCCCCAACTGGCCTTCCACGGCTGGGAAAACGAGAGATGGCATAGAATCTAGAAAAAGACTCTCTATGGCGTTCCTTTGAAGAGATCCTCAAAGAGAGTCTCCTGCAAATTTGTAGAAGCATCCAATTGCACGTCCAGACTCCAAACACGGGAACAACGCGGAGTTCAATACTGTTACAGGAATAATATACGTCTTAGATAAGATTAAATTACATACTCATCTCACAGTCACATCACAGGAAATTTGAGTTTTTATGCAGCGACCTCAACAGGTTGTTCCATTCATTTGTCGTCAATGTTTCCAGAAATATAGGTTAGCATCTACGGCGGCGAAACCTTCGGTAAGTCCTTCACAGATAGCTCTCTTCAAAGCTCACAATCGCGAATTCTAGCCTACATCGGAGGTGTCGAGCGCTTCCATAGCAAAGCCAGACATGAGCAAATGGAGACTTCAAAAGCCTGTTACTTTCAATCACTCCCAAGTGACCTCGTCATTTTCTCGCTCAGATGGTGATAGCTCACGAACTATCCAAGGCGGAACCGTTGAAACCTCGTCGACGGAAGGCCCGCCTCTTCCTGCACGTAGATGGTCAAGGGTACTTCCTACTTCTCGGACAAGTTCCACCCCTACATCTACACCTGTGCACGTTTCCGGAGACCCTACTGCAAAATCCGCTCCTGTATTCCGGAAACAGGTGATGTTGGACAGAGAACAGGCCCCCCATACAATTCCATTGCGTGATAGTCGTTCACGAAACTTAGAACACCAAAGGGAACATGATGGTCAGAACTCACTGAACGCCACCTCCACGAAGCACCGCCAGACTTTCTCAAACAGACATCTCTCAATCAAAGAATCCGGTACGAACTCCAGTTCGTCAAGTTCTACTTCCTCAGATGTATGGGAATCGTATGTCGACTCGTTGGACTCTGGCAGGAAAACTGGCAAATCTCATTTCGGTCCGAAACCTGAAAGGCGTGGATCTTTGATTCAGAAAATGAGAGCCATGCCGGAAGACATAAATGACACCCAAAAGGATTACCGCGCTGTCCGACTACGAAAAGAAAATTTTCGGAAGAACAAAGTTTTTGTCGAGAAAAAAGTATCTGTGGACGTTTACATCCCGTCACTAGTCTCAGTAGGCCAATTAGCTCAGTTGTTGAACGTGAGGCTAGGTGAGTCTTTCATCCAATCTCTCTATTTCACCATCTCACTAAGTTCAGCGCGGTTGCAACGTAAGATGGAACAGTCAGGAATGGGGGAAGAAACTTCGTATGACCATGGTGCGCTACCTCCTTGCTGGCCTTTGATTCACATTTAACATGTTTCCCCAGTCCTGACATCAGATTATGCCGTTCTTCTTGCTGAGGAGTTTGGCAAAAATCCCGTTGTTAACGATGAAATGGCTTTCGATATCTATCCTTCGTCAGTCATCCATGCTTTGACCATTTCGAAAGCTGAAAAGTGATTATCCAATAGGCCCCCACACCCAGAGCCTAGCACCCTCCCTTTGCGCCCTCCTGTCGTGGCGATCATGGGCCACGTCGACCACGGAAAGACTACGTTGCTCGACACTCTACGATCCACCTCTGTAGCGCAAAGCGAAGCCGGTGGTATCACTCAACATATAGGAGCCTTTTCTGTCCCGGTACCTTCCACCGGTAACGACAACGGCCTCAAATCCATCACCTTTCTCGATACCCCGGGGCATGCTGCCTTTTCTGCTATGCGTGCGCGCGGTGCCGGTGTCACTGATATAATTATTCTCGTTGTTGCTGCTGATGACGGTATCATGCCCCAGACTCGCGAAGTCATTAATCTAATCAAAAAAGAACAGGATAAGGTCGGAGTTGTGGTGGCCATCAATAAAGTGGATAAACCAGGAATCAACATTGTAAGTAGTGTAAGCACCCCTCACCACGAGCCTAACGGAACCGAAACGACTATATAGGAGGCAGTGCAACAATCTCTCCTTGCGGAAGGTTTGCAGCTAGAACAATACGGTGGAGATGTTCCCGCAGTCGCTGTGTCCGGGAAAACTGGTGAAGGTCTACCGAGTCTCGTTGAAACCTTGTCAGCTATCGCCGAAATGCAGGACTTGCGTGCAGAGAACGAAGGTCCTGTTCACGGCTATGTATTGGAATCAAATATGCACAAAGGCATGGGGTGGGTTGCTAATGTATAGTATCCGCACTTGATCCTGATCATCCCTCATAGATCTGTTGCCACCGTTTTAGTTCTTCGTGGCAGCCTGAAGATTGGTTCACATATCATCAGTGGCCTCTCTTACGCAAGGGTACGCGTCATGAATGATTCAAACGGAAAACCTGTTAAGGTTGCCACTCCCGGCATGGCTGTCACTGTCTCGGGTTGGAAGTCCTTACCTACCGCTGGCGATGATGTTCTGCAAGGCTCCGAGACAAATATCAAAAAGGCCATCGCAAATCGGGAACGAAAAGCCGAAATAGACTCATCTCTTGCGGATGTGGAAGCCATCAATCAAACCCGGAGGCAAGAGAGGGAAAAACGAGAGCTCGAGTTGCAGTCAGGGAAAGATGCAGCTGCTGCGGATGAACAGACTGAGGACGGACCTAAGGAACTGCGCCTGATCATCAAGGCGGATGTAAGTGGTAGTGCAGAGGCTGTTGTTGGTGCTCTTCAAGGCATAGGCAACGATGTGGCCACAACCAAAGTCATTTCGTCCGGTGTCGGAGATATTACCGATACTGACGTGACCTTGGCACAAACCGCGGGTGGTGCGTACTTATTTTGCTACTTTGTATCATCAAATCCTCATATCCGAATAGGTATGATAGTTGCATTCAACGTTAATGCTTCAAAACAAGTCCAAGTTGCCGCGGCCCAGAAGAATGTCATCATCCTGTCGTCGGGTATTATCTACAAACTCATGGATGATGTACAGGAGCATGTCATCAAACTTCTCCCTGTTATCATAGAAAAAAAAATAACTGGTGAAGCTCAAGTGTTACAAATTTTCGACATCCAGGCAAAGAAGCAGGTGGTCAAAGTGGCCGGCTGCAGGGTAACGAACGGAACGGTGGAACGCTCCAAACAGGCCCGGGTAATCCGAAATGGTGAAACCGTCCACGAAGGTGTGTTCGATCCTGCAGGATACATCTTCCACTCATGGTAATTGAATCCGTTTACCATAGGCCCCATTGAAACTCTGCGTGTGATTAAGAAGGATGTCATGGAAGTACGAAAAGGATCTGAATGCGGGCTCAGCCTAGCCAACTTTTCGGATTTGCAGGCAGGAGATTCCATACAAATGTTCACGATGATAGAGAAGCCCGGAGTGCTATGAATTTTAGAGTATGATTAATCCGGGACCAATAGTCTTTTGATTCGTACTTATGGAATCCTAGCAAATGCTTCTAGCGTTGTTTTTCCTCTCATCATGGCGGTTATACCCTGGCACTGTTTTGGGCATCCAGAACAGACTCCTTCGCTCCAATGGTACCTGTTCGACCTGTCACACCGAAAGTCAACGCAATGTTTCCAAGGTCATGAGTGGGCTTTTCCAAAATGGTCCAGCTCCTAGTATCCTGCTTCTGGAGGTGTACTTCTACCTGAAAAGAGAGTTGTGTCAGTGAAAGAAAATTGAGAGCTCATATTGCTAACTTTTGTGCCGAAGTATTGGACAGTAGATTGCTCGGGAGTTATAGGTCCGAATAGATTGATTGTTTTGAAGAATCTCTTGGAACCTGGTAAATAGAGATCGATGGACAACTACGCCTGGCCTTGAATACCTCCAACACAAGACATCACGAAGGGACTCACACTCTGTTCGTCAATCTTCACGTTGCTCCGATCTTTGTCAACTTGTTTTGCAAAGACGGATACATGAACTTGGTCCAAGGTTTGATAGTGGTCTAGCCGGCAGGTGGTAAACTCTTCTATCTAAAAGATTGCAATGTACAGATTACTCCAGGAATATTCTAACATTGATTTATAATATAAGGCTGACCTTGTCGGTGTTTACCTTGGGAGAAAAGAGATGGCGTCCGGTTTGGCATCCCTCGATCTTGAGGAATTCTTCGAACTCGAGAACTCTGCGTTTGCAACACATATAACCCTGACACGAGTCACGAGGATATTATTGGGATATCATAGTTCAGATACAACATACCTTACTTCCTTCTCGAAAGATAGGCTAGAAGATAGGAAGATGAAAGAATGGATGCTATTCTTTAAGAGAGGCTCTTACGGGCGCTGGGTGATATTTACAACGAGTTCCTTCGCCATCGCCTAACCTGTTTTCATCGTCGCTGATAAATGTCACATTGCAACCTTTGCGTCGACATGATGTTCCCGGGGTGATGCTTACGCTCAGATCGTCTTCTTCTTCGGTGACTACTGGCAAGGTTGCTGGGACAACTTTGGCCGTGGCAGGAGGCGGCGCAGGGTCCGACGATGCGGCGGAGACTTCAAGCACTTTCGAGGGTGCTTTTGCAATTTCCTTTTCTGCAGTAAAAGCAGCAGGCGCCTTCGATTCAGGATCGGGCACATCATTCGTATGACGATCAGTCTCGACGCATCCCTTTGGTGAAACTTTCAGTAAACTTCTTGGAAGTTCTATTAAGAGACTCGCCATAATTTTCATGAATTCATCGAAGTCCAAAACTGGCTTATTCTTATCCGAACAACAAGACCACGACTTCAAACCTTCATGAAAGACCTGAGCACGCGAAAGTTAGTAACATTTTTTGTTATCGGATCTGAACTTTCCACGCACTGGGGCTCCGGGATGAAATGTGCAACGTTCAGTGCTCCCTTCCGGAAATTCTTTCCCGCAACCTTTACGAGTACAACGGGGCATTGGAACAGAGTTTAGAGGAAAGAATCATCAATACCCCAAACGAAGATTTTGTCGTTGAACTCGACATATGATTGGCCGGATATTCTGATTGGCTGAGCGCTTATGTAAACAATTCTCGCTCTCATTTCTCACTCAGACTGCAACGCGAGTGGGCGTCGCAATAGGTCGCAATATGACGCCCGGAGGACTGAGATGCTCATTGTACATCCCACGGGTCGCTGCTACGTTTCCTATTCCTTTACAAGACTTCCGTTTGTCTTAAGATGAAGACAAGTTCTTAACCGGATTAGTTGTTGTTATTATGCTAAGCACGCAATAGCTTACCGGACCGGATCATGAGCACAAAGGTTTTGTTTTCATTGGAATCTCTGCTGAGGAGCTGAGAACACTGCTTACTACTCCAAATATACAGGCGAGGGGAGTGAGTGGGCGGAGTAGAGCGATACCTCGAGCGTAACTAAATATTATTGAACGTGTATCGCATGGGTCACTGCTAGTTTATTGACAATCACGCTACGTCCTGGCTACGTCTGAAGCCAAGTCTTGCCGGTGACGAACCCGGACCCGGCATTTACTCTCAATATTCCGCAGTCGTCATAACATTGACCTTGCATCTTCCATATCGTGGCGAAGAATTGAACTTTTGTAACAGCATCCGATTTACATATCTATGGACATGGGTTGTACATAAGCATATGTTCCATGAATATCTATGTATAAAATCCAGAACAACGGTTCCAGTCGACATTTATGTGGTGAACTGACACGGAAAAACTGCATCCACCAGCACGATGTGTGTGTTCAAGTTCATTCCGGCAGCCAGAAAGAAAGTTACGTTTGTAGATTAACCCATTGATCGATTGAACTCCGCGGCTATGGACCGAAATCTGTCCAGGAACATGGCTCGAAAGATTCCTGTGTCCATTGCATGTCAGAATCTGTTCTGTACATGTAAAACTTCTTTGAAGCAGACCTTTGGCCCCTCGAGATCAATATGGATCGAAATTGTGAGGCTCTGAAAGGATGAGCTCATGGTAAGGTCAAGCTCGCACGCGACTTCGAGTCACGCAGTTGTGTCCACAATCTATTGAATCTATTCGGTTCAATGAAATAGATGAATCGTGCGCGAAAGTATCAATTTTATCATTGAAATGCCTGAAGCTGACACAGAGAATTATTTCAGTTACTTTGTAGACCAGGACCAAAAGACTCGTAAATGAGAAAACCAATTCCCCATGGGCCCACCCTCCCCAACGTTCTAAGGGCAACAGTCAATTTGGGGCGATAACCGCTGCCTATAGACGGGTCCGGATTTGGAGCATGCGCGAGGGCAGGATTCGCAAAAAAACCAGATAATCCCTCTTGACGAAATTGTCGAAAAATTGCCCAGCAAGGAGCGTATTCAGTGGGGTTTTGGAGCTTTTGTAGATGGAAAATGCGTCTTGCATGGTCCCATGGACGACCCGTAAACTCATAAGCAAGACCGGCTAAAACCTAAACGAGGGATTACGGAGTGTTTGAGTAATTCCGAGCGAACACGTACTCCTCCAGAGACCAATGCGAAGCTGTGAATCATTTTGGGTATGTGATGGACAACGAATTCATCATTTGAAAATGTCTCTCGAATGAGAATGGCGGTATCTTCCCGAGTTCTAAAAGCTATGCGGCGGGTTACCTCAAAGATCGAGAAGAAAACGGCGAAACCTATTGTTTTAAATATCGTGAGGACACCCAAAGTAGAGGAAGAATCTTGGCGAACCAGTTGTGTCCTTAGCACAACCCCAAATCCAGCCATTCCAGCCACGACCGGCCATATCACCAACCTCTTTCATCCAACGCCTTACTTGCCTAGCATCTTCGATTTTTTTCTGCCTAGAGCCAAGGCCTCGAAATTCTGTACCTCTAAAGACGTCTTTCCAAGCGTGCGACCAAGAATGATACACAGAGCCTCCTTCGAAAAGTAATCGAACATTTTCTGCAGGGGCAGCGACGATTGCTTGAAATCCCCCAGCAATTGCGCCACATAATGCAGCTGTCATAGTAGGATGCCGGGAAATGTGGGGTTCCATGACTTTGGAAGCTTCCGTGTAAGTGGTCCATAGCACTGTCCCTAGTAGTGCATTGACGAGCATCGGTGGTACAAAATGTCTAGGTATGACCATAAGCTGTATTGCTGTTGAGTGCTAGAAGTCAGTTCGCCACGAAGACATTCCACTGACACCTTGGTCTTTGACTAGAGACTTGATAAATCCAGGCGTTAAAGCTGATCCCTCATGTGAGGCTAAACCACGCAGAGAATGCCATCCAGAGACTGAAGCCAATCGAAAGCTTTGAGAAAATTACACCTGTATGGCGTTGGAAGTAGAGCACTACCTTTGGATGGTCTAAATAGTCTAACAGGTCTTGAAAAATATAGAGCAATGCCTCGAGTCACCGTCCGAGCAACAGCAGCCTTCAAGTTCGCCTGCGACTCTCCTGTAGAAGGTTGAATTGCATTCTTACACCGAAAGGTAAAAAAAATCAGAGCTGCGTACGAGTTTCTAAACCTTCTGCTGAATGTTCTCCATCTCTGGCACAAGATATCACGGTTATTGACATACAAAGAACCTTGAAGAACCCGCCAGAGTAAAAGTTATCATCTCATATTACATAAGCTGTTGATTTGTCCTTTCGGATCCGAAGCAGCGCTAATATCGAAAGATTTCGTCTCTGTTCCCAGAGGATGTCATACCATTACAGGATTTTCTGTAGGCATAACATGCTATTCAAGAGACCTTTCTCCGCTACCGCTCAATACAGCGGGACTATCCCTTCCGACTTCCACTTCATCCCCGATTTTTTTTCCGTGTTCGAACAAAGAACGCTCCTTTCGGCAGCGCTTTTGAGGTTAGATGGTGCCGGGAGTAGGAGATTCCAGAGAAAACGCAAATCTTTCCTGAATCCGCTGGGATCAAATTGTGAAGGCCCTCCTGCTGAATTGTTTTTGCCTGATGACTGCTATGAATTTCTTCAGGTAAGTGGGAGAGCGCATGCATTTGTCTACCTTTGTCACAATAATGAACCCGTTGGAAGGGTCACTACGATGGTGTCATTCGCAATTTTCGAGAAATGCATCTGACGTCTTGGCCAACAAACGAAATCCTTGGACTCCTGCCAGTCTTGAATCGATTGCATTCTTTGATCCCCTCCCATAACATCCAAACACATCTTTTGCATCTGGCATCAGATGGTGAAATTTTTCCTCATGTAGATAATGTATCTGCCAGTGGAAGATGGATTCTAGGTGTTAGCCTTGGCTCAGAACGAATTCTTCGGCTGGAAAGCTGCACGCATCCTGACGAGGGGGCGGAAATTCTTTTACCCTCCGGAAGTGTATATATACAGAGGTAGGACTCATACCTTTTGCTGCATGCCGTGATCCAAAAAAACATTTTTCGTAGCGACAATGTGAGGTTTAAGTACAAACACTCTATCTTGAAGAACAGCGCATCTCTGAGTGGGATCGGACAACGTATGGGACAACGTATTAGCATCATGATTCGAGTAAGTTCATTCGTCATACAATTTTCATGACGGAAGGAGTGATCCGACATTGAAATAATCAGGACCTCCACGACAATCATGATGTATCATGATGCTGGCTCGGTAGATACCTACACCAACAAGGTATTCAACAATTGAATTTTACTCGTCCTGGATTTGAGGTCGGAGTTCCAATACCTACATCATACTACACTCCTTTACGGTTATTTAAAAGTCATCACGAATGCAACAAGTCGGGTTTGATTGCCTTAGTTTAGCGTTCTGCCAGAATGTTGGAAGGAAGGCAAAAAAAGAAGGTCACGACATGTGGCTTCAGTATATGATACATATTGGGGTTGAAAGAGAGAGTAGGTGTCGATCTTTCAGGGTTCACGATGAATCTGATAAGCAAGAAGCTGAAGAATAATGATGTGTTTTTGCGCTAAGATAGTGTACGGTCCATGAAGAAATTCAATAGCGATACATAAGTGGAACAGGATAGATACATATACGGAAACGATCGATACAGTCGCGAGCAGGAATCCAATACAATTCAAAGTCCATCTATCCATTCAAAGCATGGAAAAGATCGATAGCGTTATTGAGAAGACAATCGCCTAAAGTTTGTTCACAGCTGCTGCTCTGTGGATCGCTTTATGTCAGTTGATTTCTCGTCCATGATGTCTATGCAAACTCACGGCAGGGTTACCACAGCGCCGCCATCGGGCTGGATGCGTAGAAGCAAGGTACCCTGCATAATACGTAGGTTTCCGACCTATTGTAGCTAGTAGGAACAGATGCTCACATCTCCAGCGAACAGATGGCCACACACTGTTCCTTGAACAGGCTGGTTTTGAGCGGTGAAGAAATAGACACGAGTTCCCTGCTGAAAGAACAAGATAATGAGTACCGCGTCGGCAGCAGATGTCAAGAACGCGTACGGGAAAGTGATTCATAGCCAAAATAGTTGCGCTGTTTTGTGATTTTGAGAATCTCCAAGGTGAGTTCTCTTTATACCATGTAGAAAAGCGAAAACCAGAAGTAAAATGAAGCGTTCTGTATGATCGAGTACTCTCGACTTGCTACCGAAGGTCCTGATTAGAGGTAGAAATCGGGGATAGGACATCTGAATGGAATCTAGGGAGAAAGGCTAGCTTCATGAGCTTAGATTAATGACAGCGAAAACCATGCATATGAAGTCGAGGGACGCGCTTCGTCCTGAATTTGCAGTGTGAATTTGAGGGTCGGAAGAAATAGTGAGTCTGACCAAATTCCGAGGCCATTTGCACGGGCTTGCTCCCAGGTTATGCGATCGGGTAATCGAGCAAGCTTGAAGGAGCGTATGCATATTCCGGAAACAGGTGCACAAGGTTGTTGCGTCGATGAAGATCAATCACCATCATATCGGAAATAGGCCCAGAAGTGCTTCGCAGCCTATAAATCAGACGTTTACTGGACCCAAGCAGGCACGTATTGATCTACTAGAACGTAAAGGCAATAGACACGCGTTTTGCATCCATTCTCTGCGTTCGCATAGCATTCAGAAAGATCCAACCAAATTCGGTAATCCATTGACTGTTAATACTTTGGTTTTGCTCGGGAGTCGAGTTTCGAGGAACAAGTTGCAGTATATAGATGCGAGCACGTTGAGTCCTGAGAGGTATTGGAAAATAATTAAGTATTCCGAGGACATTTCTTCGAAGAAATGAACTGTCACGACTATCCTTAACCCAACTGCTGACTTCACATATAATTTAAATTAAGTAATACATAAATAACCTCACGTGCTGGTAGTTTGGTGAGTCCATCCGATATTCTCTCAGTCCAAAATTACATGCCAGCTCCAACCGCGACCTCCAAAAATAGTGGTTCTCGACATGATATGTCGGTGATATTGGTTACAGGCTCTTATGATCATGAAATCCGTTTCTGGGAGGCATGGAGTGGTATCTGTTCACGAACTATCGCCCGTACTGGAGAATCTGGGGTGAGCTTTGAACATATACTAGACCAACTTTCAAATGACAATTCATGTAGCAAGTAAATCGTCTTGCAATTTCCCCTGAGTGAGCTTCGCCACTTTTAGGGCCCTAAAATGCAGCATGAACTTCATACCTTCCCAGTAAACGCTTACTTGCAGCAGCCATCCACAAGAAAGTCAATATTTATGATATTGCCAGCTCTTCATCTGAGCATGTAACTATTTCATTTGCATCTATCTCATGGGCGTGTATTTGACTAATTATACTTCAGCTTATCACCTTTGAGGGTCATAGCAGGAATGTGACATCTGTCTCCTTCCATAGCGAAGGCAAATGGTTGGTAACGGGGAGTGAGGACGGAACAATCAAAATATGGGATCTTCGGTTTGTGAATTGCGCCTTATCCGTCTTAATGAAAGTTTACCTCTCATGAAGAAGTGGACATCTACATCGAACTTACGATAATGGCAATGCCGGTAAACTCTTAAATTTGTCAAGTTTGGTGGGAATCAACTATAAACCAAAACAGTGAACGATGTCTGTGTTCATCCGAATCAAGGAGAACTCATCTCTTGCGACCAAGCCGGGAGTATAAAGCAATGGGATCTTTCAGAAAATATATGCTCACATGAACTGGTGCGCCACAGTTTTCGCTCTCCTAATTTTTATCTCAAAGACAATGCAGACTCCCGCAGGAAAAACACCTATTCGTTCAATAAGCTTGGCTTTGGATGGTTCTTGTTTGGTTGCTGGTAACAACAAGGTGCGTTTACCTGATTCTTAGTCCGATCCTAATATGATAGACTCACATTGAAGTAAATTTACCAAGGGCCAATGTTACGTGTGGAAGGTAAACGACGAAAGCTCTGGTCTTCCTCGTTTTCAGGCAGTCACTACCTTTCATGCGCATAACAAGTACCTAACCCGATGTTTATTAAGCCCTGATGCAAAGTTAGTCTAAACTCATTTTGTCTATCCATGTATCTTATCATGTTGTCTTCATTGTGTTCAGATGCTTGGCTACGTGTTCTGCAGATACCACAGTCGCAATTTGGTCGATATCCCCGAACTACGAGTTCAAGCTTGAAAGATCGTTAATTGGTCATCAACGCTGGGTATGGGACTGTGCCTTTAGTGCAGATTCAGCGTATTTGGTGACAGGTATGTCGTTTATATCGCTGATAAAGTCAATGAGTATATATGCCCCATCTTCGCTTCAGCATCCTCCGACCACACTGCGAGGTTGTGGGAGATGGCGTCAGGAGAGACGGTGCGCCAATACAACGGGCATCACAAAGGTCTATATCTACTTTTTTTCTCTACTTTCCGTGGCTCAACATATATATAGCTGCTGTCTGTTGTGCTTTGCACGATGGTGCTGGATAAGATCTGTTACTCAGGACTGTTTCTAATCCTTGTTCTTCTTATTGTGGGTTCCTTGTACAATTGCTTGAACTGAGCAGTAATAGGTTGTAATGTAGCAAAGGTAATTGATCTAGATATTGTCTGAACCATGGCAAGTTCACCTATCCATGCTGAGTGATTCTATACTAACTCCTGCGTATGTGTTATGTAGCTCCTGCCAAGCTGCCTTCTCAATCCATTTTGACTTCTGCTGAGATGTCGGAGATTCGGATTTGTGTTCTGCCACGAAAAGCCCGAAGAAGTACAACCGTTGTACATACTACAGGGTGTCGATTTTTTTGTAGGCACGGTCTAGCGAACCTGAACATTCAAAGTTCCTCAAAAGAAGCTACCCTCGTTCTTTTGGCCAGTTGATTATGTGCACAACGTGAAGGAAGAATTGGTGATTTTTTCCCGCGAACCTCACCATGCTGCATCATTTTAGACGTTTTCCAATCCCGTGGTCATGGTTCAGGACGTTGGGCGTTACCCGTGTTTCTCGATGGGAATTGTGGGTCTCGAATCTTTTTAGGACAGCTCTTACATTTTGAGAATACTTTGACTGGATCTTCTTTGCCACAAAATTTTCCAAGAGCTTACGAAGGCTTACCATCTCTTACCATCGGTTGACAACTCACTTGACAAGTAAACCCGAGAACAAATTCTCGATCATAATACCGAGAATTCAGACATAAGTCTACGCCAGACCTTTCTGTGTCGTTCACCTGTACTGCTATCGCTTGCCTAATTGACAAGGGTTGAATAATGAAGAAGCTTCAAGCTCCTTCATTTTGAAGCGTTCGGTCCGGAGTTCGAAGTAAATGAGTTCATACCTGCGCGGGTGTGTATATCACAATCTGAGTTAAAAAGTTGCGCGCGAAGTATTCGTGTCCGGTCACCTATCTTAGTACTTGAGACTTGGGTAAGAAAATCGATTCCTTCCGTATTCCGAGCAGACCTCGTGCGCACATACATGCACGGTAAGCTTTGTATGTCGCAGCTGACAGCATTCGGAAGGTTACGGAAATCTGCGCGGTCACGGAGCTACGGGAGGGCGAGCAAAATTCCGATGCTCTCATTGGTTGGAGCTCCCGGCTTCAACGGAGTCAATCGAGACGGCGACCGAGCCGCGATTCACTTTTTTATTTTTATTTTGCTCTTTGAACGTTGACCACCAGTGACCACACCTTATCGCAGTATCCTTGGCTCATCTCCCTCTCACTAGCTTTTACAAATATCTACACCATTCCATGGCCAGCGCTTTGGTCGACTATCATCCTTCCTCAGAATCTTTACCCTTTGTATCTGAATCTGCCACTGCAGAGAATATCAATAGCTTCAATGCGGTCGACCGCGACGTTTCATCATTTGCGGGCTCGCTCCCTGCTAATCAGGGCTTGTACATGAACGAGAACGAAAAGGACTCATGTGGTGTGGGATTCATTTGTCATGTAAAGGGCGAAGCCAATCATAAAATCGTCTCTGATGCTCGTCAACTGCTCTGTGCAATGACTCACAGAGGTGCCACTGGTGCCGATAGCAGAGATGGTGATGGTGCCGGTGTGATGACAGGTATTCCTCATGAGTTTTTCAAGAGAGAAGCGGAGCGAGATCTTGGATGTACCCTTCCTGAGCCTGGAGAGTATGCAGTTGGTAACATTTTCTTCAAAGCCAATGATCCGGTAGGACTTCAATCTCAACAAGCTGTATTTTCCAACATCGCCAGCGATCTCGGCCTCCGTGTTCTTGGTTGGAGAGAAGTTCCAACTGATGGATCCATTCTTGGACCTGCTGCAAGCAGTAAAGAACCGGCCATCCTTCAGCCTTTCATTGTTCTTCGTGCTCATTACGGAAGTGGTACTGTCAGTCAAGGTGGTACATTTGATGCAACGCATCTCGAACGACAGCTTTATGTTCTTCGAAAGCACGCAACACATAGCATGTTTGTGAATTTTCCTTGTTTAAACATTTCGAAGCAGAAGCTAAACGTTTTTGTCACTTTTTTGTTGTTAAGAACACTCGCGAAAGGATTTTACATTTGCTCTCTGTCAACCAAAAACATTGTCTATAAAGGGCAATTGTCCCCTCCTCAGGTGTACAATTACTACCATGACTTGAACCATGTGTTGTACCGTTCTCATTTAGCCCTCGTACATTCGCGATTTTCTACGAATACGTTTCCTAGTTGGGATCGGGCTCAGCCAATGAGATGGGCCGCTCACAACGGTACGTGTTCTTTTTGCTGATTCGAATACCTAATGAATTCCGTGTTTCAGGTGAAATTAACACTGTGCGCGGAAATAAGAATTGGATGCGTGCTCGTGAAGGTGTCCTTTCTTCACAGAATTTCGGCGATGAGCTCGACCTTCTGTACCCTATCATCGAAACCGGTGGCTCTGATTCTGCTGCTTTCGACAATGTCCTCGAACTTCTCGTCGTCAATGGAGTTGTCACTTTGCCGGAAGCGATTATGATGCTCATTCCCGAAGCGTGGCAGGGTAATGAGAACATGGAATCCGAAAAAAGAGCCTTCTACAACTGGGCCGCCTGCCTGCAGGAACCTTGGGATGGTCCCGCTCTATTCGCATTCAGTGATGGCCGTTACTGTGGTGCCAACTTGGATAGAAACGGTCTCAGGCCTTGTCGATTTATTGTCACTAATGAAGACATCATGATCTGCGCTTCCGAGGTCGGAGTATTGTTTATTCCTCCTGAAAAGGTAGTTCAGAAAGGTAGACTTAAACCCGGTCGAATGTTGCTGGTTGACACACTCGAAGGACGAATTGTCGATGACAAAGAGTTGAAGAGGACCACTGCGGCGAAGCAAAATTTCGCATCTTGGGTTGAAACTCACGTTCTTCACGTCCCTAAAATCATGAAACGTGCTAGACGCAGCGGTGCTGTTTTGGAACCTAAGCTCGATGACTATCCATTGAGTACCGACCCGAAATTGTTAGCATTCGGCTACACAGTGGAACAATTAAATCTGCTCATCCTTCCCATGCTGTATGATGGGAAAGAAGCCTTGGGATCTATGGGTAACGATGCGCCCCTTGCTGCTATGGCCTCTGCTCCCCGTGTCATCTACGATTATTTCCGGCAGCTTTTTGCTCAGGTCACCAATCCTCCTATCGATTCTATCCGAGAGAGCATCGTTATGTCCCTTGAGGCCTATGTTGGACCGGAAGGTAATTTGCTGGAAATGAAGCCTGAACAGTGTCACCGAATCCTTCTTCCATCGCCTGTACTTTCGATCGAAGAAATGAATGCCATGAAGAACCTGAAATCAGCTTATTTGACCTGGCCCTCTAGGACTATCGATATCACCTTTCCTAAGGAAGAAGGCCTTCCTGGATACAAATTCGCATTAGAACGTGTTTGTAGCGAAGCGACTCAGGCTATTGACGATGGCGTGAAGGTTATCATTCTATCCGACCGTAATGTCAGCATGACCCGTGTCCCATTATCAGCGTTGGTTGCTTGTGGTGGGGTACATCATTTCCTTGTCGCGCAGAAGAAACGAGCCAAAGTCGCTCTCATGATCGAGACTGCAGAGGCTCGCGAAGTTCACCATCTCTGTGTGCTGGTCGGTTACGGTGCCGACGCTGTCTCTCCCTGGCTGCTGATGGAGACGGTCCACAAAGTAGGACGCGAAAAACTGTGAGCAGCCATAGTTTTGTTTCACTTGAGTTTGCTGACGTTTACAATAGGATAAAGGGTGATAAGACGGTCGCCGACTTGATGGATAATTATCGCCACTCCGTTGATAATGGCATTCTCAAAGTCATGTCTAAGATGGGCATCTCAACTCTTCAATCTTATAAGGGCGCGCAAATTTTCGAAATTCTTGGTCTTCACAGCGAAGTCGTTGACCGCTGCTTCATCGGCTCCGCTAGTCGCATTCAAGGTGCCACGTTTGACCTTCTTGCCATGGATGCCTTTGAGCTTCATGAGCGTGGATGGCCAACTCGTGAGACCATATTACCCCCTGGTATGCCTGAATCGGGAGAATATCACTGGAGAGACGGTGGTGAAGCCCACATCAACGATCCTACAGGTATTGCCCACTTACAGGATGCTGTTCGAGAGAAGAATCAAACTGCCTACGATGCCTACGCTCGTAATGCTGATGCGCAGACTAGCCAGATACACCTTCGAGGACTTCTTGATTTCCGGTACGAGAACAACACACCCATTCCCATCGAGCAAGTGGAACCTTGGAACCAGATTGTTCGTCGTTTTGTCACTGGCGCGATGTCGTATGGTTCTATCTCAATGGAAGCGCACTCTACTTTGGCCGTAGCAATGAACCGTCTGGGTGGAAAGTCTAACACTGGCGAAGGAGGAGAGGACGCTGAGAGATCTCATGTCCTCAGCAACGGAGACACTATGAGATCCGCCATCAAGCAGGTTGCTTCGGGGCGTTTCGGTGTGACATCCAACTACCTTGCCGATGCCGACGAACTGCAAATTAAGATGGCTCAAGGTGCGAAGCCGGGTGAGGGTGGTGAACTCCCTGGCCACAAAGTCTCTGGTTCCATTGCCCGTACCCGACATTCCACTGCTGGCGTTGGCCTCATATCCCCCCCTCCCCACCACGACATCTACTCCATCGAGGATTTGAAGCAGCTTATCTATGATCTAAAATGTGCTAATCCTCGCGCTCGGGTGTCTGTCAAACTCGTATCGGAGGTTGGGGTTGGAATAGTGGCCAGTGGCGTTGCCAAAGCTAAAGCGGACCACATTCTCATATCTGGTCATGATGGTGGTACCGGTGCTTCTCGGTGGACTGGGATTAAATATGCTGGTCTACCTTGGGAGCTTGGTCTCGCGGAAACTCACCAAACTCTGGTGCTTAATGATCTTCGTGGTCGTGTCACTGTTCAGACCGATGGTCAAATTCGCACAGGTCGTGATATTGCTATCGCCTGCCTACTTGGTGCGGAAGAATGGGGTTTTGCCACGACTCCTCTAATTGCCATGGGATGCATCATGATGCGGAAGTGTCACTGTACGTTCATTGTTCATTCCCCGTTTCTTTATCTCACGCAATCCTTCATTACAGTGAACACTTGTCCTGTTGGTATTGCCACTCAAGACCCCCAGCTACGTGCTAAATTTGCTGGACAGCCGGAACAAGTTATCAACTTTTTCTATTATCTCGCAGAAGATCTACGCAGCTACATGGCGAAACTTGGATTTAGGACCATCAATGAGATGGTGGGTCGGGCAGATGTGCTCAAAGTTAATGAGAAGATGCGAACACCAAAAACTGCCCACCTGGACCTCTCGGCCATCTTGAAACCTGCCTGGCAAATGCGACCTGGCGCTGCCACTTACCGTGTTCGCCAACAAGATCACAAGCTCTATATTCGCCTCGACAACAAGTTCATCGATGAGTCAGAGCCTGCCCTTACGAAAGGACTTCCGGTCCACATTGAATGTGATATTCTCAACACCGATCGCGCCCTTGGAACTTCGCTGTCCTATAGAGTTTCCAAGCTTTATGGCGAAGAAGGTCTTCCTCGGGATACTATCCACATCAACATGAAGGGCTCTGCTGGTCAGTCTTGCGGTGCTTTCCTTGCACCGGGTATCACTATCGAGTTGGAAGGTGACGCAAACGATTACGTTGGAAAAGGCCTTTCTGGTGGGAGACTCATTGTGTACCCCCCCAAAGCCTCTGTCTATAAAGCAGAAGAAAACATCATCATCGGCAACGTATGTCTATATGGGGCGACATCTGGGGAAGCGTTCATCCGAGGTATCGCTGCAGAGCGCTTCGCCGTTAGAAATTCCGGTGCCAATGCTGTTGTCGAAGGAACGGGTGATCATGGCTGCGAGTACATGACGGGAGGTCGTGTTGTGGTTCTCGGTAACACTGGTCGCAACTTCGCTGCAGGAATGAGTGGAGGCATTGCCTATGTCTTGGATACTGCCCACACGTTTGCGTCCAAAGTCAATATGGAGATGGTTGAGCTCGGAAAGGTGACAGATCCCCGCGAGATTGCTGCTCTGCGTAGCCTTATCGAAGATCATCGTCATTTTACTGGTTCAGAAGTAGCGGACCGCGTCCTTCATGACTTCCATCATCTTCTTCCGCTCTTCGTTCGTGTGATGCCTATGGACTACAAACGAGTTCTCGAAGAACAGGCCGCCAGGGAAAAAGAAGAGAAGATCCGCTCGAGTATCATTGACATGGTTCCTTCAAGAACTGCTAGCCAGGTTGACCTGGCTTCTGAGGGCCTCGAAGACATATTACTCCCTAAAACTCCCCTCCCCTCTGCCACCCCTAAACGCCATGAGCCATCTGTAGTTGACCTCGAAGACTCCCTCGTTGATGAATCTACTCAAAAGCAAAGACTCAATAAACTCGATAAAACGCGCGGGTTCATGAAGTACAAACGACTCGCTGAAGCTTACAGACCTCCTCGAAAGCGTGTCAAAGACTGGAAAGAGATTTCCACGCGTCTTACCGAAAGCGAATTAAGTTATCAGTCTGCGCGTTGTATGGACTGCGGTGTTCCCTTTTGCCAGTCTGACACTGGCTGTCCAGTCTCGAATATCATACCCAAATGGAATGATCTTGTATTCAAGGGACAATGGCAGGATGCTCTCAATCGACTGCTTCTCACTAACAATTTCCCTGAGTTCACTGGTCGTGTCTGCCCGGCACCTTGTGAAGGTGCTTGTGTCCTTGGGATTAATGAGCAACCAGTTGGGATCAAGAGTATCGAGTGTGCGATTATTGACAAGGTAAGAACCACTCAATAGTCAATTTCTGGTCTTCGTGACTGATGATCCATCGAAGGGCTTCGAAATGGGCTGGATGGCGCCCAACCCTCCCTCTTTCCGAACTGGAAAGAGAGTCGCAATCATTGGTTCCGGCCCGGCGGGTCTTGCATGCGCTGATCAACTAAATAAAGCTGGGCATCTTGTTACCGTATACGACCGTAATGATCGCATGGGTGGTTTATTGATGTACGGGATCCCGAAGTATGTTGAACTCCATCCTTCGGGTCTTCAATGATCTGACGACATGACAGTATGAAATTGGACAAGACCGTTGTCCAACGCCGACTTGACCTAATGGCCGCTGAAGGCGTTGTATGTTGTATCTGCTCTCTGTAACATGATTGCTTACCACAAAACAGACATTCATCCCCAATGCTCATGTCGGAGTAGACATTGATGTTGAGGACATACGTGCTCAAAATGACGCACTTGTCATTTGCACTGGTGCCACCTGGCCTCGGGACTTGCGAATTCCCAACCGCGACGTCGAGGGAATTCATTTTGCGATGGAGTTCTTACAGGTATCTCGAAGCAAATAATCAATCATTTTTCCCTTTATGCTGACCTGTTATTCACTAGCTGAATACCAAGTCCCTCCTTGACTCGGAACTGCAAGATGGTAATTATATTAATGCCAAAGGCAAGGATGTCATAGTGATTGGAGGAGGTGACACTGGCAATGATTGCATCGGTACCTCCATGCGTCATGGAGCGCAGTCGGTCACCAACTTCGAACTGCTCCCAAGGCCTCCCGTCGCTCGTGGAAGAGATAATCCATGGCCCCAATGGCCACGGTGCGGTTCCTGGAAGTTCTTCTCATATGGAAGCTGACTATTGCCTTTCAGAATTTTCCGAACCGATTACGGTCACACCGAGGTTGCCGCTCACTTCGGAAATGGTATTTCCTTCTGTGTTCACTACCTTACCGTACGCTGAATTCATGGAATCCAGACCCCAGGGAGTACTGTATATCTACTAAAGATTTCGTTGTCGACGATAACGGGAAACTCACTGGCTTGAACACCGGTATGCTACATCATGATGAACTCACCTTATGTATCCTGAGACTCTATTTCTAGTCCGTGTTGAGTGGACCAAGGACAGCGGAGGCAAATGGAAGATGGAAGATGTCCCAGGATCTGAGAAATTCTTTCCCGCACAACTCGTTTTCCTAGCTCTGGGTTTCCTAGGTCCCAGGAACGACGTCATCAAAGCTCTTGGTGTGAAGCAAGATGCTCGTTCAAATATACAAACTCCTCACAAAGTAAATGATATTCACTGCGTGCATCGATAATTCCTGACCTCCTTTTAGAAATATTCTACTAACGTGGATGGTGTTTTCGCTGCGGGTGATTGCCGTCGTGGCCAGTCCTTGATCGTTTGGGGCATCAAGTAAGCACGTTTAAGGTGTCTCGTCGCAGTCGCTTATGTATATTATCCAGCGAGGGACGTAGCGCAGCGGCAGAGATCGATGCTTGGCTCAGCTCTGGCAAGACTCGGTTGCCAAGTGCTGGCGGCATTAAAGCTCGGGTGAGGCAGGCTTATCTTCGACATAGGTAGCTGATGCTGAAATGTTAATAGGTGTATGTACCACCTCCAAGCAAACTATATTCCGCGAAATCCGCCGAAGTAGAAGCTTAACGTGTAATTTCTAGCTTAGCACCATGTTTGTATTTTCAGTGTTTGTCCATGGGGCTCATGAATTGGAATCTCTACTACACTACTACCTTGTATATATCACTTTATCATATACGACGACTGTTTCATATAGGTTTCAATGTAGCCAATGCATTCCTCCGCATATTGTCAAACTGCGTCAATATCAGTAAGTTCAAAATCTACCAGGTGAGATATCATTTAAAGAAAGTTTGCAGTTTTTTTGATGGCGGTCCCTTGAACGCGGTACAGTGAAGCTTGAATCACAATAATGACAAGTATATGGCTTCTCGCCTTTATGAGAATTCTCGTGGACTGAGAAACAAGCACATAAATCCTAGGTACTTCGAATGAAGCCAAAAAAGACTCACATTGTAGATTATGTTTCGCAGTGAAATCGGCAGAACAAAACGAGCAATAGAATCTAGCCTGAGATTTACGCTTTCTATCCGCTTGTTCTCTTACTTTGGTAGAAGCTACAGTTGCCTTCTTGAGCCCGAATTCGAAAGATGTCAGCGAAGAAGGGCTGATCATAGTAAGCCCCTCATCGACAGGAGGAGCAGGATAGGCAGTATAATGACCCTGAGGGTCGATAATCCTGAAGCCAGGGTTTATCTCCCCTTGGGAGTTTGGATAATTTGCTGACAAATTCTGGTATAAATGTCCACCCGAGTGGTTCGACTCATATCCTGATACCCCCGGTGTAGGAGGGAAAGGGGAATAAGGCGAGGAAGAGGGTTGTGTATATGCGGACTCTGGCCAACTCGAGGGTTGCGTACTCGGCACATAGGAAAAATCTGTGAAAACCATAGGGGGCTGAGGGCGTATTGCACTGGTATTAGACGTTGGAACTCCATTTCCGGGGCTGCGGTAAGTCATAAGGACATAGTCTCAGCGACACCTTGCTGAATTTCACCTTGTCATAAACGATCCTCCAGTGATATCATCTGGAGAGAACTGAGAGTATGCCCTGTTGAGCTTGTTAGGACACAAAGGTGTGGGATGATGTGACTACTTGTATAACTTACTCATCCAAGGGAGAAGAGAGTTGCTGATCGTAATGTGCGTATGAGTTTTGATTGTATGCTTCGCCATGAACGTCAGAGCTGAACAGAAGCAGAGACAGAAAATCAGAGGAGGATCCTAGGAGAATGTGATATGCGTACAGGTAACTGTGATTAAACGACATAGTGAGGACTGGTATGCAAAGTAGCAGCAGAGTGAAGGACTCGTGTAGTCCTTTGATTAGACAAATCGTTGAGGGGAGGGGTTGCGGGTGTAGATGTAGGTGGATTGGGTAGCTTTTGGCTTTTTATAGGATTAGCTGTAGAAACGAGATACGCACCCATTCATGCACCTTCCTGTCAAGTAAATAACAACTAAACAGCCTGCGGGTTCATAAATTCATACATAGAACACATACTCTTCGTGCGGTTTTAACACTGTAGTTGGTCCTGTCCGTCGGACGCTGTGATTATGAACCAACCTCACCACATCCTTCCTCTCGACACCAAAGTTGAATTGGTGCCTCCGTTCCTACAAGCTGGTTTAATAGCATTTGGGCATTTTCGTCACAGCAAATTCAGGAAATGAATGTTCATAATGAAGTAGCTCTCTTGGTCCATTTCAGTAGGTAGGATATCGAGGTATTACTCTTTGGCCATTTTAGCGGAATGTACACTTCGGTCGTGAGATGTTGTTAACCCAGCAGCGCCTTCAAATCGAAGGATGTTGGATTTAATACTTCTTTGGTCCTTCTTGGCAAGAAGCAGCTGTTGAAAGCTCGAGGGCAAGGGTTCCTCTACCGTGAGCCCGAATTCCTAATTTCTGCCATTAAAGTTCAAAACAGCTTTGACATTTTTGGAACGAAGTTGGGCTTAAGCATGAATATGAACACACCTTTTTGAGACCAATTACAAAGATCCCCCTACTCAGAATATGGTCCAAAATGGCTGAAAGAGTTGTTACAATTCGAAAGATCAGGTCTCTGGGGCAGCATGGTTATTCAGACGGGGGAAAATCGTCTGGGAAAGATATGACAGGCGTTATTATACTCAAGAAAACTGAAGCGCCAAGCTGAAACTTAGAAACCTGATTTTTCTGATGCATATTGGAGTAACTCAATCATCCACAGAGATACTAGTAGTCTGCAATAAGACGTGCGTCGAGAGCTCAGACGCTGTGTCTCATTTTCATATAGACATCGGAAACCATATATGGGCGGTGGATCAATGCCACAACAGAGACCTACCTTCGATGCCTCTGCTGGACGCAAGTTTTGTAAAATAGAGGTAAACTGCGGGAGACAATAATACAGTCTCTGAGTCGTCACTGTTATTAAGGTTCATACCTTATGGTCTATAAACTATCGCTCGTCATGGGTTGATTGAACCTGCCGAATGTCTCGGTCCCTGAGTTCAAATGAACCACACTCGCAATATGATTCTTTTTCCAGTCCTACCAAATGAAAAAAGAAAGCAGTAAGATTTGGACCAGATAAAGCACAGCAGCACTACACAGCGATACAGCGATACAGCTAATAGCTCAGCACTTAGCAACAATTTCTGCGTCGACGGACAGGTCAGAAAATCGGGGCCAGATTTTTTGCAAAATCGCCTAAACGGCACGCGCTGACAAAAGCTTGGGAAATTCACTCACTGACCGAATTGGGTCTGTGACAGTGGCATAGCCGATGAGATGTCTGTTTAGACGGTCACACTCACCAAAGGCGGATGGAGAGAGCATGCAGAGGTGTTGGCCTAATGTTTGTAGTTGGCACATCTGCAAAACCTGTATGTTCGCCAGAGCAAGGGTACTGGCTGGAGAGCGCTCTCCAGCACCCAAAGCACCGAGAGCAAAATTTCAACCTTGCTCTGGGTGCTTTGGTTGCTGGGAAGCGCTCTCAGCTGCTTTCGGAGAATTAGCCGAAAAAACAGGTTTTGCAGATGTGGATCTTGGCAGTTTACCTAGTAGAAGGCTACTGATAAGTGGGGCAAGGGGGGGCCTTGTCCACTAGATTTAAGGGCGTGTTGGACGCGCAACATATTAGAAAATATTGTCAGTTAAGAGATAGATACTTAGATAGAGTGAATTGACCAAGATAAAAGAGTGCCGGAGTCCGGCGTCGATTCAAGAGAACGAAGGCACGTGACATGACGCTATTTGTTGTGCAGTCAGCTCGGCCCTCGGGGCCGAATAGTTGCCTAATTAGACTATTTACAACCGGACCGTTCACGCGTCGTTGACCGGTCTGCTCTCATACCACAATGTCTTCAAAAGTAAAACGAACTTACGCGTCTCGCTCGGACAAACCCAAGCCCTGCTTTTTATCACCTGCCTCTGCGCCCTCTTCTCCTCCTCCAGCGCCATCGATCAAGAGAAAACGGCTTTTCGGTGATTCTCAGTCCCAGGTTGATGCATCTGCGAAACGCGTCAAGTCTTCGAAGGAAAAACTTAGGCAAAAGACGCTGAAGCAGCTTCATTTCTGCATTGATCAATCGATTGTGCGGACCTGTGCCATTTGCAAATTGTCATATACGAAAGGTGCTGAAGACGATGAAGCTTTGCATCGAGCTCATTGTGCCAGAGTTCAACGAGGTATGGAGTGGGGCAAAGAGGAGGAAAGAGACAAAGCTGGTGCAGGAAACGTGAAGGAGATTGTAGAGGTGGTCAAGCTAAAGGATGGAAAAAAGGGAAGGATTATCTGTGTAGATGCGACTGTAGGAGGCAAGATTGGTTCTAAGGCAAGTCCACGATTTCGGCTGCTCTCAGGACACGGTCACATTGTCACTTTAGTTATCTACACTTTTGGAAACCATCAACGTCACGCTCTCAGCCTCTACTTTGTCGCCAGAAGCCCTACGTGCCTCTAAAGCTTATCTTTTCCTTCTGCCCGCAATAACACCCAATAAAGAAAAGATCGTGGGCTGCATCTTCGCGCAACGGATAGAAAAGGCGATGGCGGTAGCTCCTCCTTCGAGTTCTTCCATCCCTGAGAATGACGACGCGACACCTTCCTCACGGTCACTTCTGACTGTGGATGATACAAGTGGTCTTTTCTGCTATCCTGAACTTCTTCCAACTGCACTTGGTATTTCTCGAATATTTGTCACTTCTACACAACGCAGACAGGGAATAGCGAGCGGCTTGTTGTCTGCCGCCGCGCAAACAGCTATTCATGGATGTGTCTTGGACCCTAAGGATGGGCAGATCGCGTTTTCGCAAACCACCGGGGACGGTATAGCTTTGATGAGAAATTGGGGACAAGGAGGTATCCGGATATATGATGAAGACAATTGTTAGATGATTTTCTAGATTCCTGTATTTCTTACACACTTGTTTGCTTTGTAAAACGTCTACGTACATGCACTGTATCAGTATATTTAGTCCTGATGGGCCAAAGCAAGGTCAGAGCGATAAATAATATATTAAGCTATAGGACCAACTGAAAGAGCGCGTACCCAAATGGTGTCATAAAGTTCATATCGACATGATTACATAGATCTCACCATGCTTGGACTTCATAACCTACATTTCTCTGTCTTCAATACCTACGCCAGTAGCTTTGGAATGACCTTAATCATTTGGTCAATATTAATGAATTGCACCCAATTCTCCAACTCCTTCTCAGAATTATACCATACAAATCTACTCTCCCCTCTTGTCCCTCTGAAGAATGCACAGACGCACTGATAATTCTCCTGCGAGAGCTGATCCTGCCGTGCCACGCCCAATTGAGCTTTGAATAAACGAAATTCCCATCCCTGCAAAGGAATGTTGTCTCCGAGCGCATATGGAGTTTCTTCCGTTTTATGCGAAGGATGAGAGCCCTCGACAATAAACTCCAATCGAGAATAATCAAAACCGACAGGTTGGCCCACAGCATGGTTATAAGCTTCTTTCAGGGTGAGCACGATACTCACCCGGCGCAGAACCACCTCGTCAGAGAGTCCTTCTTTGAGGATGAGCGCTTGTTCTTTGCGCGTCAGCTACAGTGAGGGTTCAGAAAGACACAAATGGCAAGACCGAAACTTATTGCGAGAGTCACGGACCTTATGCGCCATACTTTCTACGTACGCCCGAGCTGTGATTCCTCGCGGCTCCACTTCTATTCGTCTAATCCCGATACCGATGTTGACGACTTTGCGTTGAGTGCCTTGGGTCATAGCCATGCCACATAGAGATTCGGAGTAGGTCAAGTGATAACCAATCATTGAGTGTAAGAATTTTTCAGGCGACATGTCTTCCGGAGACTAGCAAATTCTCCCCTCAGTAGACGGCGCGTGTCGGAGAGCGATACCTAACACACCTGTTCAATCCAGTGCTTTCCAGAGGAAGTCTTGTAGTCAGTCCATTTTGCGCGGGGTATGCGGCGATGCCTCATCATCAGTAACGGTAACATTTGTGTTATACATCGACCTGGTCGTTCCGATAAGTTAGCAGTCAACCTATAGTCTGACTGAAAGCTCTGCAACGCACGAAAGGATTCAGCGCTCGTAGGATCGTACGGGATTTCGGGCGAGACACATTCCTTGACAACATTATAACATGCTTCGTATTCCTTCAGAGAGAAAGATCACAGCAATCAGCTTATCTCACTCTTGAGCAAAAGATATTCCGCACCTCTTTCGTTGCTTCCCTGTTCAGTGATAACATCCACACTAGAATCGGGCAGTCATGGTAAGGGCCATTGATAGGCGGTAATGTTGTAGGTGGCTGAGAGTGAGAGCTCGTTGAAGCTGTTTGTAGATTTTCCATATCGATGTTCCTGACCGCTCAGTAAGTACGCGAAGTAAAGCAGAGGTTGAGCATTACTAGGACTCCTCGGGGGATTCGATTGCAGATTTTGTGGCGCGTGGTGGGTGCTCGGTGTAAGTTGCAAAATGGAAACTTCCCACGTCGTTTTATAGAACTCGAGAGCTCATGGAATCCTTGTTTTCAGGATATTCACAAAACAACAGTCACATTTTCTATGAAATCATGAATGTTGTTATGTAGAATGTTGTACATTGATGGCCATTAGGTTATGAGAGTTTTAGAGAAGAACTTGCCCAAAGACGTTCAAATAATGGGAAAGTTGATTACATAAACACTTTGTTAGCTACCTAGACTTGTACCACTGCCAGAGAAACGACTGTAGCTGTCGGTGTGTGCTGAAAGGGTATCTCATTCTGTCCTTTACATCCTCAGAGCTATTATGACACCCGTTTTTTTTTTTGATTAGATGGTATGCGAAAGCACGATCTTCAGTCAGCAACCAGAATTTTCATTAGGTTCCGGTCAAATCAAGCACTTCTCGACCATGGAAACTTGAACAACTCTCCTTCACTTAATCCAAAGAATCCCATTACTCTACTGGAATCAACCCCCCGTACATCTCCATATACATCTGTTCCACGGTCTCTGGTTCCCGCCGTCGTCGGTGTCCTTGCTGGCCCAGAAGCGGGCGGTGACCCTCCTCTTGCGTCGGTGTACCCTACGTCGCGCCATGGCCGTCAAATGCGTGTAGGATCCCCTTACAGAGCTCGGGATTCGGATGGTACAAAGGACACAATTCCGCCGTCTCCTCAAGATCTCTGGACTCGGGCGCTAACTCTTGCTTCAAAAGATGTAAAAAGTATCACAAGCAAAATGCTTATTCACTTTTTTGAACGAGGGAAGGCAAGCTACCGACCTTGGTCCCCGACTTTGAGTTCTAATCCCTCTAACGCTGGTCCAAACACTAGTGTTGCCGATTCTAACACTCACCTTCCCATTCTGGATCACACCATCCGATTAACCCTGTCCCATTATACCACACTAATTCATGGGCTCCTTCTTCGTCGACATTACTCTGTTGCCTTATCATGGGCCCGAAAATTAATTTATCCATTTCCCACTTTTCCAACGTATACGTCGTCGCACTTCAAACACCTTCCTCGCGCATCAAACCTCCCGAGATACTCCCGAGAATCAGTCCATTTGTCTCTCGACGGGACAGCGCTTTCTGCTTGCCTTCTCGTCCTGGCACGTTTGGGAAGGGTTCACGAAGCTATCGCGGTACTGGAGGCGTATGCTGCCCCGAGTATTATTCCTAGTACCTTAGGATTGACATTGTTAGCTCGTCACACTGATGCCAGGAACGTTCAATTAAACACTATACAAATCAACGATTTCCTCCTCACGCTGCTTCGTTGGCCAACCAAGAAACATGCGTTACCAGTTCCCAGTGCAGACTTTCCTCTACCCTTGAAGTCAGACAAGGCAGAGCTTATTTCGACGACTTTCGATAAATCAAAGAATGCAAGGAAACCTACGGGAAAGGCCACTTTTAGAACTTCATCTTGGCTAGCGCGAACGACAGACTCAACTCGTTCGGCCCGCCCTGATCTACTCCTCCGAATCCTTCCCGCTCTCTACCCGCGGTATGGTGTCTCCTGGGATTCGCGGACAGTATGCCTGATGCTTCAAGCCGTGAGGATGAGCGCAAAGATGGACGGAATCAGTGCGTTTGGGTTGAGGAAGGTTATTAAGGATATCTTTGCCGGAAGTACAAAGATTAAACGGAAGGAAATGTTGGATGAATCCTTGCAGTTGCAATCAAACTTGGAACAGACTCGAGGGCCGGACTCTGTGGACAGACAGAGCTGGCTCGTAGATAATATCATGGAAGTGCTTTGGGAGCCCCTCGGCGATGAAAGTAATTGCTACTGTTTTGAAAACAATTACTCCCTGTATACTTATATTCACATTAATCTAGGTATCCTTCCTTCTTCCCGTCCTCCATTAAAACTTTCCATCACCAAAGCGAGCAAAAAATTCAAGAAGAAAGAGACACCCCTTACGCATACTCCCAGGAAATCTTCTCTTCGTCCGTTGGAATATGGTCCATTCACGCCTTGGCCTGTGACTGCCTCATCTCCGCCACCTTCACTAACACTTACCTCTAATATCAAGACTGATACTGGATCTGATACACATTTCCCATACCCGACTTTGACCCACCCTTTCCTTCTCGCGCGTGAGATATTTCTCAGACTCGTTTGGGAGCACGCAGCCAGTTCCAATATAAACGAAAATGCTGACATCGATCTCCACGCTCTTCCTTCGCCAGCAGTCATACCGCCATCTTCACTCGCCCGGCTGCTTGACCCGGATGGAGATGGTTTAGGTCACCTGGGTGGGTTACCGAAGTGGTTCGGTCTCCTCGAAGAAGCTCTGAAACGAAAGTTTGGTTTTGGTTCAAAATTGCTTACGATTTCATCTATAATGTCATCGGTTTCAGCGAAAGCGAACCCTCGGATGAAGTTGGTCGATGAAGTGTTTGGGTATCCCGAAGATCCACATTCGCCTACGCTTCCAAAACTTACACCCACTGCTTTTCACCATTATATACTCATGCTTGGGCTTAGCGCGCCTGAGCCATGGGAGTTTGTCCAGACTGGGTGGAATCAACGATATCCGTTCCAAGGGTATCCACATTCGATTGGCTCAACCTACATCAGCACTAATGCCATTACTCGTTCCACCTCCCCTCCATCCTCCGGCCCCTTCACTAGTTGTACTTCTACACCACAAACTACTAAAGATGTCGTGCCTGCGATTTCTCCTCTCTCTATCCCTGGACCCTCCGAAATACCCATCACTCTCTCCTACATGCGCGCCCTGCGGCTTGTGCCTACGAAAGACACCTTGTGTGCCGCGGTAGTGTTTTGGAGAGAGGCAGTGGGTGGTGAGACGTTAGCCGAACTAGGTGTCAGAGAGTATAAGATGAGTTCTATGGAACGGGGAGATGGGGAGGAAGAAGATGCGTATACGCGAGAGTATGAAACGTGGAAGGTTAATGTAGAACCTCCGGAAAGCAGAAACAATCTGGACTGCAAAGAGGGGGGACAAAGAAGTGGTAAGACAACAATCAGTGAAATTGGGACAATGGGAGAGTTTGCCAAATTCTGTCGATGGATCCGAGAATGGGTGGATGAAATCAATGTGGGTACAGGCACGGGCGGAAAAACTACGCTGACGATGCCTCATCCGTATCATATACATCGTTGGGCGGGAATTGTGAGGAAGATGCGTGAAGGTCAAGGATACGACTCGGAGGACGACAATATGTAAAAGGAACCAGAGTTATGGTGACGAGGAGGTTCCCGATTAAAGATTATTTTGAAGAGGCCTGAGTAAGTAGAACGAACAAAAATTTAGTCTGTTTACCGAGGTCTGCCGGATTCAGAAGGATTGAGGTTTTCCAGGGTTTTCCCTGGCACTGTACTAGGCGGCGTTCAGGCATGCTATGGTTCGAATTGAATTAAGTTACCCCTTCCCCACACCACACTGACTGTCATCATCTTCCTTCCCTTCCCCGCATGTACACGTGTTCAAGTTGCTCTCTTTAAAAAAGACATAAATGATTGGTGTCTATTCCTCTTGCTTCACCCCTGCTACAAAACATGGTCAAGCTTTCCAAAGTTGAGGATCGGCCAACCCCTCCCGAGGTGTACAACTGGCGGGTGTATATGAATGCTATCATCGCAACGTTCGCTGCTGTTATGATTGGCTATGACTCTGCGTTCATTGGAACGTCTGTATCTCTTGCGAGTTTCAAAAACGAGTTTTCCCTTGCGACAAAATCTACAGCGGAATTCAATTTAATATCTGCAAATATTGTCTCCATGTATCAGGCCGGGTGAATATTAACTCCATCACTGTCGCATTTCCCTTTTAAAGCCAAGCCTCCAGTTCCTTCTTCGGTGCCATTCTTGGTTATCCCATCGGGTATTTTATAGGTAGAAAATGGGGTCTGTTTGTATCTGCTGGTATTTTCGTTGTCGGTGCCATTCTTCAGACGGTAGCGAAGTGAGCTCATACACTGCATCCTCTAAAACCTCGCTGATGTGCTAAAAAGTCCTTCTATTGGGCTGGGTATTATATACGCCGGGCGCATTATCGCAGGTCTTGCTATCGGTGTCGCTTCAAATCTTGCCGTCAGGAAATCCTAGTATAGACCTGCTCTTTTCCAAACTAACCCGCTCCACAGCCCATTTATGTTGCAGAAATTGCTCCTCCTGCTATTCGGGGTCGCTGTATTGGGTTGTATGAACTGATGTGGCAAGTAGGTGGCGTCGTTGGCTTTTGGATTAACTACGGTGTCTCTTTGCACATTCCTACCGGTCACAAACAGTGGGTTATCGCGTTTGCCGTTCAGCTCATCGTAAGCCTTCACATATCGTTACTCTTCATCTCACACCCTCTTTTCAAGCCCGGTGGTCTCCTCCTCATTGGTTCACTCTTTTTGACGGAGTCTCCCAGATGGCTTGTCTCTCGCGACCGCAACAATAGTGCCATCAAATCTTTGTGCAACATTAGGCACCTTCCTCCTACGCATCCCTACATTGTAGAGGAAATGACTTCAATCGAAGCGACGATTCAGCATGAAAGAAATTTAGCAGGTGCTGGATTCTTGGGACCCCTTCGGGCTGTTTTTGCTTCGAAGGCCCTGATATTGCGACTTATTCTCGGCTCTTCGATGTTCGTGTGGCAGAATGCTACAGGAATCAATGCTATTAACTATTATTCGTACGTTCTTTGCGTGTATCTTTCATACTCCTTCGAACCTCAACATCTTCTCTCTCTTTAGTCCCACTATTTTCAAGTCAATCGGCGTCACTGGCCAAAACAACAGCTTACTCACGACGGGTGTATATGGTATCATCAAATTAGTCGGTGCTTTGGTTTGGCTCCTCTATATCGTCGACCAATTCGGCAGAAGACCCGCTCTTATAGGTGGTTCTGCTGGAGGTGCTGTCTGTATGTACTATATCGCTGCGTACATCGCCATAGCCAAACCCGCTGAACACCCGACTACTTCTCTAACTCCTGGTGGAAAGAGTGCTAGCAAGTATAACCGCTGTCTGTTTTTAACGAAGTGAGACTGAAGGCGCCTATTAACAGTCGCTTTCTTCTACTTGTGGACCGTATTCTACAGCCCGACTTGGAATGGAACGCCTTGGGTTTACACTGCAGAAATCTTCCCTCAGCACGTTCGAGTCTTTTCTCAAGCTTGTATGGCTGCAAGTAACTGGCTATACGCGTAAATATCCTTGTATCCTCCAAACCGAATATAAACTAATGCGATCTCGCTGCAGGTTTCTTATCGCTCGGTTTACCCCCCAGATGTTCACCGCCATGGGCTACGGCGTGTATCTGTTCTTCGCAAGCTTGATGATCATGTCAATCCCTTTCGTTTACTTCTACGTGCCGGAAACGAAGCAAATACCTCTCGAACGCATGGACGAGATCTTCACTCCTGGACTTCCTGCATGGTGTGCACACAGGACGGTGATAAATTCGATCCAATATGAACAACATGCATACAACCCCCAGGGTTTCAGATCTTCTTCGAAGACATCTATCACAGAAAAGGAAAGGATTGAGCGTGTGGAAGTGGCCTAAACCCACAGCGGGAGAATTGCGATTCAACAAGTGATATTCTGCGAAGATGGAAACCTCAACATATGGTAATGCGACTCACCCTGCAAAAACGCAGTCCGGGAGTTTGCGCGCTTTTCCATGTAGTAGAGCTTCAGTCACCGCGATGTCATTGGCTATAGATACAACAGAATACAATATATAGTGAGGGAGGATGTTCCTTCATCGGGCAACACAGACGATGGCGTGTTCCGATTCGGGACCAAGATTTAAGAATTCATCTTTCAACCGATGAATCTATCAAAAACAGTTGCGAGAGCGAAAGGACGACCCATGCAAATCAAACAACATGCCAGCACGAAGCAAAAAGTAATGATTAAGAAGAAATCGCGGGCTAACGGAAGATCTTCTCAGTAACGGAAATTAAGATATGGATCAGGTAACACTCACTAAGCTCTCGCTCGCGATATACTTCATGACTTCGTGCTCTTTTGCATGAATGAGGCCGATTCCGGTGATGTGTTCTGTGGCGCCCGCGTTCATTCTGTCCGATATCTCGCGAGCCTCTGCGATGATGGCAAACTGATTGATCTGGAGAAAGTTCAGGCGGGGTGGTTGTGTGTATCTCTACTTCCTCCCTCCATTGAAGCATCATCGAAGATTCTGTAGTGAGAGTTGTGTCTGTGGCATTGGAAGGCAGACTGCTGATGGAAGTTGTGTATGACGATGAAGAGATAGAGGAGTATAATGAAGATGCAGAAGAAGAGGATTTCGAGGAGTCTTCGTCAACGGAAGAATGAACAGACATGCTCCTCTAACTCTCTGGATGTGTTATTATTGACTTCCTTTTTCAAGGAAACTTGGATTTTGTGCAAGCACGGCAGCCTGCTAACATACGGCGGGGAGGATTCAGTCTGAGAGGAGAAAAATTGGCGTTTGCTGAGGGGAATGGCTGCGAGTAAATCAAAAGGAGTTTTCAAGTACGACGGGAATGCAGATACGAGGAGTGGAGGGTACGAGTTTGTTGTCCGTTGCATCCGCGCTGAGTGTCCTCCATCCTTGGTCAAAGATCATACCACTGTCATCGTGGATGCATCGTGGGTGGACGTAGGCAAGCCTAAGCAAGCGAAGCCTACCTCCGTTTACATCAAAGTTTGGGCGCTTAGCGCTTACAGCTGATTCCGAAAGTCTAGGACGAAATCAGCCTCCTCACATTGGTGGAGCACTATTTAGCCTTGTTTGTGGACGAGCTTACAGCGTATTCAAAAAACCTTGTCAGTAGCGTAAAAAACGAGATAAAATAAAATACAGCTGATTCCGAAAGTCTAGGACGAAATCAGCCTCCTCACATTGTTGGAGCACTATTTAGCCTTGTTTGTGGACGAGCTTAAGCGCATAGTTACTAGCCTCTTTCAGAAACAAATCCGAGCAAGCAGCTCTGTCTTTCTTACATAGAGGCAGCCCTAGTTTACTCCAACAATGTAATTACAACAATTCTTTGCATCCATCTCTGGGTTAATCTTCATTATCTGGTCTACATCCACAAATAATGCTAAACAGTGCTCCAACGATGTGAGGAGGCTGATTTCGTCCTAGACTTTCGGAATCAGCTGTAAAATCGAAAAGGTACCCGACGTTTTAGCCGACCGCCTGGAGCCGCTTGGCGAGTGCGCTGTCACTCACGCCTTTCGACAACGATCTTCCGTGGTGGAAGAGGGTGGAGGTAACAAAGGGTAATAAGTCCACTCAAGATCACAATGTCGATGGAGCTCCTCCCGGCATGGTCAGACTCTCCAGAGGCATCAGCATCTGTTAGTCCTACCTCAGAAGCAAAAGATCCACGATCATACTACATTGTTGAAAGGCGCGAGTGACAGCGCGCTCGCCAAGCGGCTCCAAGCGGTCGGCTAAAACGTCGGGTACCTTTTCGATTTTATTTTATTTTATCTCGTTTTTTACGCTACTGACAAGGACCCCGGAAGCTCCTGCCAAACCCCACCCGCCCAGGCGGCCTCAAGTACGCTACGATTTTGGCCTCAAGCAGGCCTCAAGTACGCTAATTCGGATAAGGAATGTCACGTGAAATCGTAAAAATTGCTCTCAAAATACCGAATTCTCTTCCCCAAGCCTGGAATCATCTTTCTGTACGTTTTTTTGACTATTATTGCTGCATCCGGAGCTCTTCTGAGCTTCTTTGCCCAAACTCCGGTGTCAGAGCTCCATTTACGTCCATTGGGCCACCAAGTCAGCCAATAGATACCCAAAGTACGCTATCTCGGACAAGGATTGAGCCTTCTGAGGCCTAAAGTACGCTAATTTCAGCCAAGGAAAATGGCAAAATTGGGTCCTAAAGTACGCTAATTCGGATGGGGTCTGGTAGGAGCTTCCGGGGTCCTTACTGACAAGGTTTTTTGAATACGCTGTAAGCGCATAGTTACTAGCCTCTTTCAGAAACAAATCCGAGCAAGCAGCTCTGTCTTTCTTACATAGAGGCAGCCCTAGTTTACTCCAACAATGTAATCACAACAATTCTTTGCATCCATCTCTGGGTTAATCTTCATTATCTGGTCTACATCCACAAATAATGCTAAACAGTGCTCCAACGATGTGAGGAGGCTGATTTCGTCCTAGACTTTCGGAATCAGCTGTAGCTCGCCTTTGGGAAAGTCTATTTTCTTTTACATAATTTCTACAATTTACAATTTCGGGCTGACAAGGACAGCCATATCCTGGCATCTTCCATGAAATATCCAAGTAGCGCCGGCGAACGGCAGGGCCCGCTACCGTCCAGAAGTCAAGTATGCTGTTTAGTCCAAAAAAGGGCGGGATTAAACGTACAGTAATGACTCTGACATCACCGTACGAAGAAAACGGGCAAAATGTATTCGAGCATGAATCCCCTCTTCGCCATTCATGACTAGCGTTAGGCATGCATACACATAGAACCAACGGTGAAGCGGTGCATGAAGCATAGAAGGGGAAAAGGCTGTGTGTATGACTAAAAATGTATGACAGGATCGCTATTTACTGCCAAAATGATCGAAAAGTTTGCTCTACTAAACCCTTCAACCTCTAAAGAGGTAGCGGGAATCATCCTACGAGGAGCTCCAGACCGTGACCGTCGACTGATACCCATCAATATTGTCGCTTTGATTGACAATGCCGGTGTTCTCAACACTGAGCTGGTATGTTGCGCCGATCGTCGAAAGACTGTAGATAGTTACTGACGATGTAGAATCTATGTTGACAAGTTGAGGTTGGCAGGACATGGTGTCAAGACAATCTTGCGTGTAATCCTATGAAGATCCAACATTCAGTCACACTTTGAAAACATTCCAGAAATCGTAAATCCTCACATTGTAGAAACTATAGAGGCCAGCACCAAAGAAAATGATGTCGGTCGAGCTAACCACGTTGACAGCCCATGCAAAGCCAGAATCAAAAGTAGTTGGGTCGTTATAGGTGGTACTGGAGGTGAACGGGGACGGGGATTCTGGGCTGGGTTGGTCTTTGCGGGGACATTAGGACGTGCCTTGTTGTATGGATTGTATACTCACAGTATGGCTATGGATTACTTCAAGTTAGACAATCGGACATATAAACAGGCGATCAACGGAGACGCACAATTTCTGTTTGGAATAATCCCAGATAATGATTTTGCGCGTTGTCCAGTTGTAATTGGTATAATGAATGGTGTTCAGCTAAAAATCGAATCCGTTCATCCAGCGAGTTCAAATTTTAAGTCAGCTTCCAACTCACAAGCTGTCCAAAATCTCAACGGATATCTAGTAATAAAGCTTAAAAGAAAACGTACCGGCTCCGATCATCCACACTGGTCCTGCGGACTCCGAATAAATCCCACGTCCAGAATACAAAGTAATCTGAGTATATCCATCGCCATCGAGGTCATGATCAGCGAGCCATACCCATGTGCTGAAAGAAATTCATTCATCAACGACTTCAGCAGTTAAAGACACAAGCCACAAACCCTATAAACAGATATTAACGACTTCGCACAGAGAGCAAATAGCTGGCGTACCTTCAAGATAGGCAGAAGAAGATGCAGTCAGATGCAGGGCCATATAAGCCGCGAAGCAGTCTGTCGTTCCTCCGCTCCCGTCTGCGGGACAATTTGTCTCAAGGTTAGTACCAATGGCTGAAAAAAAAAAGGCAAATTCGAGTTAGCCATACACGCAAGGGAAGCTGGCTACAACGCACCACCACCAAGTCTGATGTGCGAATCCCACATACCAGCCCCAGCGCTGTTACCTGAGGGCTCTTGGACATTCCACTCAACGACAATGGCACCAGGCGCTACAACCGCAAGAACAGATGAGCTCCTGTGCACTAGAGGAGGGAAGTCACGCCTTACTTGGGCCCACAGTGGTGAATATTATGTCTGATATTTCCATAATTCCTTGTGAATTTTCAGCTCCCACCTGCACTACCACCTGAGGATTGCTTTGATCCTCAAAAGCGGACCCGGACCCGGCAATGACTGACCATGCCTCTCCGACCATCTGAGTTCCAGCAGGAATTTGGAGTGTCGATGTAACAATGTACGTGCCTGCATCAAAGAAAATGATAGCACATCCACTGTACTACATGATGACCTTAGTACGGTTTAGATCACGAAGTTCGAAGTCTACTCACGGCATCAAAAATGGCTTGAAGGGTAGCAGTATCATCGGTTGCTCCATCTCCCTTGGCCCCTTTACTCTTGACGCTGACAAACTGATCAACAGCATAGTCCGCATACTGAGGATGCATCTTCCCTACGATACGCCCGGCACTGTCTAGTAGAGATGATGGTTTGGTCGCAGAAACAATTTCACCCTGAGTAAATGTTCCTGTCGTTGATGTCCCAAAATATACATTGCCTTGTCCCCATGAGTCTATAGTCAAGGAGCCTGTGCTTCCTTCTAACACCGTTTCTCCATCGAGAACACCCACTGCAATGCCCACGTTGGTCAATTGTGCGTTGTTGATGACAATAGATCCTGCAAGAGAGGTACTGGCGGCTGAAGTGCGTACGAATATTGGTGTATCGATCACAACCGCGTCAATGATAGCTTCTCCACCGACAGACTGTGAAAGAGTGGGTTTCGATGGTCGGGGAGCCCACGGAAACGCCTACCTGAGTAGCTTCTGTGATGCCACCAGTGGCCAGATCGAAACCAACCTATGCGCGGGGATAAGTACAGTATAACATCATATTGGAAATGTACAAACCTGACAGTTGTTAATCGTCACTCCCTGGAACGTATAACCTATTATTAAAGAAAATCTCAGTGGTTGAAGTTTGGGTCTTGTGTATGGTACTTGCCCCAATTCCAAAGACCATATATTGCTGTTTGAACATTGTTCATGGTAACATTTCGCACTGTGAACCTGGACCATAGTCAAGATAGCAAATGAACCAAACAGAAAGCAGACGAACTGTTGATTACCACCCCATATGCCGTATTTACCTCCCTATTCAACCATTGAGTATGTTTATGTCCGAAGACGACGTGTTAGAGAATCAATCCTACGTTGAAAACCATATCGCCCATGAAGCCTCCGCTAAGGGTACGTTTCAACAATTGTTTGAGGATTCATCGAGATGAGAACTCGCCTTCCATTCTCCATCCATATTCCTGAACGAAGTGAGAATTTAGCCGAGAACAGTAATGAGAAACATACCTTGGTGGGCGGTATCCGATTCTGTAGACATTTCGAACACGATGTTCATCAACGAAGTGCCTTGAGAAACCTATATGTAACGCGCTTAGGTAGGCCGGTTTTATTCTATGAGTAACTATCTCTTATTTTTACCTGCCAATGAATTCCTGTTCCTTCGGAGTTGGCGGCGGGAACTCTAGAAGCAAGGGAAATTTAGGGTATATCAACGGAGGTCTTTATAGCAAGATGCTAACTGAGTCAAGTCGATGACGAAGTTCCTAACAGACCGAAAACTGGAGGCAGAGAATTAACATAGTACGAGAAGCCGGGACACTGAGAAAAGCGTACAAGTTATTCGTTGGGGCATACCATTCCGACCCTCCAGCGAGGTATATGTCCGCATCTGCACAAAATTCAGCTAGAAGAAGTGGGTTGCTTTGCGTGAAAATATGCACTGATGACGGCCATTCCAGCGAAAGCCGCGGAAGCAAGCAAGGTAGGAGGGTTTTTTGCATCTCCGATCAGTTGAGTATAATAGTACAAGTTGAGCGGCGTGGAGATAAGATAGGTGCTATTCACCAAATCGTTATTTACAAATATGTATTTAGCACGTATATGAACTCACCCGGAAGGAAAGAAAACGACCGCTGGGGTGACGCTGCAACGACAAACATAGTTGAATGTAAGCTCTGGAAAAGCTCAGTGCGTATATGGCAACATACGTGCTAGAGTTGCACGATCCAAGTCCACATCGATCTCCACTTGAGATGGCGGAGCTATAAGCCGAATAAGACCAGTCATTAGAAGTTTAAGCAAGTTGTGCAGCTTAGAATTACTTGATAGCAGCAGTATCGTCAGTGACACCATCGCCTGTTTTCAATCCTTCAATGAATCATCCTAGTTTGTTTATAGCAAGACGCACCTTTTGCACCAAAGTCCATGACATTTCTGAATACCTGGTATGAAGTGGGATCAGCATTATAGGCTGCAGTCCCTTGATGTGTGATGCTCTCAAGCCAGTAAGGATCGGAAGCCGCAGCTGTCCCAGTCGTTAAAGGAGCGGAACATGACGTTCCCAAGGATTGAACAAGTGTAGGGCAGCTTAAAGAAAGACTAAGCCAGAGAAGGAGAGTGGGGACCATGATAGAAGAGGCGAAGGGAAAAATAGAAGCTATAAAGATTTAAGCTCTAGGCTTTATGTGCTACGAAAGGTGACCCGAACTCCCTGGAGATTGAAAAAAAAAACACAAGTTGTGAGTGGTTTGCACACACTAACATATACACACATGTGGTCTGGTCGCGAGAGTGCTTACTCGTGGTTGCTAAAATCGGTTCAGCAGTATGCATTCTTATGTATTCCGCTCGAAGTATGCATGTATCGCATCGTCGACGCATCAACTCGCAGCAAGTAACTGGAACGTGATTGAGGGCGATCTTGTGGAATCGAAGTGTCAAATGTCATAACTCCAAATGATTGCTGAAGCTCGTGTAAATCTGTGTAAATGAAATCCGCGTTTCCAACCAACATGAGAGAAGACAACGACATAGAAACGGGTTACAAAGCCGGAAGCCGGGAGCAGTGCAGTCACTCTGAACGCCGGTGCCGTTGGAAGTTATTAGTCCACCCCGGCCAATCCTCTATACAAGTCATTGCGATCTCTGTTTTTTTGAAAAATATGTACAGGGACGTCATTTCGTGTCGTGGTATATACTGAGTCTAACTCTGGCTCCAACTTGTCAAAGTTGAGGCAAACCCATCCACATTTCCCGATTGATTCACGACACCATTATTGTTGACGCTGAGCTGAAAGGTTGTCCCGACTGTAGTGACACTATACAAATTGATCGATGAAGTGGAATCAACATTCAAGATTTGCGACTGGCAATTGTTGGAGTCCAGACAGTCTTGTCCAAAGCTCTGAACGCGGGTGTGTAAGTAGTTGTTTATTTCGAGCAAAGGTGAAACGAACCTGGAAAAAACTATAAAGTCCGGCACCTGTTCACAGAAGATCGCGGATAAGTCCTGTAACTCATAATGTAGTATTATCTTACCGAATACCAGGATATTGGAAGAAGATGTGACATGCAATGCCCAAGCGCTACTCCCACCAAAGATCGTTGGATCATTGAAGGCAGAGTTTAATGAAAAAGGCGAAGGTACAGCAGGGGAGGGCTGATAGTAAGGCTACAGAAAGTGGTGAACGAGATGGTGAGTCACAACAATGGTTGTGCAACTTACTGTCTCGGTTTGAATTAAGCCCATGTAATGATTTTGAGCGTTGACCAAAGAATATTGGTACAACGCATGATGTTCAGCTTCAGAAGATTTATGATTATATGTTTGTCTTTTATTACTATAGAGCAATCCTCACAAGCTAAATTCCAGGAAAAATGAGAGTCATGCAAACATAAAGATTCAATTTAAGCTATCATACCTGTGCCAATCATCCAAACCGGACCAGCAGACTCTGAAAGGATCCCTCTTCCAGAAAACAACTCTAGTTGCGATACACCATCTCCGTCAAGGTCATGATCTAGAAAAAAACATCAACGAGAAGTTTCGGTGAAGCTAAATCCATTCATACCAGCCAGCCAAACCTTCAAGAGAGAAGGGAGGTCAGTACGGAACAGACGTATCAGGGGATATTAGGCGAAGCGCACCCATGTACCTAGAATCAGATGGAGTTAGCATAGTGGTCACAGAACGGACAAATTTAAATCACCCTAAGTAAAATGATTCAGTAAGAACACAATTATCGGGTCTGGAGATAACATACCTCAAGATAGGCAGTAGACCCAGCTGTCAAATATAGAGCAAGGAAAGAGGCAAAACATGCTGCTGTACCACCAGTGCCGCTTGAAGGGCATTGGGCAGATTCGAGGTTGGTTCCCGCAGCTACAGAGATAGTCAATGAAGGTGCACCAGGTCATTTAGAACTCGTACCGCCTCCGAGCCTGATGTGCGAGTCCCACATTCCGGCTCCACCGTTTTGTCCAGCAGGTTGTTTGACATTCCACTCAACTACTATCGCACCCGGAGCTGTAATGCCACATGTTTGAGGATTTCAAGAAAATGAAATCAGAAAAATGCATACTGGGTCCCACGGTGGAAAATATTATGTCGCTAATCTCCATAATGCCTTGAGAATTCGCAGCCCCCACCTGCACAACGGGCTTCGGGTTGTTTATATCCTGGAAAGCAGCACCTGACCCCGCAATCACAGACCAGCCCTCTCCGACTATTTGGGTGCCTGCAGGTATGGTGAGGGTCTGGGTTACAATATATGTCCCAGCATCGAAGAAAATGATATTACAACCCGAAAACTGTGGAGAAAATAGTTAGAAATTAACGCCGCGTTACGGCGTACCATGAAACCTGAAGGACAGACCTTGGCAAATATTGCGTTAAGGGCAGCTGTGTCGTCGGTGTGACCATCTCCCTTTGCACCATTGTCTTTGACGCTGACGAATTGGCTGACAGCATAATTGGTGTACTGGGGATGCATTTTACCAAATATATGACCTGCACTATCTAGCAAAGATGACGCTTTGTTTGCTGCAGGAATACTTCCTTGAGTAAAGGTTGATGCGCCATTTGTTCCTTTGTAAACATTTCCTTGGCCAAATGAGGCTATGGTAGTCGTACCACCAGCGAGCACGGTGGCTCCTCCAACTACTCCAACTGCAGTTGGGACATTCGTCAGCTGAGCGTTGTTTATAACAATAGAGCCAGCAAGTTTGCCGTTGCTAGGCTGCGACGTGCGAACAAAGATCGGTGTGTTTGATACCACAGCGTCAATAATGGCTTCCCCGCCGACAGTCTGCAAATATTTTATCACTTCCAAGAGATTTCATCGAAAACATGAGTAGCGCACCTGGGTTGACTCAGTCAATCCACCAGTCGTGAGATCAAAGCCCACCTAAAACGATTCAGTTTCGCACGTATGTATGCCCTCAATCAGGAACGGACTTGGCAGTTATTAATGGTAACCCCTTGAAATGTCCAGCCTACACAGAAATTTTATCATTTGATGCAAAGATGCTGTTTTTGTCATACCCCAGTTCCAAATCCCAAAGACAGCAGTGTTGGCGTTATTGACAGTGATGTTTCGAACAGTGAATCTTAGTTCATAGTCGATGATAGTCCTTCCGGCGACGACGATAATACAACTTACTGTTGGTTGCCAACCCACATTCCAAATTTGCCTCCCTATTCCTGCAATTAGATTCAACAATGTGCAGAGGACATACCAGACCTCACATTGAATACCTGAGGATAAATGAATGATGGTTAGTCTGTCGACTCAATATCGTCTGTCGGGTTCTTTGGGCTCACTAAATCACCCATGAAGCCTCCAGATCCATTCTCCATCCAGATACCTATAGCAATACACTCAGGCTCGGACGCTGTTGCTTGTGAATGTATATGGGCATACCTTGGTGTGCGGTGTCAGCTGCTGTGGACATCTCGAAGACGATATTCATCAGGCTTGTCGCTTGGGCCACCTGAACAGTTTATTCAACGCCGCTATTTCTCCGAAAGAGTTCAATGGCATTACCTGCCAGTGAATACCAGTCCCTTGGCTATTCGTAGCAGGAACTCTAAGTTGAATACCAGTTAGAATCAAAGGACTCCAAGAATGAAAACGCAAGACCCACTGTCTGACGTCAATCACGAAGTTTCGTACGGAGCGAAAGCTAAAAGAAGTCCAGGTCGGACTACATACATCAATTGTCACGGAATGAAGACTCACAAGTTGTCTAGAAAAAGGTAGTGGAACGTCATCATTGAAAAATCCAAGACACACGGGAAAACGTACTCTGATTTGTGTACCACTGTGCGCCTTCAACAGCATAAACAGATTTTTGATTAATATGAAATAATTACTCACCACCTCCGTTCGGGATGTAAGGGTCAGCATCTGACAAGGTTATTGAGCGACAGGATGGAAATAGGGTGCTGGTATAACTCACCTATTACAGCCATACCAGCGAAGGAGGGCGATGCAAGCAGGGTAGGAGGAACACGAGCATCGCCGATTAGTTGTGTGTAATAGTATGCGATAATGGGTGAAGAGACGAGGTAGGTTCCTTGCGGGAAAAAGACTACAGCTGGGGATACACTAGTAATTCGATGAGTAGATGATATTTTCAAGAAGAGAAGCGCCAAACGTGGATGATGCACAAGAACCTCCCCCACATCGACCTCCCGATGAGATGGCATTACTGTTGGCGACAAAATCTCAGAGTCAAGTCCCAGCGCGACAGATCAGCCACAAACTTTATAGCAGCGGTGTCGTCAGTAACACCATCGCCTTTGGCACCGAAATCCTTGACGTTGCGAAATACCTGGTAACCACTTGGGTTAGAGTTAAATGCAGCCGTACCCTGATGCTTGATGTTCTGCATCCAGTAGGGATCTATGCGGTAGGTGAGAATTTGAATTCAATTGAAGGCCTTGTAAAGGAAACAGACCAGTTGGCGCAGCGGTTCCAGCACCGAGAGGTGCAGAACACGACGTTCCTAAAGACAAGACGAGGGTCGCGAAGCTGAGAAGAGCACTAAGCACAGTGAGTAGCGTGGAGGGCATGATGAGGTCGCGAAGAGTGGGTTTCACTGATTTAACTTTCAAAAGAGTGAATCCTTTTATAAGGACTCCGAGGAGGATACTCGTAGATAACTCCGAGCTTTGAATCAGAGCAGGAAGCCAAGGGTATAGAGGATCGTATGCAGCTTTCCGCGTGATTCGTTCTCAGCCTGGTAAATTTCAAGAACCCATTGAATGAGGACTAAGGACTGAGGGAACACGATTGGGATCGATGCGTTGGTGAGAGAATCATATGCAATTAATTTCAATTGATATAACAAGGCCATGCTTCTGGCTTAAGAATCAGGAGGGGAAGATTTGTACGGGTCGGAATCAGTGTTGAAAGAATGAAAGTCTGCAACGTCCATTAAGTTTAACTTTTGGCACGTCATCGTGGCTAGAAACCGTGAGAATAGCACTTCGGGCCGATGCTACGTGGGCATTTTCGTCGAGAGTAAGGTGAGGACAGCTAAGGAGAAAGCCAGTCATACGCTTCCGGAGTCCTGTGAGCAAACGAATGCTCAACCATTCGAGTGAGGCCATACAGAACCCCTTCAGACACTGCCAAAGTAGTAATCTGTTAGTCCTGTAGCACCTGAGCACCCGGATCTCACTGGCTTGCAGAAACTTCTATCCGCCAAACCACACGCTAGACCTGATGAGTGAAGTCACTTGAAGGACACTGACTAGACGAAAGTGCGAGGATGTTCCAAAATCAATCGACAATCCGGAAGAAGAACGACACAACGATATTCAGGTTCCCTTTCAAGGCCTTGGGCTTCAGATTATCGGATCAGTGGGAGATGGAACGTAGATTGATGATGAATGTTGATCGCCTTTTCTCTCCTTTTCTCTCCTTTCTTCAACATAGGTGCTGTGGTTGTAAATAAAGACACGTAACAGGCCATTATGGAAGTACATTTGATCACGTAGACCCTGCTACTAGCCTCCGCGCCTCCGCGACCCCGATGAAGACTTGAGCATAGATATTGTTTGATCCCAAGTCGACTGCTCCGACCCTTGAACGTCAGCCCACATCCCCAGTAACCTAAAAACAAGAAAAAGCAAACTTTTATCGTTGATGACAATGACATACTTACCAGAAAATGGAATCACACTCGATTTTCCCTCTTTCCCCTGGAACCCGAGATCAGATTCGAGAGTTTTGTGCACATGAAGTGGCTAAGTATGTAAGGTGCACACCGTAGATTATTCTGTCCCGTCAATCATACACATGGTGTGCAATGCATATATTTAATGGTGGTCCATTGAAAGCAGCTTGACTTACAAAGCATTGCGACATGAGATACACGAAAGTCTGATGCGCCATATAGAAGCCCGAATTGTGCGTGTGCTTTGGCGACCTCAAACCTCGGGTAAATGCGACAAGATATGTTCAAGAGAATGTAGTAATCAAGGTTCGTTTCGTGACCGGATTAATGTGAAGTTCAGCCAAGAGCCAGACATGAGAAAACACACCAGACCTTACCAGATCATAATTCAACCTTCCCGTAATCTGCAGCAGAAGATCGCAAAGGGATTGGAGTTGCTTATCTTGGAAGGAGATGACAGCAAATATCCCATGTTCTGCGCTTACCGGACAAACTACTTATCGTTCAACCTGGTCGATCTGTTTCCTGACTGGTTGGAGGAGAATCTATGCAAGAACTAACCAAGCACTCGACATGCGACAATGCGATTTGCAAAACACTGTACTTGAACAGGCTTCGAATTAATCTTCGTGGTAAATCGGGCAAGTTGTACGAGATGCATTATGATACCGGATTGTCAAGAATCAACACAACTAAGGACATCCACCACTACTTCCGACAGGGGTGCAGCATGGTAATCTGGAGTCAAGGTTGAATTATAGGGAGGAAATCAACATATTTAGTACGCGCCTTAGAACCAGATGAAGCGTGGACTCCTTCTGGATACTGTAGTCAGAGAGCGTATGTCCATTCTCTAGCTGCTTGTTATTGTAGATAAGACGCAATTGAGAAGATGGTACACTGGAAAGACGTTAACAAGTTGTCGAGATCTAATATCCGTTGCAACTCACCCCTCCTTGTCCTGGATCTTTTTATTCACGCTGTCGATCGTGTCCTCCGACTCAACATTGAGTATGATCGTTTTTCCTACGAGAGTCTTGACGAATATTTGCATTTTGCGGGAGTGAATCGACTACCACTGGTGTAGAGAAAGAAGATTTGGCAGTGCCAATTCTTTCAGGTGATATTGCCATCACAGGCTGACTGAGCGAGTACAGGCGAGTACACTTGCAAAGTTCAGTCACGGGAAGAAGCAACAGTGCAGTGCTTGGGGCCTTTCGGTCACGCGCGTTGCGGATTCTTCAGATCCATCTCAGTATTAGTGCTGATTCATTCATTTCAGTGATTGTGTGTTCTGCCTTAGATCCTCACATTCTTGGACTGATTTCTAGTAACAGGATAACTCATGGCAAAGAATGTCGAGCACGAATCCGAGGAAATCGAGGACGAAATTTCCAAGTTGAATTCTCTCTTGGACAACAATGAACCTCCTTCGTCATATCAGATACCGTTCATCAACGAACACACAGGAAGGCTAGACGCATACCTTGCCAAAGTTCACGCACGCCTTCGGAAAGCCAGGGGCGAAATACTTCGATACAGATCCATACTTTCGGGCATACGTAGGCTACCTCCAGAAATCTTGTCGGAGATTTTTGTTCACTGTATGAGGCCAATCCCAACGACGAAACATAGAATCGGAAGATTCAAGACTTATCCCAACCCCAGCCCTCGCAATGCCCTTTACGCTCTCTCTCAAGTCTGCCGAAAGTGGCGAAACGTCGCGTTATCCACCCCAGCACTTTGGTGTAATCTCACAATCGCTCATGAGACTCCTACAGCACACGAAACATACTCGCAGATAATTCAACATTGCTCAGAGCGTTCGCGTGTATCCCCATTGTACATCACTCTTCTCGTCGCAAATTTCACATGCCTGGAAGAGGAAGAGGAAGAGAAAAGCAAGATTTTTGTTGGCGCACTGAACACTGCAGACAAACTTTTGAGACATGCATCACGCTGGCATTACTTCGATTTCAATGCCTCCTGGTATCCGTATCACCTGGCGGAAATTCTATTCCCTGTTCTACCCGCCAGTGGTCTGCCTAATTTGCACGAGGCCTGTTTTTCGATCCACACCCGGAGACGACGTTTCGGGGCAGCTTTATGGATGTTACAACTTCTGCAAGCTTCTCCGAACCTTCGGAGAATCCAATTTAACGCCTTGGTTCCGGATATCGAGGTGGCCCCTTGGACACTTTTGCAAAGCTTCGAAGCTACAGCCGGCGTGCTGTTGAAGGACTTGTTCACGATCCTCAAGAGCTGTTCGAGACTACAGTTCTGCGATGCGTGCTTGCTCGTTGAGAATGAGGAAGACTCACCCTCCCCCTCATTGGAATCAGAGCTCGTCTTACAAAACTTGCATACCTTGAACTTGTCCGAACTCCTCGAGGAGGAACTGACGACGGTTCTTCGTTGTTTAACCCTGCCTGCACTCAGAAAACTCTCATTGAGCGGCCCTTCAGATGAGCCCGTATACGAATGGCCCCATCAGTCGTTCATTAAATTACTCTCAAGGTCCCAGTGCCACTTGGAATCTCTGTCCTTGAACAATTTGGCATTCTCTGCAGACCAGGTAATTAACTATCTCTGCCTTCCAAATGTCAATGATACGCTGGAAGATTTGGAGATTAAACAATGGGAGTGGCCAATCCCGTCAGAAGTCCTGAAACACGTCACTTTCAAGTTACCATCCACAACCTCTATAACTTCGACGTCGTCGCCCTCAATGCCCACTATCTCGCTTCCGAAACTTCACAGTGTATCCTTAATCGTCCATGCTGTAGCACAAGCTGTCCCTTTGAGAGATTTCGTTGCTTCTCGATGGTATAATATCGCCCGGAATGACGTGCCACTACCGATTCCTAGACTCAAGCGTATACAAATCCTTCTTGCGGTCCCTTTCTTACCAAATGCTTCAGTTTCTAGCATTGAAACTATTGAACGCGTTTTCAGACGCGTTTCTCTTGTGGCCAGAGTTGACCTCAACGAGTTTACGATACAGCCATCCGCACATGAACTGCATGCGTACACGGCGATTGAAAAATTAGACGAGGATGGTTTCTTTGACTATACGATATAATGCTTTTGGTGTTTCGATCGTATCTTGTTGGACTTCGCTACTCCAGTTCCTGCTTCTCTGTTGTCTGTGGCGTTGCGTTTTATTATATATGCATGCATTGTCCATGCTGCAGATTTTGAGGCTTGTATGCTCTCGGATTGGCCCTATAATTCAATACTACCATTTTTTCCGACCTGCCTATCTCTTTTTTCTCCCTTCGTTCTAGTCAACAAAAAGATATCGAGATCATGACAGAATGTCCTACTTGATACCGCGGATCAACCTGGACAGACGACTTACCATATTGTAGACTGATCTTCGTCGATCCTTGTGGAATTACTAATCGATCCCAAGAAACAAGCAACAGCTTTTCTAGGTGAGGTCGTCCAAGCTCTGCGTTTGCGCGTTAAAACTGTTAAACTCTTGATTATCCATGTTTCCTCGAAGAGTAGTGCACTTTTGCTAGTGGCAAGGATGGTGTCTAACTTCCTCCTTATATTAGCCGAATCCAAGTTGTGCCCTGTTGTGCCACAAAGGCGATGTTCCAAGATGTTCTCTGATCTTCTCCTACTACGACATCATGTTCTGGTCATTACAACTCGGGCCTCATCCGCGAAAGGCCCCGAAGCTGTGCTATACAGCCTCTGTACCGAGAATCAGGACTTTCTTGAGAACCAGAACTAATGTCACCAATGTCACCACCATGTAGAGAGCGAGGCTTCTCCTTCTTTCCGTATATCAATACGTACGGGACCGAAGAATTCATTCGACATCACTTAAGTCGACTCATTGTAGTTCATCCATATCCGTCTAATCGCACTCAAGAGGCTGAGGTTTCCGTCTTTTGTGCAAGAAACACTCCCCGACGGCTCACGGGAAAATTCCTGCAATTTAGCACTCGTCTAACACATTGTTGAATAGCACTCCGGATTTCTTTAGTTGAGTATAAACTTGCATGACTCCGCATATAATCGTGTAATCCCTTTTCAGGTATCTGTACTTTTTGTTCTTTAAAAGCAGGGAAGTAATTGTATCTCTACATCCAATTGAAATGACTACTCGTCCGCGACATACAAATTACTCCCCTCAGTCTTCGATAATAACGCTTTACGATACGAATGTTCAGCATGGGTACACTCCTCAACCGTGGGCTCCTAATATATGGCGTGTCCGGTAAATATTCGTTTCCTATGATATTATCGACAAGCTTGCTGATCATCAGAGTTTCCAGATTCATCCTCAACTACAAACGACTGCCATATAAGACAATCTGGGTTGAATTTGCAGATGTGGAAGTCACTCTACGCAGTATAGGTGCTCCTCCGAGTGCTATGAAAAGTGATGGTCTCCCGCTATATACTCTCCCGGTTCTGGTAGACCCTACCAATATACCGTATGCTCCGGTGATATTGTCTAACACTAATAACATCTCGGAGTATCTTGAATCGACATACCCATCGCCTGCTGTATTCCCGGCGGGATCGCGCGCCTTGCAGTCCTTGTTTGTCCATTATATACAGGAGTTCTTTGCCAAACCCCTACTTCCTATCATGGTCCCTATGAGCCATCAACACCTGTCTGATCGTAGCCAACGCCATCTTCGCAACTATCCCAGCTCGCTCTCTGCCGCGTATAACCCTCAAGGCCACTCGTCGAGCCATCCATTGCCTTCCGGACCGCAAAGAGAGCAGGCTTGGCTTGCCGTTAAAGAGCAATTTGACTTTATCGATGCCATCATGGCAAAGAATACTGGGGATGGGGATGGAATAGTTGTTATGGGGCGAGAGGTGACTTACGCTGATTTCGCCCTATGCTCAGTGCTATTATGGATAGGTGGGTTCTTGCCTCATCGGAAATTTTACCATTCAAATCGTTGTATTACAGTGCGTATTGCCCCGCAAGACTGGGTCCGAGTGCGAAATTGGAACGGAGGACGTTGGGAGAGGCTGTGGGAGAGGTGCAAGCCTTACATGCAGGAGCACTAGCCTCAACTTCTGTCTCTACAGCTAGAGTTTATATACTCATATTCATCCATTCAGGGAAGACTGATATCTGTAGTGTGACCGTGTACAATAATTGTTGAACATTCCGAATTTGCTGGCTGCAAGCACGGTGGGGTCGCAGTGGCGCCAGGTAGGCGCTCCTTGCTTAGCAGCGTTAAGCGCCCGAATGCCTAAAATAAGAAATCAAAATCTAATCTAGTCTTATCTACGCTGAGTTTCAACTTCGGCGCGAGGTTAGGCGAGGTTCAAGTTGAACCAATTCATGTTTGCGCATCGTCTCTCTGAGCTTCCAATGCTTGCTGTAAATGTGTGAGGCTCCTCATTCTATCGATAACATGACTGAGCACACTGCTACTTAATCTGAGTCACTTGGATAGACTTCTATAGACTTGGATCCCTCAAGAGAATTTTGAGAACGCTGCAGCGCAGCAGTACAGTGCCCGAAGTATACTATCCGTGATTCTAAATGCCTCACAATGAGTGGTAGTTTCAGACAATAGTCAATGTCATGGTGAGTATAAGTGATTGCTGTTGTATGAGCCGAAACGAGCCGATGTGATTTGTTGGGAACACGCGGGGCGCGCGCATTGATCAACGCTGTTGATTTCGAATCTTAGTTTCGATCTATCTGAAGCTTCGAGTCTTAATCCTGTGCACTCCTCGAGCGCCTCGCAGAAATAGACTCAAATTGGGAGTTTAGGATCACTTCAATAAATGCACAACTCGATACAATAGGAGCATCAAGTAAATGTGAATTTGGATCTAGCGTTTACAACTATCCATTGGCTTACAGAAAATTGCTGTGATATCACCAATCAGACCTCAAAATTTCTGGGCAATGGACTAACATCCCATGACCGCAACTGACTCTCGAGACACCAACCATATACTCTGTTGGCAATCACTACTGAAATCGCCGTACATGATATCTGGGGATGACACGGGATGACCTGGAAAGACCACATAAGGACCTTCCACATATCGCTATACCCTTCTGAAGCACTAAAATAACCACATAACATATTGACTAGCTAGTTCAGTCCTTCTGCGGTTGCGTGTGCAGACATGCAGTGTATCTGCGACCCCAGTACCCGACCACAATCATTGCACTATAAAAACGAGCGAAAAAGGTTTGGCTTTCTGTATCAATTTCTAACTAAACGACTTGGAAATGTCGCGTCACTACTCATCCCGATCCTCATATTCTTCAAGTGGTCCGAACACTCCGGTCATAATTCTTTACGACACTCCAGGTCATAGTCCGCAACCATGGGCGCCCAATATCTGGCGAATCAGGCAAGTTACCATCGACAGTCGATTTTAAACTTATCTCTGATTCTTTGATTCAGGTTTGTTCTGAATTATAAGCGACTACGATATCGGACACAGTGGGTCGAATTTCAGAACATCGAGGCCACTTTACGCAGTATCGGAGCACCCCCAAGTTCAGTGCGCAGTGACGGACGCCCTGTCTATACACTTCCCGTCATTGTCGACCCAACACGAAGCCCCAGCCGTCCAGAGATACTCTCTAATCCGAACAACATTGCTGAGTATCTGGAAACGTACTACCCTGCACGCTCAGTTTTCCCAGAGGGAAGTCGTGCATTGCAATCGCTTTTTGTTCACTACATACAGGAAACCTTTGCGAGACCTTTGCTACCCATCATGGTTCCCCTAAGCGCCAGAGGTTTACCAGAGCGCAGCCAGCCTCCGTTTAGCCACTCACATACTGTAAACCCGCTTCCGCCAGGACCACAGAGGGAGCGGGCTTGGGAGTTGGTGAAAGAGCAATTCGACTTTTTGTCCGCTATCCTTGATAAGAACTCAATGGATGGCGATGGCGTTTGTGCCATGGGCAATTCAGTTTCATATGCCGATTTTGCGCTGTGTTCAGTTCTTCTATGGATAGAAAACATGGCGCCGCATGATGGCTGGGCTCGCGTCAGGGAGTGGAATGGAGGACGCTGGATTCGATTGCGAGAGAAATGCCGAGATTACATGGACGTTTTTTGACGGCGATATTCAACAGCTTATACATAGCATTCATAAGACCTACATAATTCTGGGTCGAAGGTCATCGTGTCTACATTGATCGTGGCAATTCTGAGACCTATATTTTTCAACCTGTTTCTTCTGCTCAGTACACTAGGACAATTCTATCTATTCATTTCTGTGTAATGTTATCTAAGTAGGAAAAATTCTGAAAAAAGTTTACTCTTTTACACAAGCCAATCCAGTATCTTCCGGAAGCTCGATCTTAGCCACTCTCAGCTCTTTCATACGTTTGACGGCCGCTCGTGAATGGTTGTTCAAGCCTCCGTCAAAAGCCCAAGAGGCATCGTGCCATTTCTGGTCCTCTGCCTCATTGTCTTCACGGAGACGTATTGCATATCTGCGTAAGAGTGAGGCGCCGCCGGGCTATAAAGATAATCAGTTATGGCGAATAATTACTGGAAATCGAAAAGACGTCGAAGCGTTGTCTTCCCCTGAGACTTCAACGAACTGCTGGCCCGCTTTTGACGTGTATATCGTAGCGAATGCTAGGGACTTACGTGTTCGCCTAGATATAGGGTAACGTCCACAACCCACCCATTCAGCAATAGAAAGCACCGGTCGGGATGCTCCCTCACGTACAGTTTTGTTGCTGCTACCGACCAGTGTTGAGAGGCATCACCGACTGATTTACTCAGACTGTCTTGTTCCTCATTAACATCCTCTTTCGGCGGCTCGCCATGCAAGGACTTGTGATTCATATAAGCCAATGCTTCTTTGTAATCTTCATCTCGAGCTTGACGAAGACCGTATACGAGTCCAAATTGATGCAGCAAAAGAATAACCCATTTGGAGGGATCCCAGGTGTGTATCCAAGGACCTGAACGATAATCGTGGGGAAAGGCGTGCTTTGTATGTTACACGCAATTTAGCATCCAACAGCGAGTACGGAAGGTATGCAGTCTTACATGCTAGAAATAACGGTCTGAGTCTTGAACTACGTCGATTCGATTGAAATGGGTGTGACGTACGAAATTATGGTTTCCTTCCCCACTGGTCAAAACCGCCAAAAGCTGCATTCAGTGGTGTTCAACGTTTGAAGCAGAATGCAATTGGGTATTAGGACGCACAAAATTGCCTCGAGAAGTATTTTCATCTGAAAACGGTTGTAAACCATCCCAGTGAGCCAAACTAATAGCGATAGGATGAGGTCTGAACTCGAAAAACTAGAATTAAAGGTACGAACGAGTTGACGAAGAAAGTACAGTGCCACACTGCCAGCCTAGAAACTAGTCCTGCCCATACAAAGGCGCCGAGGGCGTCGTTCCATAATGCTCCAATTAAGGGGGGTACAGCAAATCCGAAGAATAGGGCTAACGGAACTATTTGATATTAGATATTGAATTGAAATTGGAAAAGGTTTTATTCATACTGTAGTACTTGTGTTGAAAGCGTACGACTAGATAGAGAAGATCTAATTAGGTTTGAGGGACCGAAAAACAAAGTGTGACTCACCTGGATCGCGGTCTAAATCATCTCTATCGACAAGTTCCATGCGTGTATATGTTGGTTTGAAGAAAATCCAGCCCATGTGAGAGTATAGAAGCCCACGAGTAGCTGCGTATCTGTACCTTAATTAGGAAGATAGTATACGCGTCTGAACGAGAGACTCACGGATCGTGGACAGGATCATCAGTGAAACGATGGTGGAGACGGTGTCGAAGGCACCTGTACATTGAATTCTGAAATGCAACCGTGAAAGATGACACGTATCACCTACCACCACTTTTACTAGATTAGTATCTCCAAAGGAAACTTCAATTTTGACGTCGAAATTTTGCTTACCTTGATAGAACCCTGGAAACCGGCCGACCCAAGTAGTGCCAGCACGAAGCGAACACCCATGGATGCGCGGAATGCACGATGAGACCACAGACGATGATAGCCTATAGTGATTCTGGGTAGACATTAGCAGAAGCTGAACATGATAACGACTGACTCACCCAAACTCAGCAAGTTGCCACATAGCGTACGTCAGCGCAAGAGTCGGCCAGGAAACCAGAGTTGGAGGTAAGCAGTACATGCCGACCAATGCTGCTAGATGTATGGAGACGAAGAATATACCATTGCTCCACCATATGTGAGGATGAGAAGCAATCGTTGAGCGGTCCATGGTTGACGGTTGTCGTTGAGGTACAAGATAAAACACATGAGGTAAGGAGAAATCGGACTAATATACAAGCAACTACAAGCAACTAGGACGGAGGCTGAGGGAGGCTCCCGATCATGGATATTTGAATCATGATCAGCTAGTCAGTCACCCGTAGAGCCGCATGTTGTGCTATTTGAATTTTACTGGTATTCATCATCGATGAATGGAGAAAATCGCAGTTTTTCAATCTGGACTTGGTGCTGGAAGAAGAAGGTAGGGGAGGATTCGGCAAATTGTGGGGATAGACGCGCATTGATTGGCACGCTCTACTCCCATCTTATAAATTGTGAGGCTTAATACTGGCTTAGTGCTCTCACTATTGAGAAGTTCAGGCAGGATGATATCCTAATGATAACGTCTAGATTCGTATGAACGGAATTCGAGAAGAAATTTCCTTAAGGCCCCTTACTAGTACCCATCAAGGCATCGAACTACGTCAGTTTTATGCATCCGCGGCGTATAACACTTACTGCGGGCCTCTGCGGGCCCGTCGGTATTATCCTATCTATCGAATTGTCGATTACCACCCCTATCCTACCCTATCCACCTGGCATTACAATGTTGTCTGCATACCGACGACATCAAGTTGGAGACGAAGATCTACACAGAATGACAGAGGATCCTCCCATGTATACCCTTCGAGCGCACCAAGAAGTAATTAAGCTAAAATACTTCCACTTTGTGCAACCAATTTGCTCTTCACGCCCTCCAAAACTTTGGCGCGATTATCTAGGACAGAATCATGGGCCTCTAGCTGTTTGTCGAAGGAAGTGAATAGCTTGAGCTTGGTCCTGTACAGATGAACATCAGAGTGAGCTAAACAAATATGTTGAAGGATGCGTACGTCATGTGATTTTTGACCTGAAGAAAAAATACAATGATAAGGCCAACAGCTGAAGACATAAAGTACAACGTACAAAATCCAAGATCTTCGAATACTTAACCATGATTTCTTCATCGGAACGTCAATGCGAAACAGAGCAGGCGATAAAAGAATAAATTTACCATCGGCCCCTTTGACCCATTCTTCCATCGAACACTCCTTCCATTTCGTTGTAAGTTGCTCGTATTTTTGCATGTGATCTTCGATATATGCGTCGGCTTGACATCCCAAAAGCTTATCTAGCGCATCGCCACCCATCCCAATACTTGCATGACTCCCGTTGCTCAAACTGGGAGGACCAATCCCGCTGTCTCCGTCGCCGTCTTCGTCGCCATTTCCTCTAAGATCCCTAGACATTCCCGGGAGATAGTGATGCTGATGCTGACCAAAACCTAGAGCGTGATGGTCAGCAGGACTGGTGTGCTGCTGGTAGTCATGGGGTCCTCGGCGCGTCATTTGGGGTGACTCTGAACGTTCGATAGGGCTAGAGAGAAGTTGAGGCGAGAACCGACTTTGGACATGGGGGAGGCGTCCAACCTGTAGGATCAAATGTAAAGTTCAATCTAACAAGTTATAAAATGGATATAGTTATAGTCAACGTACATCTTCCTCTACCATATAAGATCTTGGGTCTATCCCAACCTGTATCGGTGCATTGGTCTTGTACCTCTTTGCAGGTCCTGGATCCATGTGATTAACATACATCATATCGTCGTCAGCGTCAAGTTCGACTCTGCCGCGCTTCTTAGTACTGCGATCGTGGTCACGGCGACCGTGCTTGGGAATAAGGCCGGCCATAGACGTCGGAATAGTCCTCGTAGAGTCGTCATTGTGCAACAAAACGCGTTGAGGAGGCGCATTTCCGAGTTTGTATTGAGAAGCTGGGTGAGGATTTTCTTCATTGCCATTGGATATATGCGCCTCATTCTTGACGTGCGAGTTCGTAACGGAAGAATTAGGAAGTGCTGGTGTCTTGAAAGAGCTCGAAGAGAGTAGATCAGCCGCAGAAACTGCATTGAGAGGTTTCGGGGCGAATACAGAAGGTGTTCCAGCTTGTTCGCGTCGGATAGAAAGCGCTTTAGCTGTAGCCAACAAAGAAGGTGACTCGGTACTAGTAGAATTGGTTTGGTTTGCATTCGATTTTCGCCCAGATAGGTTCAAGCTGCCTTGTGAGCCCGAAGACGTTCGAAACAAACCATTCAGGTTGGTTGATTTGGACGCATTTTTTCCAGCAGAGGAGTTATGGTCAGACAAATCTGAGTCTTTGATCGACGAAGGGACCTGAAAGGTCGATTTAAGTATGTCGGCGTGTAGTGGATTACTGAGATCCGGAGTAAAAGATGCATCTCTAGCAGGGGTTGAAGCAGAGTCGTCTTTAGTGTGAGCAGCACGCGAAGCAGGACGTGAATTGTTGGGAATAAAGGGAGTCCTAGCACTCATCGTTGGGTGAAGAGACTTGGAGAGAGAGGAAGGTGGGCAAAGCTGAAATTACCACGTACATAAATTATCGGTCCGAATTCCGAACTTCTTTTTCCTCTGTACAACATATTCGGATCTGAATCGACTTGGAATCGACTCAGGCTCTGGTTGTACTGGCTATGACATATCAGGACATGCAACTCAACAAACACGGTAGTCAGCTGCTAGTCTGGGGAGCTTGAGGGCCCCAAACTCATCAAGAAGATCTCAGCGTCAATCATTCACGTTAAAGTTCAAAGGAAACTGCCACTTTCTTTCCTGCTTTAAGTCCACTTGCTGTACAACCTACGCCATGAATTTTTATTCTACGAATGCTTGGAAGGATGCAGTCCTGGACAGGATAAAATTCACCAACATTCCAGACGCTTATCAAGCTCCTGCCCACGATACTGTCCTCTTCGTCGGGGAAGAGATCGTTCTCAACACATTGCGTCGGAAATACGCAGAATTCCCACAGAAATACTCGCCGCTTCGGAAAAACCTCGTCGTCGTGCGGCGTACAGCATCTATGGGCCTAGGTGCATTTGCGAAGCGCCGGTTCAAAGTCGGAGATACAGTTGTGCGCGAACGCCCGTTCCTTATTGCTGCAGTTGATATCCAGAACGATCCATCACTTGTTGGGAGGAAATTCAACCCGTTCACAGAAGATCGCGGATAAGTCCTGTAACTCATAATGTAGTATTATCTTACCGAATACCAGGATATTGGAAGAAGATGTGACATGCAATGCCCAAGCGCTACTCCCACCAAAGATCGTTGGATCATTGAAGGCAGAGTTTAATGAAAAAGGCGAAGGTACAGCAGGGGAGGGCTGATAGTAAGGCTACAGAAAGTGGTGAACGAGATGGTGAGTCACAACAATGGTTGTGCAACTTACTGTCTCGGTTTGAATTAAGCCCATGTAATGATTTTGAGCGTTGACCAAAGAATATTGGTACAACGCATGATGTTCAGCTTCAGAAGATTTATGATTATATGTTTGTCTTTTATTACTATAGAGCAATCCTCACAAGCTAAATTCCAGGAAAAATGAGAGTCATGCAAACATAAAGATTCAATTTAAGCTATCATACCTGTGCCAATCATCCAAACCGGACCAGCAGACTCTGAAAGGATCCCTCTTCCAGAAAACAACTCTAGTTGCGATACACCATCTCCGTCAAGGTCATGATCTAGAAAAAAACATCAACGAGAAGTTTCGGTGAAGCTAAATCCATTCATACCAGCCAGCCAAACCTTCAAGAGAGAAGGGAGGTCAGTACGGAACAGACGTATCAGGGGATATTAGGCGAAGCGCACCCATGTACCTAGAATCAGATGGAGTTAGCATAGTGGTCACAGAACGGACAAATTTAAATCACCCTAAGTAAAATGATTCAGTAAGAACACAATTATCGGGTCTGGAGATAACATACCTCAAGATAGGCAGTAGACCCAGCTGTCAAATATAGAGCAAGGAAAGAGGCAAAACATGCTGCTGTACCACCAGTGCCGCTTGAAGGGCATTGGGCAGATTCGAGGTTGGTTCCCGCAGCTACAGAGATAGTCAATGAAGGTGCACCAGGTCATTTAGAACTCGTACCGCCTCCGAGCCTGATGTGCGAGTCCCACATTCCGGCTCCACCGTTTTGTCCAGCAGGTTGTTTGACATTCCACTCAACTACTATCGCACCCGGAGCTGTAATGCCACATGTTTGAGGATTTCAAGAAAATGAAATCAGAAAAATGCATACTGGGTCCCACGGTGGAAAATATTATGTCGCTAATCTCCATAATGCCTTGAGAATTCGCAGCCCCCACCTGCACAACGGGCTTCGGGTTGTTTATATCCTGGAAAGCAGCACCTGACCCCGCAATCACAGACCAGCCCTCTCCGACTATTTGGGTGCCTGCAGGTATGGTGAGGGTCTGGGTTACAATATATGTCCCAGCATCGAAGAAAATGATATTACAACCCGAAAACTGTGGAGAAAATAGTTAGAAATTAACGCCGCGTTACGGCGTACCATGAAACCTGAAGGACAGACCTTGGCAAATATTGCGTTAAGGGCAGCTGTGTCGTCGGTGTGACCATCTCCCTTTGCACCATTGTCTTTGACGCTGACGAATTGGCTGACAGCATAATTGGTGTACTGGGGATGCATTTTACCAAATATATGACCTGCACTATCTAGCAAAGATGACGCTTTGTTTGCTGCAGGAATACTTCCTTGAGTAAAGGTTGATGCGCCATTTGTTCCTTTGTAAACATTTCCTTGGCCAAATGAGGCTATGGTAGTCGTACCACCAGCGAGCACGGTGGCTCCTCCAACTACTCCAACTGCAGTTGGGACATTCGTCAGCTGAGCGTTGTTTATAACAATAGAGCCAGCAAGTTTGCCGTTGCTAGGCTGCGACGTGCGAACAAAGATCGGTGTGTTTGATACCACAGCGTCAATAATGGCTTCCCCGCCGACAGTCTGCAAATATTTTATCACTTCCAAGAGATTTCATCGAAAACATGAGTAGCGCACCTGGGTTGACTCAGTCAATCCACCAGTCGTGAGATCAAAGCCCACCTAAAACGATTCAGTTTCGCACGTATGTATGCCCTCAATCAGGAACGGACTTGGCAGTTATTAATGGTAACCCCTTGAAATGTCCAGCCTACACAGAAATTTTATCATTTGATGCAAAGATGCTGTTTTTGTCATACCCCAGTTCCAAATCCCAAAGACAGCAGTGTTGGCGTTATTGACAGTGATGTTTCGAACAGTGAATCTTAGTTCATAGTCGATGATAGTCCTTCCGGCGACGACGATAATACAACTTACTGTTGGTTGCCAACCCACATTCCAAATTTGCCTCCCTATTCCTGCAATTAGATTCAACAATGTGCAGAGGACATACCAGACCTCACATTGAATACCTGAGGATAAATGAATGATGGTTAGTCTGTCGACTCAATATCGTCTGTCGGGTTCTTTGGGCTCACTAAATCACCCATGAAGCCTCCAGATCCATTCTCCATCCAGATACCTATAGCAATACACTCAGGCTCGGACGCTGTTGCTTGTGAATGTATATGGGCATACCTTGGTGTGCGGTGTCAGCTGCTGTGGACATCTCGAAGACGATATTCATCAGGCTTGTCGCTTGGGCCACCTGAACAGTTTATTCAACGCCGCTATTTCTCCGAAAGAGTTCAATGGCATTACCTGCCAGTGAATACCAGTCCCTTGGCTATTCGTAGCAGGAACTCTAAGTTGAATACCAGTTAGAATCAAAGGACTCCAAGAATGAAAACGCAAGACCCACTGTCTGACGTCAATCACGAAGTTTCGTACGGAGCGAAAGCTAAAAGAAGTCCAGGTCGGACTACATACATCAATTGTCACGGAATGAAGACTCACAAGTTGTCTAGAAAAAGGTAGTGGAACGTCATCATTGAAAAATCCAAGACACACGGGAAAACGTACTCTGATTTGTGTACCACTGTGCGCCTTCAACAGCATAAACAGATTTTTGATTAATATGAAATAATTACTCACCACCTCCGTTCGGGATGTAAGGGTCAGCATCTGACAAGGTTATTGAGCGACAGGATGGAAATAGGGTGCTGGTATAACTCACCTATTACAGCCATACCAGCGAAGGAGGGCGATGCAAGCAGGGTAGGAGGAACACGAGCATCGCCGATTAGTTGTGTGTAATAGTATGCGATAATGGGTGAAGAGACGAGGTAGGTTCCTTGCGGGAAAAAGACTACAGCTGGGGATACACTAGTAATTCGATGAGTAGATGATATTTTCAAGAAGAGAAGCGCCAAACGTGGATGATGCACAAGAACCTCCCCCACATCGACCTCCCGATGAGATGGCATTACTGTTGGCGACAAAATCTCAGAGTCAAGTCCCAGCGCGACAGATCAGCCACAAACTTTATAGCAGCGGTGTCGTCAGTAACACCATCGCCTTTGGCACCGAAATCCTTGACGTTGCGAAATACCTGGTAACCACTTGGGTTAGAGTTAAATGCAGCCGTACCCTGATGCTTGATGTTCTGCATCCAGTAGGGATCTATGCGGTAGGTGAGAATTTGAATTCAATTGAAGGCCTTGTAAAGGAAACAGACCAGTTGGCGCAGCGGTTCCAGCACCGAGAGGTGCAGAACACGACGTTCCTAAAGACAAGACGAGGGTCGCGAAGCTGAGAAGAGCACTAAGCACAGTGAGTAGCGTGGAGGGCATGATGAGGTCGCGAAGAGTGGGTTTCACTGATTTAACTTTCAAAAGAGTGAATCCTTTTATAAGGACTCCGAGGAGGATACTCGTAGATAACTCCGAGCTTTGAATCAGAGCAGGAAGCCAAGGGTATAGAGGATCGTATGCAGCTTTCCGCGTGATTCGTTCTCAGCCTGGTAAATTTCAAGAACCCATTGAATGAGGACTAAGGACTGAGGGAACACGATTGGGATCGATGCGTTGGTGAGAGAATCATATGCAATTAATTTCAATTGATATAACAAGGCCATGCTTCTGGCTTAAGAATCAGGAGGGGAAGATTTGTACGGGTCGGAATCAGTGTTGAAAGAATGAAAGTCTGCAACGTCCATTAAGTTTAACTTTTGGCACGTCATCGTGGCTAGAAACCGTGAGAATAGCACTTCGGGCCGATGCTACGTGGGCATTTTCGTCGAGAGTAAGGTGAGGACAGCTAAGGAGAAAGCCAGTCATACGCTTCCGGAGTCCTGTGAGCAAACGAATGCTCAACCATTCGAGTGAGGCCATACAGAACCCCTTCAGACACTGCCAAAGTAGTAATCTGTTAGTCCTGTAGCACCTGAGCACCCGGATCTCACTGGCTTGCAGAAACTTCTATCCGCCAAACCACACGCTAGACCTGATGAGTGAAGTCACTTGAAGGACACTGACTAGACGAAAGTGCGAGGATGTTCCAAAATCAATCGACAATCCGGAAGAAGAACGACACAACGATATTCAGGTTCCCTTTCAAGGCCTTGGGCTTCAGATTATCGGATCAGTGGGAGATGGAACGTAGATTGATGATGAATGTTGATCGCCTTTTCTCTCCTTTTCTCTCCTTTCTTCAACATAGGTGCTGTGGTTGTAAATAAAGACACGTAACAGGCCATTATGGAAGTACATTTGATCACGTAGACCCTGCTACTAGCCTCCGCGCCTCCGCGACCCCGATGAAGACTTGAGCATAGATATTGTTTGATCCCAAGTCGACTGCTCCGACCCTTGAACGTCAGCCCACATCCCCAGTAACCTAAAAACAAGAAAAAGCAAACTTTTATCGTTGATGACAATGACATACTTACCAGAAAATGGAATCACACTCGATTTTCCCTCTTTCCCCTGGAACCCGAGATCAGATTCGAGAGTTTTGTGCACATGAAGTGGCTAAGTATGTAAGGTGCACACCGTAGATTATTCTGTCCCGTCAATCATACACATGGTGTGCAATGCATATATTTAATGGTGGTCCATTGAAAGCAGCTTGACTTACAAAGCATTGCGACATGAGATACACGAAAGTCTGATGCGCCATATAGAAGCCCGAATTGTGCGTGTGCTTTGGCGACCTCAAACCTCGGGTAAATGCGACAAGATATGTTCAAGAGAATGTAGTAATCAAGGTTCGTTTCGTGACCGGATTAATGTGAAGTTCAGCCAAGAGCCAGACATGAGAAAACACACCAGACCTTACCAGATCATAATTCAACCTTCCCGTAATCTGCAGCAGAAGATCGCAAAGGGATTGGAGTTGCTTATCTTGGAAGGAGATGACAGCAAATATCCCATGTTCTGCGCTTACCGGACAAACTACTTATCGTTCAACCTGGTCGATCTGTTTCCTGACTGGTTGGAGGAGAATCTATGCAAGAACTAACCAAGCACTCGACATGCGACAATGCGATTTGCAAAACACTGTACTTGAACAGGCTTCGAATTAATCTTCGTGGTAAATCGGGCAAGTTGTACGAGATGCATTATGATACCGGATTGTCAAGAATCAACACAACTAAGGACATCCACCACTACTTCCGACAGGGGTGCAGCATGGTAATCTGGAGTCAAGGTTGAATTATAGGGAGGAAATCAACATATTTAGTACGCGCCTTAGAACCAGATGAAGCGTGGACTCCTTCTGGATACTGTAGTCAGAGAGCGTATGTCCATTCTCTAGCTGCTTGTTATTGTAGATAAGACGCAATTGAGAAGATGGTACACTGGAAAGACGTTAACAAGTTGTCGAGATCTAATATCCGTTGCAACTCACCCCTCCTTGTCCTGGATCTTTTTATTCACGCTGTCGATCGTGTCCTCCGACTCAACATTGAGTATGATCGTTTTTCCTACGAGAGTCTTGACGAATATTTGCATTTTGCGGGAGTGAATCGACTACCACTGGTGTAGAGAAAGAAGATTTGGCAGTGCCAATTCTTTCAGGTGATATTGCCATCACAGGCTGACTGAGCGAGTACAGGCGAGTACACTTGCAAAGTTCAGTCACGGGAAGAAGCAACAGTGCAGTGCTTGGGGCCTTTCGGTCACGCGCGTTGCGGATTCTTCAGATCCATCTCAGTATTAGTGCTGATTCATTCATTTCAGTGATTGTGTGTTCTGCCTTAGATCCTCACATTCTTGGACTGATTTCTAGTAACAGGATAACTCATGGCAAAGAATGTCGAGCACGAATCCGAGGAAATCGAGGACGAAATTTCCAAGTTGAATTCTCTCTTGGACAACAATGAACCTCCTTCGTCATATCAGATACCGTTCATCAACGAACACACAGGAAGGCTAGACGCATACCTTGCCAAAGTTCACGCACGCCTTCGGAAAGCCAGGGGCGAAATACTTCGATACAGATCCATACTTTCGGGCATACGTAGGCTACCTCCAGAAATCTTGTCGGAGATTTTTGTTCACTGTATGAGGCCAATCCCAACGACGAAACATAGAATCGGAAGATTCAAGACTTATCCCAACCCCAGCCCTCGCAATGCCCTTTACGCTCTCTCTCAAGTCTGCCGAAAGTGGCGAAACGTCGCGTTATCCACCCCAGCACTTTGGTGTAATCTCACAATCGCTCATGAGACTCCTACAGCACACGAAACATACTCGCAGATAATTCAACATTGCTCAGAGCGTTCGCGTGTATCCCCATTGTACATCACTCTTCTCGTCGCAAATTTCACATGCCTGGAAGAGGAAGAGGAAGAGAAAAGCAAGATTTTTGTTGGCGCACTGAACACTGCAGACAAACTTTTGAGACATGCATCACGCTGGCATTACTTCGATTTCAATGCCTCCTGGTATCCGTATCACCTGGCGGAAATTCTATTCCCTGTTCTACCCGCCAGTGGTCTGCCTAATTTGCACGAGGCCTGTTTTTCGATCCACACCCGGAGACGACGTTTCGGGGCAGCTTTATGGATGTTACAACTTCTGCAAGCTTCTCCGAACCTTCGGAGAATCCAATTTAACGCCTTGGTTCCGGATATCGAGGTGGCCCCTTGGACACTTTTGCAAAGCTTCGAAGCTACAGCCGGCGTGCTGTTGAAGGACTTGTTCACGATCCTCAAGAGCTGTTCGAGACTACAGTTCTGCGATGCGTGCTTGCTCGTTGAGAATGAGGAAGACTCACCCTCCCCCTCATTGGAATCAGAGCTCGTCTTACAAAACTTGCATACCTTGAACTTGTCCGAACTCCTCGAGGAGGAACTGACGACGGTTCTTCGTTGTTTAACCCTGCCTGCACTCAGAAAACTCTCATTGAGCGGCCCTTCAGATGAGCCCGTATACGAATGGCCCCATCAGTCGTTCATTAAATTACTCTCAAGGTCCCAGTGCCACTTGGAATCTCTGTCCTTGAACAATTTGGCATTCTCTGCAGACCAGGTAATTAACTATCTCTGCCTTCCAAATGTCAATGATACGCTGGAAGATTTGGAGATTAAACAATGGGAGTGGCCAATCCCGTCAGAAGTCCTGAAACACGTCACTTTCAAGTTACCATCCACAACCTCTATAACTTCGACGTCGTCGCCCTCAATGCCCACTATCTCGCTTCCGAAACTTCACAGTGTATCCTTAATCGTCCATGCTGTAGCACAAGCTGTCCCTTTGAGAGATTTCGTTGCTTCTCGATGGTATAATATCGCCCGGAATGACGTGCCACTACCGATTCCTAGACTCAAGCGTATACAAATCCTTCTTGCGGTCCCTTTCTTACCAAATGCTTCAGTTTCTAGCATTGAAACTATTGAACGCGTTTTCAGACGCGTTTCTCTTGTGGCCAGAGTTGACCTCAACGAGTTTACGATACAGCCATCCGCACATGAACTGCATGCGTACACGGCGATTGAAAAATTAGACGAGGATGGTTTCTTTGACTATACGATATAATGCTTTTGGTGTTTCGATCGTATCTTGTTGGACTTCGCTACTCCAGTTCCTGCTTCTCTGTTGTCTGTGGCGTTGCGTTTTATTATATATGCATGCATTGTCCATGCTGCAGATTTGAGGCTTGTATGCTCTCGGATTGGCCCTATAATTCAATACTACCATTTTTTCCGACCTGCCTATCTCTTTTTTCTCCCTTCGTTCTAGTCAACAAAAAGATATCGAGATCATGACAGAATGTCCTACTTGATACCGCGGATCAACCTGGACAGACGACTTACCATATTGTAGACTGATCTTCGTCGATCCTTGTGGAATTACTAATCGATCCCAAGAAACAAGCAACAGCTTTTCTAGGTGAGGTCGTCCAAGCTCTGCGTTTGCGCGTTAAAACTGTTAAACTCTTGATTATCCATGTTTCCTCGAAGAGTAGTGCACTTTTGCTAGTGGCAAGGATGGTGTCTAACTTCCTCCTTATATTAGCCGAATCCAAGTTGTGCCCTGTTGTGCCACAAAGGCGATGTTCCAAGATGTTCTCTGATCTTCTCCTACTACGACATCATGTTCTGGTCATTACAACTCGGGCCTCATCCGCGAAAGGCCCCGAAGCTGTGCTATACAGCCTCTGTACCGAGAATCAGGACTTTCTTGAGAACCAGAACTAATGTCACCAATGTCACCACCATGTAGAGAGCGAGGCTTCTCCTTCTTTCCGTATATCAATACGTACGGGACCGAAGAATTCATTCGACATCACTTAAGTCGACTCATTGTAGTTCATCCATATCCGTCTAATCGCACTCAAGAGGCTGAGGTTTCCGTCTTTTGTGCAAGAAACACTCCCCGACGGCTCACGGGAAAATTCCTGCAATTTAGCACTCGTCTAACACATTGTTGAATAGCACTCCGGATTTCTTTAGTTGAGTATAAACTTGCATGACTCCGCATATAATCGTGTAATCCCTTTTCAGGTATCTGTACTTTTTGTTCTTTAAAAGCAGGGAAGTAATTGTATCTCTACATCCAATTGAAATGACTACTCGTCCGCGACATACAAATTACTCCCCTCAGTCTTCGATAATAACGCTTTACGATACGAATGTTCAGCATGGGTACACTCCTCAACCGTGGGCTCCTAATATATGGCGTGTCCGGTAAATATTCGTTTCCTATGATATTATCGACAAGCTTGCTGATCATCAGAGTTTCCAGATTCATCCTCAACTACAAACGACTGCCATATAAGACAATCTGGGTTGAATTTGCAGATGTGGAAGTCACTCTACGCAGTATAGGTGCTCCTCCGAGTGCTATGAAAAGTGATGGTCTCCCGCTATATACTCTCCCGGTTCTGGTAGACCCTACCAATATACCGTATGCTCCGGTGATATTGTCTAACACTAATAACATCTCGGAGTATCTTGAATCGACATACCCATCGCCTGCTGTATTCCCGGCGGGATCGCGCGCCTTGCAGTCCTTGTTTGTCCATTATATACAGGAGTTCTTTGCCAAACCCCTACTTCCTATCATGGTCCCTATGAGCCATCAACACCTGTCTGATCGTAGCCAACGCCATCTTCGCAACTATCCCAGCTCGCTCTCTGCCGCGTATAACCCTCAAGGCCACTCGTCGAGCCATCCATTGCCTTCCGGACCGCAAAGAGAGCAGGCTTGGCTTGCCGTTAAAGAGCAATTTGACTTTATCGATGCCATCATGGCAAAGAATACTGGGGATGGGGATGGAATAGTTGTTATGGGGCGAGAGGTGACTTACGCTGATTTCGCCCTATGCTCAGTGCTATTATGGATAGGTGGGTTCTTGCCTCATCGGAAATTTTACCATTCAAATCGTTGTATTACAGTGCGTATTGCCCCGCAAGACTGGGTCCGAGTGCGAAATTGGAACGGAGGACGTTGGGAGAGGCTGTGGGAGAGGTGCAAGCCTTACATGCAGGAGCACTAGCCTCAACTTCTGTCTCTACAGCTAGAGTTTATATACTCATATTCATCCATTCAGGGAAGACTGATATCTGTAGTGTGACCGTGTACAATAATTGTTGAACATTCCGAATTTGCTGGCTGCAAGCACGGTGGGGTCGCAGTGGCGCCAGGTAGGCGCTCCTTGCTTAGCAGCGTTAAGCGCCCGAATGCCTAAAATAAGAAATCAAAATCTAATCTAGTCTTATCTACGCTGAGTTTCAACTTCGGCGCGAGGTTAGGCGAGGTTCAAGTTGAACCAATTCATGTTTGCGCATCGTCTCTCTGAGCTTCCAATGCTTGCTGTAAATGTGTGAGGCTCCTCATTCTATCGATAACATGACTGAGCACACTGCTACTTAATCTGAGTCACTTGGATAGACTTCTATAGACTTGGATCCCTCAAGAGAATTTTGAGAACGCTGCAGCGCAGCAGTACAGTGCCCGAAGTATACTATCCGTGATTCTAAATGCCTCACAATGAGTGGTAGTTTCAGACAATAGTCAATGTCATGGTGAGTATAAGTGATTGCTGTTGTATGAGCCGAAACGAGCCGATGTGATTTGTTGGGAACACGCGGGGCGCGCGCATTGATCAACGCTGTTGATTTCGAATCTTAGTTTCGATCTATCTGAAGCTTCGAGTCTTAATCCTGTGCACTCCTCGAGCGCCTCGCAGAAATAGACTCAAATTGGGAGTTTAGGATCACTTCAATAAATGCACAACTCGATACAATAGGAGCATCAAGTAAATGTGAATTTGGATCTAGCGTTTACAACTATCCATTGGCTTACAGAAAATTGCTGTGATATCACCAATCAGACCTCAAAATTTCTGGGCAATGGACTAACATCCCATGACCGCAACTGACTCTCGAGACACCAACCATATACTCTGTTGGCAATCACTACTGAAATCGCCGTACATGATATCTGGGGATGACACGGGATGACCTGGAAAGACCACATAAGGACCTTCCACATATCGCTATACCCTTCTGAAGCACTAAAATAACCACATAACATATTGACTAGCTAGTTCAGTCCTTCTGCGGTTGCGTGTGCAGACATGCAGTGTATCTGCGACCCCAGTACCCGACCACAATCATTGCACTATAAAAACGAGCGAAAAAGGTTTGGCTTTCTGTATCAATTTCTAACTAAACGACTTGGAAATGTCGCGTCACTACTCATCCCGATCCTCATATTCTTCAAGTGGTCCGAACACTCCGGTCATAATTCTTTACGACACTCCAGGTCATAGTCCGCAACCATGGGCGCCCAATATCTGGCGAATCAGGCAAGTTACCATCGACAGTCGATTTTAAACTTATCTCTGATTCTTTGATTCAGGTTTGTTCTGAATTATAAGCGACTACGATATCGGACACAGTGGGTCGAATTTCAGAACATCGAGGCCACTTTACGCAGTATCGGAGCACCCCCAAGTTCAGTGCGCAGTGACGGACGCCCTGTCTATACACTTCCCGTCATTGTCGACCCAACACGAAGCCCCAGCCGTCCAGAGATACTCTCTAATCCGAACAACATTGCTGAGTATCTGGAAACGTACTACCCTGCACGCTCAGTTTTCCCAGAGGGAAGTCGTGCATTGCAATCGCTTTTTGTTCACTACATACAGGAAACCTTTGCGAGACCTTTGCTACCCATCATGGTTCCCCTAAGCGCCAGAGGTTTACCAGAGCGCAGCCAGCCTCCGTTTAGCCACTCACATACTGTAAACCCGCTTCCGCCAGGACCACAGAGGGAGCGGGCTTGGGAGTTGGTGAAAGAGCAATTCGACTTTTTGTCCGCTATCCTTGATAAGAACTCAATGGATGGCGATGGCGTTTGTGCCATGGGCAATTCAGTTTCATATGCCGATTTTGCGCTGTGTTCAGTTCTTCTATGGATAGAAAACATGGCGCCGCATGATGGCTGGGCTCGCGTCAGGGAGTGGAATGGAGGACGCTGGATTCGATTGCGAGAGAAATGCCGAGATTACATGGACGTTTTTTGACGGCGATATTCAACAGCTTATACATAGCATTCATAAGACCTACATAATTCTGGGTCGAAGGTCATCGTGTCTACATTGATCGTGGCAATTCTGAGACCTATATTTTTCAACCTGTTTCTTCTGCTCAGTACACTAGGACAATTCTATCTATTCATTTCTGTGTAATGTTATCTAAGTAGGAAAAATTCTGAAAAAAGTTTACTCTTTTACACAAGCCAATCCAGTATCTTCCGGAAGCTCGATCTTAGCCACTCTCAGCTCTTTCATACGTTTGACGGCCGCTCGTGAATGGTTGTTCAAGCCTCCGTCAAAAGCCCAAGAGGCATCGTGCCATTTCTGGTCCTCTGCCTCATTGTCTTCACGGAGACGTATTGCATATCTGCGTAAGAGTGAGGCGCCGCCGGGCTATAAAGATAATCAGTTATGGCGAATAATTACTGGAAATCGAAAAGACGTCGAAGCGTTGTCTTCCCCTGAGACTTCAACGAACTGCTGGCCCGCTTTTGACGTGTATATCGTAGCGAATGCTAGGGACTTACGTGTTCGCCTAGATATAGGGTAACGTCCACAACCCACCCATTCAGCAATAGAAAGCACCGGTCGGGATGCTCCCTCACGTACAGTTTTGTTGCTGCTACCGACCAGTGTTGAGAGGCATCACCGACTGATTTACTCAGACTGTCTTGTTCCTCATTAACATCCTCTTTCGGCGGCTCGCCATGCAAGGACTTGTGATTCATATAAGCCAATGCTTCTTTGTAATCTTCATCTCGAGCTTGACGAAGACCGTATACGAGTCCAAATTGATGCAGCAAAAGAATAACCCATTTGGAGGGATCCCAGGTGTGTATCCAAGGACCTGAACGATAATCGTGGGGAAAGGCGTGCTTTGTATGTTACACGCAATTTAGCATCCAACAGCGAGTACGGAAGGTATGCAGTCTTACATGCTAGAAATAACGGTCTGAGTCTTGAACTACGTCGATTCGATTGAAATGGGTGTGACGTACGAAATTATGGTTTCCTTCCCCACTGGTCAAAACCGCCAAAAGCTGCATTCAGTGGTGTTCAACGTTTGAAGCAGAATGCAATTGGGTATTAGGACGCACAAAATTGCCTCGAGAAGTATTTTCATCTGAAAACGGTTGTAAACCATCCCAGTGAGCCAAACTAATAGCGATAGGATGAGGTCTGAACTCGAAAAACTAGAATTAAAGGTACGAACGAGTTGACGAAGAAAGTACAGTGCCACACTGCCAGCCTAGAAACTAGTCCTGCCCATACAAAGGCGCCGAGGGCGTCGTTCCATAATGCTCCAATTAAGGGGGGTACAGCAAATCCGAAGAATAGGGCTAACGGAACTATTTGATATTAGATATTGAATTGAAATTGGAAAAGGTTTTATTCATACTGTAGTACTTGTGTTGAAAGCGTACGACTAGATAGAGAAGATCTAATTAGGTTTGAGGGACCGAAAAACAAAGTGTGACTCACCTGGATCGCGGTCTAAATCATCTCTATCGACAAGTTCCATGCGTGTATATGTTGGTTTGAAGAAAATCCAGCCCATGTGAGAGTATAGAAGCCCACGAGTAGCTGCGTATCTGTACCTTAATTAGGAAGATAGTATACGCGTCTGAACGAGAGACTCACGGATCGTGGACAGGATCATCAGTGAAACGATGGTGGAGACGGTGTCGAAGGCACCTGTACATTGAATTCTGAAATGCAACCGTGAAAGATGACACGTATCACCTACCACCACTTTTACTAGATTAGTATCTCCAAAGGAAACTTCAATTTTGACGTCGAAATTTTGCTTACCTTGATAGAACCCTGGAAACCGGCCGACCCAAGTAGTGCCAGCACGAAGCGAACACCCATGGATGCGCGGAATGCACGATGAGACCACAGACGATGATAGCCTATAGTGATTCTGGGTAGACATTAGCAGAAGCTGAACATGATAACGACTGACTCACCCAAACTCAGCAAGTTGCCACATAGCGTACGTCAGCGCAAGAGTCGGCCAGGAAACCAGAGTTGGAGGTAAGCAGTACATGCCGACCAATGCTGCTAGATGTATGGAGACGAAGAATATACCATTGCTCCACCATATGTGAGGATGAGAAGCAATCGTTGAGCGGTCCATGGTTGACGGTTGTCGTTGAGGTACAAGATAAAACACATGAGGTAAGGAGAAATCGGACTAATATACAAGCAACTACAAGCAACTAGGACGGAGGCTGAGGGAGGCTCCCGATCATGGATATTTGAATCATGATCAGCTAGTCAGTCACCCGTAGAGCCGCATGTTGTGCTATTTGAATTTTACTGGTATTCATCATCGATGAATGGAGAAAATCGCAGTTTTTCAATCTGGACTTGGTGCTGGAAGAAGAAGGTAGGGGAGGATTCGGCAAATTGTGGGGATAGACGCGCATTGATTGGCACGCTCTACTCCCATCTTATAAATTGTGAGGCTTAATACTGGCTTAGTGCTCTCACTATTGAGAAGTTCAGGCAGGATGATATCCTAATGATAACGTCTAGATTCGTATGAACGGAATTCGAGAAGAAATTTCCTTAAGGCCCCTTACTAGTACCCATCAAGGCATCGAACTACGTCAGTTTTATGCATCCGCGGCGTATAACACTTACTGCGGGCCTCTGCGGGCCCGTCGGTATTATCCTATCTATCGAATTGTCGATTACCACCCCTATCCTACCCTATCCACCTGGCATTACAATGTTGTCTGCATACCGACGACATCAAGTTGGAGACGAAGATCTACACAGAATGACAGAGGATCCTCCCATGTATACCCTTCGAGCGCACCAAGAAGTAATTAAGCTAAAATACTTCCACTTTGTGCAACCAATTTGCTCTTCACGCCCTCCAAAACTTTGGCGCGATTATCTAGGACAGAATCATGGGCCTCTAGCTGTTTGTCGAAGGAAGTGAATAGCTTGAGCTTGGTCCTGTACAGATGAACATCAGAGTGAGCTAAACAAATATGTTGAAGGATGCGTACGTCATGTGATTTTTGACCTGAAGAAAAAATACAATGATAAGGCCAACAGCTGAAGACATAAAGTACAACGTACAAAATCCAAGATCTTCGAATACTTAACCATGATTTCTTCATCGGAACGTCAATGCGAAACAGAGCAGGCGATAAAAGAATAAATTTACCATCGGCCCCTTTGACCCATTCTTCCATCGAACACTCCTTCCATTTCGTTGTAAGTTGCTCGTATTTTTGCATGTGATCTTCGATATATGCGTCGGCTTGACATCCCAAAAGCTTATCTAGCGCATCGCCACCCATCCCAATACTTGCATGACTCCCGTTGCTCAAACTGGGAGGACCAATCCCGCTGTCTCCGTCGCCGTCTTCGTCGCCATTTCCTCTAAGATCCCTAGACATTCCCGGGAGATAGTGATGCTGATGCTGACCAAAACCTAGAGCGTGATGGTCAGCAGGACTGGTGTGCTGCTGGTAGTCATGGGGTCCTCGGCGCGTCATTTGGGGTGACTCTGAACGTTCGATAGGGCTAGAGAGAAGTTGAGGCGAGAACCGACTTTGGACATGGGGGAGGCGTCCAACCTGTAGGATCAAATGTAAAGTTCAATCTAACAAGTTATAAAATGGATATAGTTATAGTCAACGTACATCTTCCTCTACCATATAAGATCTTGGGTCTATCCCAACCTGTATCGGTGCATTGGTCTTGTACCTCTTTGCAGGTCCTGGATCCATGTGATTAACATACATCATATCGTCGTCAGCGTCAAGTTCGACTCTGCCGCGCTTCTTAGTACTGCGATCGTGGTCACGGCGACCGTGCTTGGGAATAAGGCCGGCCATAGACGTCGGAATAGTCCTCGTAGAGTCGTCATTGTGCAACAAAACGCGTTGAGGAGGCGCATTTCCGAGTTTGTATTGAGAAGCTGGGTGAGGATTTTCTTCATTGCCATTGGATATATGCGCCTCATTCTTGACGTGCGAGTTCGTAACGGAAGAATTAGGAAGTGCTGGTGTCTTGAAAGAGCTCGAAGAGAGTAGATCAGCCGCAGAAACTGCATTGAGAGGTTTCGGGGCGAATACAGAAGGTGTTCCAGCTTGTTCGCGTCGGATAGAAAGCGCTTTAGCTGTAGCCAACAAAGAAGGTGACTCGGTACTAGTAGAATTGGTTTGGTTTGCATTCGATTTTCGCCCAGATAGGTTCAAGCTGCCTTGTGAGCCCGAAGACGTTCGAAACAAACCATTCAGGTTGGTTGATTTGGACGCATTTTTTCCAGCAGAGGAGTTATGGTCAGACAAATCTGAGTCTTTGATCGACGAAGGGACCTGAAAGGTCGATTTAAGTATGTCGGCGTGTAGTGGATTACTGAGATCCGGAGTAAAAGATGCATCTCTAGCAGGGGTTGAAGCAGAGTCGTCTTTAGTGTGAGCAGCACGCGAAGCAGGACGTGAATTGTTGGGAATAAAGGGAGTCCTAGCACTCATCGTTGGGTGAAGAGACTTGGAGAGAGAGGAAGGTGGGCAAAGCTGAAATTACCACGTACATAAATTATCGGTCCGAATTCCGAACTTCTTTTTCCTCTGTACAACATATTCGGATCTGAATCGACTTGGAATCGACTCAGGCTCTGGTTGTACTGGCTATGACATATCAGGACATGCAACTCAACAAACACGGTAGTCAGCTGCTAGTCTGGGGAGCTTGAGGGCCCCAAACTCATCAAGAAGATCTCAGCGTCAATCATTCACGTTAAAGTTCAAAGGAAACTGCCACTTTCTTTCCTGCTTTAAGTCCACTTGCTGTACAACCTACGCCATGAATTTTTATTCTACGAATGCTTGGAAGGATGCAGTCCTGGACAGGATAAAATTCACCAACATTCCAGACGCTTATCAAGCTCCTGCCCACGATACTGTCCTCTTCGTCGGGGAAGAGATCGTTCTCAACACATTGCGTCGGAAATACGCAGAATTCCCACAGAAATACTCGCCGCTTCGGAAAAACCTCGTCGTCGTGCGGCGTACAGCATCTATGGGCCTAGGTGCATTTGCGAAGCGCCGGTTCAAAGTCGGAGATACAGTTGTGCGCGAACGCCCGTTCCTTATTGCTGCAGTTGATATCCAGAACGATCCATCACTTGTTGGGAGGAAATTCAACCCGGTCATAGGCTCTAAGGTCCTTGGTGAGATGTTGAAGTCAGTCGAACGACGTTTTCTTCCGTCGAACCGTACTGGCTTTGTGAATCTTAGCACAGACTACTCACTGAATCCAATCACTGATAACTCGAAGGATATCTTTCAATCCCTATATGTCCTTTGTTAACATTTGATGACTCACATACCATCTATGGAACATTGTTCTCTTGTTACAAACCACTATCTCACTATCGTGTTATCAGTCTCACCGTCGTGTTATCAATCCCACCATCGTGTACTATTACTATAGGACTACCAGTAGGATACATCGTATTGTACTTCCTTTCTCTCTCGCTACGTTTAGCTGTAACATGACATCATCTACCTTGGACTTGTATATAAACCTGTAGTATTCGTCTTGTCGAATAAGCAGTCCTCTCTACTCCTTCATCGTCTGATCTGTGTGATCAACTACAGTGCTGTGTGCACTTTATCTCTTACTGCCATTGCTGCTGAATATAACATGATTATATTCTAACAGGTTATGGGCCCCGCCCTAACCTAAATAAACAAGAAATACAGTGCATACATTAATTTATGTCATTAAGGACTAATCCTCCTCGCAAAGCCAATAATTGTCCAACCAAGCCAACTGCAGCTTGTGCTCATAGGGAGCATATTTTTGACAAAGACGACGTCAAGGATCGGTACCACGATCCCGACGGCAACAAATACAGAGTTTGCAAAGATCAACCTTGTCCGAATAGATACGACAAAATAACAACTGGTTATATCCCCGGCTTTGCTAGACTTATCGACAGAAAGCAAGAAGACCTTATACTTGGACGAGGAGCACCCCCAGAGCAGGTCGCATCATCATCATCCCAGAAACCAGAGGGTACGCCAGAAGCAGCACCAGCTCCAGAACCAGAATATCCTGTATTCCCACCACCACCTAGCCCAGTACTAGACCGACCCTCATCACCAATATCTTCCTTACCAAGATCTTCACCACCTCCACCAGATCCGGAAGACCCAGATCCAGGAGCAGAAGTATCAGATCCAGAAAGTGACGACGACGACGACAATATGTCTAAAGTATTCAAAGCCTTTGACAAGGTATCTACGCTTAAAAGTGATGGATCTAACTGGGACACGTGGAAGAATCGAGTGGAGCTAGCCACCCGATCAATTGGATTTTCAAATCACCTCACATCTAATCCAAAAGATGACACTGAAGCATGGGAAGCCAAGAAAGACGATGATGGAAATTTATTAAATGCCATTGTTGGCCGCCTATCAGACCAGATCTATAGGCGATACAAGAATTACGAAAACGTGTTTGATCTATGGAAAAATCTGCTGAGTGATTTTGATTCGAAAAGTGCTCTCACTGAAGCGCACTTACAACAACAGCTTCATTCCATGCACTGCCATGAACCATCAAAGGTTAATGAGTGTCACGAAGCGGCAGAGGCGGAGTGACTAACGGAGCGGGAAAGCGGAGCGACTAAGCAGAACGGTGAGGCGGAGCAACTGGACAAGGCAACAAGGCGGAGCGACTAAGCAGAACGGCGGCAGGCTGGTCCCAGATAATGACAGAGATATATTGAGTATCGTAGTCATAGGTAATAATAAGTAAGCACATACCTGGTCCCAGATAATGACAGAGAGGTCAAGATAAGGGACCAGGCTGTGGAGGGTTGGCTATATATACATAATCCGGTCTGCGAGAAACAACGATGTAATACTGTACAGTTTAGGAACAAGGAAGGTGGCGGAAGCCAATAGAAGGAGAAGATGGGTCAGGTGGATCAGTAATCGATGGGGGTTTGACAGTGATGGGATGATGTATCGTACAAGTAAAGGCGTCGAGATGGTGAGAAAAGGAAAATGATAGGGGCTGCGTACTTTATGACAATGAGCATTTGGATAAATTGTTGGAAATCAGGGACAGTTTGGAGGCGCGGAAAATCACCATTCCCGAGGAAATGTTCAATAACACGATCATTGCTTCCATCCCAAACATATTCAAACCAACGATTAACGCATTGGTAGTGGTTGCAGCAAGGACTTTAGTCCCGCTGACCACAAGGGAGCTAGTTTCGACGATACGTGCTGAAGCATCTGGTCATACCCGAGGACAGTCTGGAAAGAAGGAATCTGCAAACTATGCCGGCGGAAATTCCAACCGCGGCAGGGGTGGATTTAACCGAAATCGTGGAAACTTCAGAGGCCAGTCCAGGGGCAGAGGAAATGGTAATAGAGGAGGTCAAAGTCGACCAAACTCCAACAATTCCACGTGCTACAATTGCGGTGGAAAAGGGCATTTCGCTAATAAATGCAGTTCGCCGAAGCGACAACAGGCCAACGAGGCCCAAGAGAGTTCTCAGAAGAAGGAGAAAAACCAACCATCTGGAAGCGGCAGTAATAGTTGGAGATCAAAGAATAAAGAAGTGGGATCCTCAGCCACCATTGAGGAAGTACCCGAGTCATCGTGGGCAGCCGTGGAAGCTACCACAACTACGTCACAGGAAATATTTAATTTTTCCGAAATTGCTAATAATTATGAGACAGCCTCTGTAGCGTCTCACAGCAATGGAGCAATTCTGTTCGACTCAGGATGTTCATCCCACATGACTCCACTTCAGGACAAACTTCGCAACACGCGGAGTGTCCCTACCCGAATTATCCAGGCAGCTAACGCCGAGACCTTCACATCCAACACTGCCGGAAATCTCCAGATCGATCTTCCAATCAACGAGGATGGAATTTCGAAATCGCTTACACTCCAAAACACTCTCCTATGCCCCAACACGCCTAACACACTTGTATCATTGGGTAAACTCGACGATGCAGGATATGTGATGGTAATTAAAGATGGAACTCTTAAGATCATCAATAGACAGGGGGAGACGATTGGAATTGTTCCCAAGACAAACGGTCTCTACCAGATTCCGAGCGCAGAATATGCCTATGCCGGGAAGGCAACCAGGATGGTTTCGCTTTATGAAGCACACTGCATCGCTGGCCACCAGAACTATGCTTATGTCAAACATATGTTCAAATCAAACCAGGTTCATGGGATCAAGTTAGATCCTAAACAGATGGAAAAACCCGAATGCCGAACTTGCATGCTTGCTAAAGCTGCGAGATTTCCAATCTCCAAAATTCGAACATCCCCTAGAGCGGAGAAATTCGGTGATGTATTTCACATGGATGTATGGGGACCAGCATCTGTCCAGACATTAAATCATTATGTCTACGCATTGACAGTCATTGACGAAGCAACCAGCTGGTTGGAGGAACCGTTAATGAAGGGCAAAGATGAGGCTTTCGCTCAATACGTAATACTCCAAACCGGTCTCCAAACTCAATATGGCGTAATGGTCAAGAAACTCCACTCTGATCGAGGGGGAGAATTTCTCAGTGGTGAATTCACAGCATACCTGGAACGATTAGGCACTAAACGTAGCCTTACGGTACATGACACTCCGGAACACAACGGCATAGCGGAATGCAGCCACAGGACGCTACTCAATGGAGTATGCAGCCTCATGATATCATCTGGATTACCGAAATGGCTTTGGGGATTCATGATGGGCTACACAGTGTATGTATGGAACAGGACACCAAAGAAGGCAAACGGTATGATTTCTCCATGGGAGAAACGATTTGGTACAATCCCCGACATCTCCAACTTCCACATCTTCGGAAGCACGGTCTATGTTAAACGTGAAAAGGAGCCTGGGAAGCTTGACCCTCAAGCACAGGAAGGACGATGGGTAGGCATCGAGCCAGAGTCAAATGGTTACTTCATCTATTGGCCAGATCGCCACACCGTTTCAACTGAACGTAATGTGCAATTCTCTGATAGGCAGATCCAACCCGTTGAGGGGGAGGATCAAGACTTGGGAAATCTAGAAACATCGGTCACCGAGTCGGAACAGCCTATCATACCAGTACCGGAGGAAATAGCTGAACCCATCAACCCAGATATAATCACAGGAAAACGCGTCAGGAAGCCGACCAAGAAAATCCAGGACATCATCAATGGACTTGGAGAGCCAAACCGAGAGCTCAGGCATCTTACAGCATCACTTGGTCAAGTAACAGGTGAAATCATTGCTGACCCCACATCAGTTGCAGAAGCAATGCGACGTCCCGATTGGTCTCAATGGCGGGAAGCCATGAATGAGGAAATCCGGAGATTACAACAGCGCGGGACATATGATATTGTCATTCCACCTGATGATGCCAACATCCTCACATCGAAATGGGTATTCAGGACCAAGCGAGATGAACAAGGAAAAGTCACAGGCCACAGAGCCAGACTAGTGGTAAGAGGTTTTAACCAGATACCAGACGTTGACTACTTCCCAGATGAAACGTTCGCATCAGTCACAAAGCTAGCAGCAGCTCGAGCCATCCTCAGCACAGGAGCCGAACAGAACATGTTCATTCACCAGATGGATGTCAAATCGGCATATCTATATGGTAAACTGGATGACAATGAACAAATCTACATGAAGGCACCACCAGGTGTCGACATTGAAGTTAAAGCAGGACAAGTGCTTAAACTCAAGCTTGCCCTCTATGGACTTAAACAAGCCGGTTGCCGTTGGTACATGAGATTCAGGGAGATCATGACATCAGTCGGTCTCACCAGGTCAAATTTCGATCATGCCGTATTCTATCGAACTGACCCTTTTTGTATCATATTCATCCACGTCGATGATATGACTATGCTTACCAAGACCATGGCTGTAATGGACACTCTAAAGAAGAAGATCAGGGACCAGATCGAAGTTGTCGATTCTGGAGAGATTCACTGGTTACTAGGGATTGAGATCTGCCGATCTCTACATACACGGTCCATTCATTTATCCCAAAGGGCATATATTGACGCGATCCTATCTCGATATGGATTTGCAGATGTCAAACCCCTTTCCATCCCATTCGATCCACACATACATCTTACCAAGGACCAGATGCCAACTACCGTCGAGGATATCACATACATGCGCGACAAGCCCTACAGAGAAGCTGTTGGCGCCCTACAATACTTATCAGTAGCAACTCGACCTGACATCACTTATGCAGTCGGCATACTGGCAAAGTTTTTGCAGAACCCCGGAATTACTCACTGGAACGCTGTAAAGCGTGTTTATGCATATCTCAAATACACCCGAGACCTATGGCTCACATTCGGAGGAACACAAGCAGAAATCGAAGGATACACGGACGCTGACTGTCATAAAGTACGCAGCCCCTATCATTTTCCTTTTCTCACCGTCTCGACGCCTTTACTTGTACGATACATCATCCCATCACTGTCAAACCCCCATCGATTACTGATCCATCGA